AAGATATATTATTTTTTCTTGTTACAGATGTTGTTGTTATGATGTAAATAGTTTATTCCCAAAAGGTATTCAGTAAATTAAACATGACCCTGTATAACACCTAGCTTTATTGATAATTTTTATAACAGGTAAGTGATATTTCCCGTCACAACAGCATTTAAAGTTTATAGTGGGTTGAATGGAAGGTATAATTAACTCTCAACTTAGCATTTTTAGGCTTCCTATAAATCCATTCAGTGGCAGTAGCATATAATGAAATCCGTAGAGCGCTCGTAAAACGTAAGTCTTCGCAGTCATAACCTGGGCTATAACAAACTGTAGCGTTGGCTTAATTATCTTTTTTGATATTAATACTGATAAAGGTTTATTAGCCACTAAGATGTGCCAAAAAACATCGTAAACCGCTCAAGATGGCAAAGTTTTATATTAATTATACAGAGATAAGAGTAAACAACAAGATGAAAAATGTAAAATTTATTTGAACTTAATCATTACGTGACTAAAGTCGTTATTTTTTAAGAGTTTATTACTTGTCTTAAGCTTATCTTATATAATAAAGCCGTTCCATTATTAAGCTTATTTTAACGATATTTTTTATAGAACTGGCTATGATAAGCATAGAGCTACTTAGGGAAGATAGACGGTTATCATAATGTAAAGATTAATGCCATAAAACAGGAGTCCATGTACTAATACTACTGTTGTGTGTTTGTTTGTTTGAACGCGCTAATCTCAAAAACTACTAAACCGATATGAAAATTTCTTTTTGTTTTTGTCTAGAGACAAACACGTAGCGAATCGAGGTTGAGTCGCTAGTATATTATATTACCACTAAGTAACGTTGTGTGATAAGTATATACATCTTTTATATTAATAAAATATCTGTGGATATTGAGAAGATTAACTCTTTCATTCACGATACAACGAATATTCCTACCTAATTGTATAGTCGTATTGAATTAGTAGACGCCAGTTTCCTTCCTTTCTGTCAATCGGAGAATAAATTGAATGACAGGAGCTGCCCACTCTGACCGTGGGAGGTTTCTATTGAAGCTTTCTTGCCGTGAGAATATAGTGCGGCCACAAATAAATGTGTATACTTCAATAAAAACTCTCATAGCATAACATAAAAAAAATTAAAAGCATATATTATTATCTTGGAAACGTTAATTAAACTTAAGGTAAGATACATATTTATTATCGTCTAAATTTTAAATCATAATAAAGTTGTATACCTACCTCCAAATATTATTTTTTTCTTCTTAAATTATTATCATTAATCTTATTGAGCGTATAATAAAAAACTCTACTTTATATTTTTACTTTTACAAATCCCAAACTTGTTCTATGCTAAATTTATTTTTTGTAATAAGCTTGTTATTACAAAAAAAAATATTGAACTTAATCAATACCATAATGATTAAGCGTCGATTTTCTTATAAACTGTAAAGCAACTTACCGTTCACCCTACTTTAACGCAGTACGGTAACGTTCACTGCGACTTCATTTATCCTCAATGTAATGAATGCAATCATAATTTAATATAATGGGATACATTCAGATATTTTCATAAATTGCGTACCATCGATTCCGTATGAGTACGCGAGTGTCTTATTAAAGTCTTATTATTTCTTTTACTTTCTGATTTTAAAAATATTAAAATTGAGTAGTAATACCTTGATATCTTTCTTCATCTATATACTCTTGCGATTCAACGATTCAAGTGAAACCTTTAAGGATTGCTGGACCGGACTCTACGTTGTCATTTTAGCTTTAGCTAAATTACATACAGACACATTGATCAATCATTATCAATGATCTATTATTAGATATTCAAGTTTAAATAATATTTCTAAGCTATCGTAATCTATGCACATAATAAAATTCTATCTGAGTTAAATCTGTACATGAAATATTTTTTGGAAAATCTAATTGAAATAGTCATTATTGTCGATACTGAGGTCGAATCTATAGTTTTTAGAAATTTTGTCTGTGTCTGCGACCGCATCACGAGAAAACCACTTGTCAGATTTTGATAAAATTTGCTATAACGAAATCTGGTTATCCGGGTCAATATGTAGGATACTTTTTACTGCGGGAAATTATCTCATCTCTAAGAAATCTATATTAAAAACCCGAGCGGAGCGAGGGAGTGTCGCTAGTAACTAATAAAATTATTTGGCATAAATGCAGCTCCGAGTTGTAAAGAAAGGGGTACAATTTGTACTCATTAGGTACAAAACGAGTATGAAACGTTATATAGATACAGCCATGACATGCAAGATTACCTACTACTAATAATAAAAATGTTATTTAATAAAATTGCAAAGAAAAGTTTTGTTATACCTAATATATGATTTGCCTAGCTAGTTTTATCCATTAAACATGTACAATGATAGCGCACCCAATAATTCACCGTAATAATGACAGGGTCATGAATATGCATATTTACACCTAGCACGAAACCCATAATAATAATCGGTTATTACTTTTTTAACCCTTCACCCTTTTGTAAAATAACAAAAGTACGTGTCAATGAAATTTATGAATATTCAATCTTTATAATTAAAAAATCAATAGGCGAACATCCCAATTTCTGTTTAGTCATCTCACAATCTTTTCAATGGCTGTGAGAAAATTATAACAATAGATCGACTTCAATAGTTAATATTAACGGGTATTGGCACCTGGATAGACGCTCTACATTCGCTCTAAACTCATTGAGCTATTTTAATAAGCAGATTAATCGTGACCGTAGAATTATGAAAGACTAGCGGCTCACCCTCGCTCCGCTCGGGTTCACCTACAAAAACAAAAACAAACCTATCCCACGGGAACCGTACACTTTTCCGGGATAACAAGTAGCCTATGTGTTATTCCAGACTATAATCTATCTCTGTGCCAAATTTCATCCAGATCCGTTCACCCGTTCTGGCGTGAAAAAGTAACAAACATCCATTCTCGCAAACTTTCACATTGATAATGTTAATACTGATATTGTTAATTCGCGGTGAGTATATTTATTACTACTATTGATTTCCGGGATGAAAAGTATCCTAAGTCCTTTCCAGGGTCTCAAACTATCTTCTTACCAAATTTCATCTAAATCGGTTCAGTAGATCCAGAGATTACCAGTTCATTAGTACAACGGTACATTTTTTGCTCATCGCTTAGTACTTAGTTACAGGCTAAACTATCATAGTAGTTGAATTGCAGATAATAGCTATACCTATTTAAAAATATTATGGCAGGAGAGCCCAAGAGGGGATTTTTGAAATTACTCAAGCGCGGCAGATTAACGTAAGATGGGATACCTTGCACTTTGTTAAGTACTTCCACCATAATATAAGTCTTCTCTATAAGGGCGCGCGTCTAGGGCAGCCGATCAAAATATTTAAAAAATATTCTGATATGGTATAAAAATCGATCACAATAGACCAGAAATGGTCGCAGTGACACGAAATAGCCGCAAAACAGAAAAAAAAAATAGTGAATAAATACTTGAAACCGTCACATTAAAGTATGGTGGGCTAATTACATCCTGAATAGTGTGCACTTCAATAATATGCCAATTTGCACAAGCCGAAGAGGCAAAAATCGACTAGGTATAAATTTAATGTACGATTTTTGCCTCTCGACTTGTGAAAATAAATAATCTGCCGATTTCTATTATCTATTTCTAGGCTATCCTTCTATAATAGAAATAACAAGAACTATAATGTCCGTATCTGCGTAAAAATTCTTTTGTAATGTATCTTAGACAGCGCCATCTATTGATAAATATAGAAATCAAATTGAAATGAGTCCCAGAACCGTTATGATAAATGATAAAGCTTTCTGTGTATTAGTGCAATGGTTGCCTATTTGTGATGCATTCCTAATTCCTAACTGCTAGTAAGGGACACTTTCATGTGCAAATCATTTTTAACATGATCACTACTTGATGATATGGTGAACGAAAATATTGTGAGGAAACTTACAAGTTACAACTATATATCTTAGTGAGAAATCTAACAATGTCATTTGGTGAAAGTAAATATTAACTTAATTATAGTAATAGTATTGTATCATCTGTGATAACAGAGTAGACAGTCTGTACGCCCCTTAAAAAACTATGCAATTTGTTATACATGTGACGTCATAGTGATAGGACATTAAATAGACCGTCTATATTCATTATATAGGATAGCAAATACTTTTCGTATGTAAGTTTAATTCTTCTACATAATTTATAGATAAAAAAATAAATGACGTTTGACGTAACCGAGGGCGTTTTCCAATTACAGCACTAAAGCGCATTATGCGGCATGATACTCAACTTCTAATTTTTCAACTACACAAACGCTCCGCATAATCGAGCACTTTGAAAAGCACTGTTGTGACCAACCAACTCAAGTAGCAGAAAATATGTGTTTTTTCGTGTTTGTGCGCCAAAGTGCGGCATTATGCCCTGTAATTGGAAAACTGGGCATATCTTGTTGTCTTTTTTGTCACATATTAGAACTTAAGTTTTTACATGTAGCAATATACTCTATGAACTTGAGAGAGTTATGACTTATGATTATTATATTTTATTTGAATTTAAAGTGAAACATGGGTTTGGTATTAACAATATTTTAAAATATTTTGCATTAATTTAGGAATAATTCTTGTAGTAATTAAAAGCTAAAACAGATATTTTTAATATTTTATTAATAAAAAAAATGCTGAGAAAATACATTTAAATGTATAATTTTAAGCCTTAAAAATAACAAATGCCAAGCATATTAAGTCTTGAAGCATTGTTGATTATGAGAACATTAGATTAAATGGAGTAAGTACAAGCAAGTATTATGGAAATAAATAAGAGCAACTTTAGATTTGACATAAGTATAGATATTTTATTTATGCAGATCTATCATTTCTCTCATATTGTTATTATACAAAATCATACACCATAAATAGTCTGCAAATATTTTTTCCATAATACTTGGTAAAAAGCAAAATAAAAGTAATATCTAAAGTCTAGATATCCAGTCTTGAAGAGCTTTAACATCTGTGGGGTTGTCATCTTCACCGGTGTTTGCCGAGCACTCTATGACATCAACTTTGCAGCTGAGATGAGAGAACTCAAAATCTTTGCCAAGTTTCCCAAGATAAGTTGAATTTTTTGATTGGGATGGATCAACAGATTGCAACTGGCTTGATTTCGTTACACGCACTAGGTTACTGAAAAATAATGTTTAGTATTTAGATTACATGCAATCCTACTAATATTATAAATGTGAAAGTTTGTGAGGGTGGATGGATGTTTGTTACTCTTTCACGCAAAACGGCTGAACGGATCTGGATGAAATTTGGCACAGAGATAGATTATAGTCTGGAATAGTACATAGGTTCCCGTGGGATAATTTCTTCTTGTCTAGGGACAAACCCGAAGCAAAGCGAGAGTAAGTCGCTAGTCGTAATTCAAATCACACGTAAAATAGGCGCACAAACGTCGAGTTGCGGAAACTAGCCTGAATATATCATACCATAGTCTTAACTCATAATATATGTGACTATTTTTTATTACATACATTTATTTCATAAATTCTTATAGACTTCTAGATATGATATGATGTTATACTTACATTTCCTTTTCAAGTAAGCCTTTGATAACTTGGCTGCCTTTTGCCATAGGTTGATCTTGCTTGTTGCATAAAATTACTAAAGGAGGGCAATTGCTTTGGATTACTGGATCCAAGAGTATTGTATATAAGTACCTTAAACATAAATGTTTTTCTTAAATGTTATATAAAAATAAATCATACATTATAATATGAATGATCTGTAACTGTTAAATGTAAACAAAGTACGGCTATTCTACAAGTAGAATAATATTTGCATCTTATATTGATTCTCATGTCATATTTACATTTCATCAACTTAATTGTCTGCACTAAACAAGCGTTAGCCTGACTGACTTCAGCACCAAATGACACAGTCAAAATTTTTGTAGAAAAAAAAGAAACTGTTAAATGTTAATAGGAAAAATATTGGCAGTTCATTCTGTTTAATAAAAACAATTAATATAAAAAATATAACTTCCATTTACACCCTATTAAGACATTGACTTCGGCAAACTTTTTCTTAAAACTAAATTCTTTTCATGGCCATAAAATAAAATATAGTAAAGTTTTTCATAGAAAAGTCAGTTTAGAATAATTTATTTAAAAACAAAACATCAAAATCATACTACTAAATATATTGCTTAAATACTCACTCTGCAACATCCCTAATTTCTTTTTGAATCGTAACAGAATCAACAACATAAACAATGGCTTTAGCACTACTTTTGTATTGATCAAAATATTTATTTCTTAAACGTTCTTGACCTGGCAAATCCACAATCCTCAGTGTTTTCTGAAAGAGATAAAAATATAATTGTTTTCATATGTATTTTTGTCTTTAAATTTTAAAACATATCAAATATCAATATACTTTCAGCTTATTTTCAGTTATTTCTTTGTTATGAGTGTCATATTAAGTATTAAGTAATCTATAAATCTATACAAATAATAAAATTGTAACTAAGCCGAATCTGTACATCTAATATTTTTTGGAAAATCTTATTGAAATAAACATTATTATCGATACAGAGGCCAAATATATAGTTTTTAGAATTGTTGTCCATCTGTCTGTTCCCGCTTCACAGAAAAGCCATTGGAGGGATTTTAATGAAATTTGGTATAGTGATAGCTGGTTATCTGGGTGAACATATAGGATACTTTTTACTGCAGGGAAATGTCTCATTTCTGAGAAAAAAAATCAACAACTGCAAAGTAAGAGTATACTAATATATGTAAATACTTAAAAATTAGGTTTTTGGTCATCAGAACGCAGGTGGAGCCGTAGGCAATGCTAGTAACTAATATAAGTACAAAAGTTTGTTTGTGTGTGTATGTTTCTTACTCCTTCACACTCAAATATCTGGAAAGAGATTTGGATGAAATTCAGTACATATATGTATCTGGAGCTAACATAAGTTACTTTTAAAAATAAAGTATAAAAAGCATTAAAAATACTAACAAACAAATAAATAATAACAAACAACACCTAATATAATTATTAAATGAATTGACATTTAATCTAAAAATGTTGTTGCGTTTAATTCTAGTTTATTATTAACTCACATTAGATGTAATATACTCTTCTATATTCTCTTTCATTGACGTGAAAGTCTGTCTGTATTGAGAATAAGCCAATCTAACAAATAGCAATGTTTTGCCAGCCTCCGAAAGCCCCGTAATTAGAATAGAACGTCGCAGATGACGACGTCGTGAGAAACACCACCAAAAAACTGAAATATAAAATAAACCAATAATTTATAAAATAGTTGCAAATACTTTGACTATTCAATATTCATGCAGTAATCCGATGATTAAGAAATAAATATCCATGTGAATATTGTCAGTTTGTATGAATATCTACCACTTTCTCGTTGTCTAATGAGAAAAGTGATTTTTAGATGCAACAGTTTCTGCCTATATGCAAAAAAATCCTTAACCTACTGAGCTGAAAACTTCCTTCTTTTAGATCCCAACCATTTTTAAGCTCAAAAGTATTTAAATGTAAAAAAAAAGAAAAACGGCCTAACCTACGCAGTTAAAAGTAGTTTTTTTTTTAGGAGAATAATACTGCGTCATAATAAACAAGATAATTCTAACCTATCGGGCGATAAAGATTTTTAAATTGAGTCCATTCGATCTTATTTGAAAAATCGAAACTTAAAATTTTAATTATAGATATTCTTAAAAATCTACATAACTTGATTAGTTAGAATTATTTTCGCAATTTATCACAAACCAACAATAGTCGGACGAATATTTTTTTTTAATCATCCAATCATCGGATGAAAAGGCACTTTCAATAATAAATTAATAACATATAGACTTATTTATTATATATAACTTACCGAAAGTAAATAATAACACGATTAAGCTTAGTAAGGTTATATATCGAGGGTCATTTAATACCGGTTCAGTGTGAATTTTTTCTTTGATGACGTCTGAATCAGCTTCTAATTTATCCATTTTGTAAATGTATTATGGCTTTCTGGCTTTTAATTCTCTAAAATCTACAAATTACAAAATACAACTACCTACTTGCCGCTATAAGCTTTTGGCACTTGATTTTAACTTGACATGTCACGTCAGCGTAACCCTCTAGGTTTTTACAGAATTAGTGACGTCTACAACGAAGCACGCCACGACGTAAGAAGAAAGAAAAGTCATTATTAAACTTTGAAAGTATACTAAATATTCATATTTTACAATAAATAAAGGAAACTAATAAAAACTTACTATGAACTAACTATATTTAAAAAGGATTTTTATTAGAAAAATAAAATAAAAATGTATAAAAATAATAAAAATATGAAAATATAAAATTTTTTAAATATCTATATTTCAAAAAAAAAAATTTAATTTTTTACTTTTTGTTATCTTTTGTCGAAATCTATAAGAATCCGCCAGTAAATAAGGCGTATGTTATATAGACTGCTTGGGTAAATTATCAGCACGTGTATAACATTCTTTTTTCACATTTAAAGAGGATTCTTTTTCATAATGAAATCGGTAATGCAAGGTGTAAAAGTAACGAAAAATAGCGTACCCGTATGCATTCGTTACTATAGCATCAGTACTCGTTACTTTTGTATCGTTACTCGTTACTTTTGATACACGATAACATACTCGTAGAGCATCGCATCGAGTCGTGCTTCGTATTGTATGGCGTACGGTATAACGTTAACGTCGCATTGTTTTCAGTGGAATAATGCACAATCAGCAAACCAATTTTACTAACAGTATTTTTTTATTAATATTTTTTTAAATTAAATAATAAATAGGTAATTTAAAAATGAATAAATAACACCTTCTATCACTTTAGTGTGACGTCGTAATGCATATATTATTTAAAATCAATTGCGCGAACGATTTATCAAATCATAATCTGTACGTATTACACATAATCATTCAGTAAAAATTATAAGTATTTGTTGGATAAAAAACTAAAAATGTGTTCTAATTTAATATAATGTTTGTTTCTAATTTAAAATTGTTTCTAAACAAAATTTCTAAGATCTGGAAATCATGCAGCTCGAAATAAATAAATAAACTCCTCAATTTACTCATCAACGGTATTAACTGAAAGTTGTATTTTGTTGAATAAAAAATCAATAAAAACATCAGTACGAAAATATATACGGAAAATGCGAGTAACGAAATGCATTCGTGAGTAACGTTTCGGTACTCGGTAGTCGGTACTAGATGGCGTACCCGCGTTACTCAATAATCAATATTGAATACATACGGTTTGCTACTGCTCTTTATTATATATTCATAATTCAATTACAATTAAATTATTTGTTTCTGAAGGTGACAGTAAAAGATTACGATTACATTAGGTGTTTTATATTTTTATAAGTCTCTTGAAGTTTATAAGATTATTATCATAGGCAGTATTTTTTTTAATTACTAATACATAATATCAAGAATAACTCAGTAAGTTTTACATCAAAGAGAATGTTATCACTACGTGTTTTACATATTTTAGTATTTATCCAAATTTACTACAAGACAATAGATTTAATACAAAATAGATAAAGAAAACCTTAAAAGGAGGAAAACATTAAAACATTCGGCATTAGTTACAGATTTCGTCAAAGGAAGAGCCCTTGTGTTGCAGTTAGCAATTTTATTTTAAAGTTTATTGCATGGGTATACATATTTTGAAATTCAGTAAAATTACCCGGGCCGTGATTTTACGCAATATGAGCATCGATATTGGAGGTATGTCATTATATGATATTACTTTAACATACTTTTGTGTACATATAGATGAATATTTTTTATTTTTTATATAAAAAATATTCTAATATTTTTAGGTATGCGAATTAAATATAAAGACAGAAATGATACTTTTTTAGAAAAACATTTAGTGTCAAAAGAACCCTTTGGACAATTTGATACATGGTTTAAAGAAGCATGTGGAAAAAAAGAAATTTTAGAGCCAAATGCTATGTGTCTTGCTACTTCAACCAAGTATGTAAAAGATAAAAGTTATGATAAATTATATAATTATTTAAATTTAGTTTTTATACAAATATAAAGTAAGTACATATGGAATATGTTAACATCCCAACAAATTACAAATACATATATATTTTTTCTAAATGTGTTAAGCCTAATATTTGTATATTATAATTTTATATATGAAATATTTTTAAAGGGATGGCCAACAAATTACAAATACATATATATTTTTTCTAAATGTGTTAAGCCTAATATTTGTATATTATAATTTTATATATGAAATATTTTTAAAGGGATGGATACCCTTCAGCAAGATTTGTTCTATTGAAAGGATATGGGAAAGATGGTTTCAAGTTTTTCACAAATTATGGAAGCCGAAAAGCTAAGGAAATGGTATATAAGGACTATTTAGTATCAAAAATATTAAGTATATCGAGTTACTTATTACGAGGTTTACTGCGAAAATCTGCTAAGTGCAGTCAAGTTAGTTTTGAGTTATTGCGTTTTAAAAGTTTATACCTAATAAAAATGCTATAATTTTAGTAGGCCTTAAATACTGTAGTAGTCACAAGTTAGGAAATATAATAAAGATTTCATTTTTGTGTAGTCTAAGTAAATATGTGTGATAGAAGTGTATGAAATAGAGAAACTCATGACTGAGGTAGTACAGTTAGTCGGTTTTACATGTACATTGCTAAAAGGCGCTTAATGCGAGATTATAAATATTTTATACGATTTATGTTGAAAACTAGGTAGCTTCGATATTATACTGCATTTTACATGAAATAAACAATGCTAAACAAGGGAACTTATGGTTTAGTCTGACAAAGAAAATAGTTAGCTGGTTTTACCTGTAAATATTTATTGACTTCCAAGAAATATTAATAAAGAGTAGAAAGAATAAATGCACAGTCATGTATGCTTATGATTTATTTTTATCACATTATAATCAGTTTTGATAATAATTAACTTTATTATTCATCTTCACCACTTTCAACTTCATCAACTGCTGGTTCAGGTAATTTGCCAACAATCCGTTTACTTGTTTTTAAACTTATAAACCAACCGCGAAGCTCCTCAGGTATGATTAGTTTGTTACAAAGAGTAATTAGATCTTTCTTTTTGGCTTCGCTTATTTCCAGCTGTTCTTGATAGAGGCGATTTAATTGGTCTGGAAATTGAACATTAACATCTGCTAAATAATTTTCAGTAGGCCGCTTCTTCTTTCGCGTAGAATACGCGTGATTAAGTCCACTTTGGAATGTGGAAGACGATGATTTTTCTTGAATCTCTTTAAAATTAAAATTGTCACTCATGTCATAGTTGAAAAAAAAAATCTGTCTTCTCCTTTTACATATGTTATACACTTTATCTTCAGCCACTGAACCTGTTTTCCTTTATCATCTTTCGTTCTATTTTTCATTAGAGTATTTGCAAGGTACTTTAGGTTGAAGAACTCGTCAAATTTAAATTCTTTTACTCGGTATGGTTCTCTTGTTATTTTTTTCCCATCAACTTTTATGGTTTGCCTACGTCTAGCACGCTTGAAAATAGAAATCCAATCCACCATAGAAAAAACAGAGTTATTATTCTTAGCAGATTCTATGCTACTATGCATAGAATCTGCTTCCATTTGTGTATGCCCCGATTCCAGAAACTTGCTCTATGACTCTAAGATTGTTAATTTTTTGCACTGCCCAAAGAAGTAAAGCAGATACATATTGATTACGGTTTTGCCCGCCACAAGTGTCTGAAAATAAGCTTATTTCTTTGATATTTTCAGGGACACAGTTTAAGAGGTAGTGTAACAGTATACTACCAATTTCAGAGCTACCCTTCCGTCCGTTTACTTCTGACCATGAAAAACAATAAGCGTTATTGGGTAAAGCAGCCTTGTAGATCGTGAGGTTGTATACGCACAACTTTCTAGAGTAATAGAACAGTCCTACATCGCAGGAGGGTATTTGGAGTACTGATTGCAAGTCAAATGTTACAGAACTAAAATGTTCATCAGTGTTTGATCTGACTTTATCCTTCTCTTTTTCTCTATTGCAAATTTTCTTCCTTTTTTGGTGAGCATTAAAAGCATCTTCAAGTTCTCTTTTCTTCTCTGTTTCAGCTTGAGCATAATTAGTGCAAACTAAGCATTGGTCTTTCCTGGGTACAAAAAAAACTAAGATTATATTCCTTTGAGAAGATTCTGCGATAGGTTATTTCTGAAGCTGGCTCAGAACCATTTTTTAAACATTCATCTCTGTATAATATATGCATCTTTCGAATATTAAGATTTTTATCTAAATATCTGCGTTGAGTATCTTTTCTACTGGGCAGCCATACATGGAAATGACTCAATATGTTTTCTTATCCCTTGAATAATGTCAGGTTTCGTTTTATTGACCGGCTCGTGTGCTCCTCTACGATCTTTCGCATCAAAACAGTTTAGATTGTTTCGTTTCTGTATTGCATCAGTTATTACTGCAGGGGAGATACTCAAAGTACGACAAAAAAACTTCTGACATACTTGAATTTTATCACTTTGTTTAGTAAAAAAACATTTTTTTGTATATTTCTTTTCTGGTCGTTGTCGATTGCGTACAGAGAGAATTCGTTTTAGTTGTTGAATGATAACGTTAGATAAAATAAAATTCTTTCTACCCTGAAAGTCTAAATTCCAAAAATATCTGCAAATACTATCTCTAGTCGTCATATCGAAGGCTGTTAAGAGCGCGTATTACTTTAAGCACTAAATCACTGACCATGAATTCAATAATTGTGTATCGCTTAAACTAGCTATAGTCGTTTATTCGCTTCTGCATGTCAACAATATGATAGTAGGTAATTGTAATAATTTGGTACATGTAAAATGTGATTACAGTTATTTATCAGCTTTTTGCTGTATAATTACAATAGCGAAATAAACAGAGATCTTTTGTTAAATGCGATTAAGTTCCTTTAGATTTTATTTCTTGAAGTTTTGTAAGAACATTTTTTTACCTATTAACAAAGAAAAAGAGGTTAGGAATCCTTATTTTTTTTTACATGTAACATTTATTAGGTAAATTATTAGCAACGTCGTTTATGATATTTTAGCAATCGAGTATTGAACGATTTGTTGTATATAACTGTTTTTACTTTGTTCTATCTTCGTAAGTATTTAATTAACGTATCACTAAGCCGGTTTTACCAGTATACAGAGTTCAAAAAGATAAGAATTTTCATTTATTTAACTCATTTTTGCTAAAAATGTAGTTTAGCAGGTTTTCGCAGTAAGCCCTCGATATCTTAACATTGTTGTCCTAATATAATATTATATTTTAGTCAGAAAATGCAAATGTAGCAGCTACTTTTTACTGGGAAGTCCTTAACAGATCAGTAAGAATTGAAGGTCATGTTGAAAAGCTTTCTGAAGAGGAATCTACTTTATATTTCCATTCTCGACCAGTACCTAGTCAGATTGCTGCGAGTGCTAGTTTTCAAAGCACACCAATTGAATCAAGGGATGTCCTTTGTGAAAGAGAAAAAGTTTTAGAAGCAGAGTATATGATACCTGGCAAGGAGATTCCCAAACCAGCATTCTGGTAATTTTGTGGTTATAAACTTATACTATTGATATTTACCTTGAAAGTATGGATTTAAATGACATCTAATATTGTAATAATTTTAATAAGTAGACAAGAATGCAATCATTCAGACTGTAAGATTTTTTTGTTTCAAAATTGAAGTAAAAATTGTTATATATTGTTTATTATTTATGTTATATTCATTTTCAATTTACAGGGGAGGATATATTATAAAACCTAGAGTAGTTGAATTTTGGCAAGGTCAAAGAGATCGACTTCACGACAGGATTAAATTTCGAAGACCAAAAGAAGGCGAAGTGCCTGATGGTAAAATATTACATGAAGGTGAAGATGGCTGGGTTTTTGAAAGGCTCTCACCATGAAGTTTTTATTACAAATAATGTTTTTTTTTCCTATTTTATTCTTATATCATATATTGTCTTCCATGTATAGTAAAAAATGTTGTTAAAATATATAAATATGGTTTTAATTTGGGTTACATTAAAAAATATTAAAAATTTCATAATGTTTTAATTTTCAAAATTTCTCTTTGGATCCCAATATTTGTTTTCCATACTACTTCACTTGTGAGATCATTTTTTTTTAAAGAAGTTTCAAATTCCCTTGTACCACCTCCAACTCCAAAGTAATATGTCTTTGCTGCTACAAAAATAGTACCACTTTCACTTATCCGATTTTTAAGAAGTGAAAGCAGTTTAGCATAATTTTTTTGATTGTAAATAGTTTCCGCAGTCATGATAATATCAAATTTTTCAGTCTCCATGAGTAACTTGTCGAATGACTCCCAGTCTCCTGAATAAAATTTACATCTTTTTATTTCTTCCTCTATGTTTTCTTCATCAATATTTAGTAAAACATTAGGAATTGTAGATATCTCTATGATTTCTTTATTCTGAAAAAAAAATGCATCTTCGTAACCAGTTTGAAGAATGAAATATATTTATAAATATTTCTTACTAGGTTGTTTCTCCATACAAAATTTCCATAAGGGATTATTTCCGGGATAAAAGCTATCCTATGCCCTTCCCAGGGTCTCAAATTATCTTGTTCTAAATTTCATCTAAATTGGTTCATTGGTTGGTAGTTTTGGAATCTATTTGATACAAAGAACAAATTTTTCATTTAAAAATTGTTCATTAAAAAAGTGTTAAGAAAATTATATACATATAAACTAGCATTGCCCGCGGCTCTGCCCGCGTTCAGATGACCAAAAACCAAATTCTTAGGTTTTACATGTTAGTATACTCTGACATTGCAGTTTATGCATTTTGTCTCAGAAATGAGATATTTTCCTGTGGTAAAAAATATCATATATGTTAACCCAGATAACCAGCTATCATCATTTCTCATTCATCATTTCATTCTCATTTCATTTTATCAGGTTTCTCTGTGATGTGGTAATAGACAGAGAGACAAAAATTCTAAAAACTATAGATTCAACCTCTGTATCGATAATAATGTTTATTTCAATAAGATTTTCAGAAAAAATGTCTAATGTACAGATTTGGCTTAGTTACAATTATATTATATGTATAGATTAATAGGAGAATTACTTACATAATCTTGAAATGTCACAAAGGCTCCTTTCAAAAATGCATATATGCCTAAAATCCCAGCTCCACATCCCAAATCTAAGACTTTTAATTTCTGAAAACTTGCAATTTCTGGATTTTCTTCAAAGAACTCTACCAGATCATATGTGCACTCCCAAATTTTAAGACCACCTAATATTTACAATATAAAAAATATATTTATTAAAATATTATATGAAAAATAAGACAATATTTTGTTTGTAATAGAGAAAGAACACTATGTAAATAAGCACAATCATAACATTGCAAAAATAATTGAAAATTGTTTTGTACCTTCATATGTCCCAGTAACAAGATCACTATGATTGTTCTCAGCAAGTTCAATTACATTTTCCAATCCTTTATCTTTAATGTAATTCATCATATTACTTACTACCACATGCCCTATTTCTACATCCCCACATGTAAACATTTTTGCTTGAGCGGCCAAAACATCTAGGTCTTTTAATTGATTGCTTGGTAAAATTTCCTCGCTTTTAAGCCACTCGATATGTCCACTATCTTTAAAAAAAACATTTTATTACTATAGATTTTGATTCAAATTAAACTTATAAATATTGTGTATACCTTTATCGTTTGATTCGTCAGATGTACCCGAAAAATGAAATTTAAATGAAGCCATTTCCTTTCAGAAATTAAGTATATATCTTAACTTTTTAGTTTTTATAGAATTAGGTAGGTACTCTATGTAAAATCAATCTTCACATTTTGAAATTTCTACTCTTTTAAGTGTTGTACTAATTGTCAATGTCAGTTTGACATTACATGTCTATAATGATTAATGGATTATAAACAGGATATAAACAGGATCCAGAATGGACAGCTGCAATATTCTCATCTCATGAAAATGACTACATTCTAGAAAGAGAGAAAGTGAACGTGCGGCCAATAGCTGTGTTATATTCCAATTGAATTTATAAATGAAATATAAAAAATATATAATATTTTAATTTTTATTAAAAATTATAATAAATCTTATAATTTTGATTATAAATTACAGGTACATTTTAACGATTAGTATAGATTTCTTAGAGATAAGATCTTTTTCCGCGATTCCTAAGTAAAAAGTCATCTACATGACCCGGATAACCAGCTGTCATTATACCAAATTTTATCAAAATCTGTCCAGTAGTTTTCTCCTGATTTTCCCAGACAGACGGACAAATATTGGTGGATGAAATAAGTTTTACTAAAGAATATATTTTAATGTATGTACAGATTCGAGTCAGAATTTTACGTGTCACTCCTTTTCTATATGTTACCAGATTCAGAGATTTTTTCTTTTTTACCAGTCATTCTATATAATAATCTGTCTTCTTCATTCCTCGCGCCATTAGCGAAGTAAATTGTGCCTAAAGGGCAATCCTAAACAAAATAATTGAATTGAAATAAAATAATTTAATTCATTCAATCTTCTTCTTCTCCCTGCCCATTTCCCAATCACTTGGGGTCGGCGCAGTACATCTTCTGCACTGCTGATAGGATTTGGCAAAAGTTTTACGACCGGCCGCCTGCCTGACGTCAACCCTCCTTGGGAATGCTATTGTCTCTCTTTGTCTGAATGGTGTCGCGGAAGTCTTGTAAATATTAAGCACTTTCGATTTTGTTGTCTTTTTAAAACATTTTTATACTATTACTAAATTTATAATGTTATTTTCGGATATGTTTTAAAATAAATTTAGTTCATTCAATAATATGTATTATTAATTATTTTGTAGTATGCCACCTGATAAAAGGTTGAATTGAAATTTGTCTAACAAATATCTAATATACGTTTAAGTATTTTATTTCTGCTCTTATTCTAATTTCCAATTACGTAATAAAATTAAATAATGTTTCTTAATAAAGAGAGAATTAAGAAAAAAATCAGCATTTTTTGACGATTCTAAATATAATATATAGCTCGTACATGAATAATTTAAATTATTTATCCAACGAAATCCGAAACATATAGCTAATTTATAAAATACCTCGTAAAATTTACCAGAACTGGAACACAAAATGTGAAAATGTGAACATGAAAAAATATATTATCAAAGTTACCCCAGTTAATCTTATGTACGTATTGAATAAAAAATGAATAATACGTAATTAATGAAAGTATATATTGTTAATTAAATTAAATTGTTTGTAAAGTTAAAAGAGTTGTAAAAGAATTATATAAAGATTTTTTAATAGAAATCAGTCCAGAAAAACAAATTGTCATTTAAAAGCAAAAAATTAAAAAGTATATATGTAATGTAATCGGTGTCAATTAAAAATTAAATTATTAAGACATTAAATAATGGAAATAAATATTGCTAAATACGCAAACGTGGTAGGAATATTTGTATTTCATCAATATTTTCTTGAATAAAAATAAAGACGTAGACAACAGAATCGTGAACGCATCATTCTAATCTAATCTAGCTATTCATTCATTCAATGATTCAAGCACACGAGTCAAACTAAGAGTCAAAAGTTGTGCGGTTTCAACGATATCATTGTAATTACAAAATATTTATAAGTCTAAATCGCATATTCCAATTAATAAACAATGACAGACGTTGCGAAGAAGGTAATGCTAATGTCGTTTGTTCCAATGATCAAGTTTGAAAAAAAAAACAATTTGTATGTTTGTTCTATTGTGCTTTCGGTTAAAGTATACTTTGATTTATTTAACATTTTAAGCTAAAATACTCTTTATCTTACTTTTGTGGCGCTATTACCAGTAATGCTTTCGAATCTCGTACTTTTATGGAAGTCAACATAACCTCACCATATTTAGTGCGGCCATGGGGTGTGTTGGTGATATTAACAACACGTTTGCCGACACCGATAAGTATAATTTATGTTAGTTCCTTTTCTAAATAATCCTTTTTTTAGGTTCAGGAATACAAAGACTCTCTTAAACAGAAGGCAGAGCACTTAATAATAAAAGGTTTTCCAGAGAAGATAGTAAAGTTGAATGAACTTCTAGAAACGTCAAATTTTCAAAATCGTGATCTCTCAGATGTTCACCAGGTATTTATATACTCTGCTTAATAATCACATCAAACTATCCTAATGATAATAAACTTTAGTTGTTGCAAACTAATATGTAATTTGAAAATTTTTGTTTTCTTTTAGGACTTAAACATTCCAGTGCCTCCTCCTGCTCAGTCTGCCAATGAACCAAATGCAAAAAGGCAGCGTGTAGATGTGTCAGAGGTGACCAGTAACACAACTATTGAGGGTACTAGAGTCTATGCACTACCTAATGGAACTGTACCCTGTAATAAGCCATTGAGTGACCTTATACATCTTGTAAAACCACACATTAGAGAGCTTGTTGAGGACTCAAACTTAGTAAGTATTTCAGTACTTGTCATTATTATCTTTAAATGCACCTATTATAAATAAAATACAATAAACCTAAAAAACTTAACAATTTAAGCAATAGTACATAATTTTTTTTTTGATAATATATACATATGTGCAAAACAAAATAAGTTACATGATAAGAATTTCAATTACAATATATTTGTATGTTTTAGCTCAAAATGTGGATTTCCTTTATGATCCCAAAGATTGAAGACGGTAACAATTTTGGGGTGTCAATACAAGAGGATACATTAGCTGAAATACAGTCTGTTGAGTCTGAAGCTGCAGCATTCTTTGATCAAATTTCACGGTATTTTATATCAAGGGCAAAAATTGTATCTAAGGTTGCCAAATATCCACATATTGATGATTACAGAAGAGCTGTTAGAGTGAGTACATACTAATTACAATTTATTTAATGATTATAAAACTTTTAGTACATTGATGTTAAAGAATCTCCACTAAAATGGATAAGACACTAATTGAATTAGTGAGTATTATACCGATGTAGTGTTATTTGTTATATATTAGGGTATTTTCTCATACATGATTAAAGCTACTTAAAGTATTATAAATATGATCCAATCATAACTTCAAGAAATAAAACCAAACATTTTTAATTCAGTTCTAACAAATTACCTATTGTAAGCAAAATGTAATTTATATTATAACAATATACATATTTTCACAAGTAATTAACATTCTTAAGTATGATTATATTAACAAATCGTTAAGCACAACAAAAAGATATTCTTCCTTAGTCAAATATTTCTAAAATAAACAAATGAAATACCGCATCTGTGTAGACCGCTTTTAAAAATCGGTACCTATTTTTTTATTTTAATAATACAACAATTCTGTAATGTAATTTTTAAATTAAATGCTTAATAACAATTATAATATATTAGTTTATGCTTACAAATTTTTTAAATAACTTTAATGTCATGTAATGTTACTGTACCTATTATCAAATGATAATTTACTTACTTAATTGTATGCTGATTTTGAATATAAAAACGAAACCTTACTCTTTTTCCTTGTTTGGGTTCTTATAATTTATCATTTAATTTTGCATATTCTGCCAATTTTCGTGCATATCTCAAGCATTTTTCATGCATATTTGCATGCATATAACAAGCTTTTTATGTTGCATATAATCTGGTCTCTATTTATTACATTTACATAGTATGCTATTATCCTGCTACTTACTACACCTGAATATTTTATATGTATTACCTATATTACTGTATAGTTTCATCCAAAGCTATTTATTAGTATTTAGCATGAAAGAGTAACATACATCTTTACATCCATCCCCAAACACTTTTGTGTTTGTAATATTAGTCAAATATTAATAAGATGGCTAAGAACTCATTTATTTTATTAATTTTAAACTATTGTTTTTCAGGAGCTAGATGAAAAGGAATATCTGTCTTTATGGCTGGTGATGTGTGAAATTCGTAACCGCTACTGTTCCTTACACGACATTGTCATCAAGAACTTAGAGAAAATCAAAAAACCACGTTCTTCTAATGCAGAATCGTTATACTAGGCCCTATTTTAATCTCAACTAGTTATCTTAGGCGATTCCTTGTGAATTTTAAGGGTACTGATGTATATCTTGTTTTTTATTCACTGCTATGTAAGATACAAGCACAAAATGTGCATTACTGTACATTATCCAAACAGACCATCTTCATAATATTTGTTTCATGTGTTAATTAATACAATTTATCTAATAAAATAGGTAACAAAAGTTTTTACGATGTAAAAGTTCATGAGCTGGTTAGTGTCAAATCATAAAAAAATGTATGCATGTATGGAATGCGTAAAACCTATAATCTGAATCTCTTTTCGACTTTGAACTATAACTTTAGGAGATTACCTTATTATCAATTCTTTTTATACTAATAGTGAATAAAAAATTAGATATATGCATTGAGGTCTTGTAGCGAGATCTATGTATTATAATGCGAGACTGAAATACGAAAGTACCAAACAGGTATTCACTTATTTTGTAATAGTTAATTCTTCACTAAATATATATAATTTTTTTCAAATTGAAAAAGTCATAATACCTTTTTGCCAATTCCAAACATGATATCTCATTGTTGGACTTAAAACTACTGCTGGTTTGAATTAAGAGGTGTAACATATAGTAGGGTAGCCCAAGATGGGTTTTTTGAAATTACTCAAGCGCAACAGATTAACATAAGGGGGGGATACCTTGCACTCTGTTGAGTACTTCCAGTTTCCATATATACTCGTAAGTCCTCTGTATAAGGTCGCGCGTCTAGGGCAGCAGCTCAGAATATTTAAAAAATATTTCGTAAACATAGAAATACATAAACATTTATGGATGATTTTTGGTTCTTTGGTTTGTGGAAATCGGCAGATTATTGAATTGCACACTTTCTAGCATGTAACTAGCTTACCACACCTTAATCTGACGGTTTTAAGTATTTCTAATTTATCAAAATATTTTCTAAATATTCTGATGGGCTGCCCTAGACGCGCGACCCTTATACAGAGGACTTATTTATGGTGTAAGTACTCAAAAGAGTGCCAGGTATCCCTCCTTATGTGAATCTGCCGCGCTTAAGTAAATCCCAAAATCCCCTCTTGGGCTCCCCTACCAATACTATGATTGGATTTATTTGAACATTTCACAATCATATCTTGCTACAAAGCTTCAGTGAACGCTTCCATACCACCCAGTAAACCCAATTTTAATTCTTAACAACGTTAGTTTAAGTGCATAATATTGTATTTACACCATTAAAATAATCCACATAAACAGAAAAGTTAATTTTAATTTATTACCTCTCGTTTACTCGTGGTTTGTCATGTTACATTTTACATAGTATAGTGTGACTCGATACATAATTGGCTAAACAGATGTTAAGTGAAATTATAATCAATTCAATAAATATGTTTCTACGGATGTGTCGTAATTGTTATTTGTAGTTAGTGTATTCCTAGCTTATGCCTGTGACTAGAACTGCCTTTTTGTTAGAGGTTACGGGTTCGATTTTAACATTGAGCTAATTTCATCATTCAAATATTAGTTAACCTTTCAAAGCATACAGAGCCACAGGTGGCTCGGTTAACAATTAATTTCTTAGAATTTAACCGCGAGGTGTTAATAATGTTGTATTTTAATATAATTGGCTTATCCAATCATTCTATGTTGCATTAAGCTATTTTCATACAAATGAAATATTAAAACAGTTTCGATATACATGAACTTTGACTGTAAGTTCTTACTTGTTATTGTCATGGGTTTATAACGAAGGCATAGCGAAGGCTAGGCAGGACAATCGTGACTGTCATAGGCACTTTTATATGGTAGTTAGTGGCGACGGATTTTGGTTTGGGAGGAGGCTTGACCCAGTGGAAGATAAAAATTAAACACTAGAAAAATGCGCCATGCTTGCAACAAATGTTTCATTGAATGTTTGTGTTTGATGCCATGAAATACCCAAGACGAATCGAATGACGTATGAATTATCAAAATTGGTTAAGCCGTTTAGTGTCGCACATACATACATACATATATACAGGTTAAACACATAACCCGTCTTTGGGCTTCAACTCAGTCGGGTAAAAGTCTCTACCTTTATATTATTTGATTGATTGATTGATTATTTTCTCAACGTATGTACCTACCTATGCAATGTAGCTAAAGGTATCTAAATGAAATTCATATTAGAATACGTTTAATTTTGGCTTCTTTATTCGACAGATTGATTTAGAAATTCAATATGTACCTACTCAGTAGACACCTAAGTCATTAAACTTACTGGCCAATGCAATTATTGTCATTAGTTTTAAAATAACAGCGTCTTTGACATTTTTATAAGAATTGTTCCACAAGCTTTAGTTTTTATATTTTAATTTCTGAATTATTTTAGTATGCAATATAGTTTTTAACATTATGGCTAGCGACATCGATAAAGGACATTTTGGAGATAGTGCTCGAAATCGGACGAATTATGAAATTAATTTCAAATCGTCCGATCACATATTTGACGGAGCAGGCGAAAATATCCATTACCACAGCGACAATGAATCTATTGCATCGAGAAAAAGTAAGACTAGATATATAAACCCAGCAATCTGTATCGAAACTGTTGAATCCACTCATTCTGTGACGTCTCTACATACGGATTCATCTTGTATAGAAGAGTGCACGCCTCACCCTCATAGTACGTACAGAAGCAATTCTACTCCTTTTTTGACCGGGCGGATCTCTAATGCATCGTCCTCGAGTGTTAAAAGAAAGTCCTGTCGGCTTGTAAGTCAGGAGGTGGATGTTGACACACCGCGAGAAGATCGCACGTACAGAGAAGATGGAGCGGATACATTTCGTCTGTCCGTTGCTTCTATTTCGACTACAACTACTGCTAAAGAGGAACGTGAGCGTAATGAAAAGAAAAAACAGGAGGCCTTTCAGCAGTGGTTGGTGAGGAAAGAGCAAGAGGTCAGTTTTTTTTATGTGTATTGGTTTCAGAACACTGTATCGTTAGCGTATACGTGTGGCTCCAATTTCTTCTTTTGGGTCTTCTGGTTTTGGGTCCTGGAGATAGACCAAGAGTAGTCATTGGGTTCATTGTCAGAATATTTAGTTGCGGTGCGATATTGGGCCTGTGACTATGTGTATAAACGGTCCGGTCCAGTCGCGTAGGATTGCTGTCCCACCCATTGAACTAAAGGCACGTATTGAATAAAGTTTTGTAGTTAATATTGCCATCGTTTCTCTCAAGCCATTGAGCGAACTGCAACATCCTATCTGTCCTGAGAGACGAACTTGAGATCACATGAATTGATACATTTCATAAATATTTTTGTTTTGGTTAAGTAAAATGTTAAACCTACATATACGAGTATATCGTCTAATCCGACAATTTTTCTATTTTGTCAGAAGCGAGAAAAAGCACGCCTAGAGAAAATGAAACGACAAGCGGTACCAGCAACTACGCCTGAACAACGCGAGGAGTCTTTCAGGCGCTGGTTAGAGAGCAAGCGTACTCAAAACGAACGGCGTAAAGCAGAGGAGATCATGAGACAGTTTAGGCAAAGTGAAAGTCTTGAACAAGAAAAAAAGAAACGTCAACGGGAAAAAGACGAGAAGCTAGCGGAATGGATACGAAAGAAGGAAGAAGAAATTAAATGTGTGTTTCTGTTGTTTTCTTGAATTTGTTTTCCATATAGGCTAGTTGCATTACCTAATATTTAATACAACTCACCGCTGTGTTCATTTTTTCAAAAACATTTAGGTAGATTTATTTTAATAACTAGCGTTTCATCCTCGCTTCACTCGGGTTCGTCCCTGGATTTTCGGCTCCTTAAGGAATGATTTCCGGGATGAAAACTATCCTATGTCCTTTTCAGGGTCTCAAACTATATTTTTACCAAATTTTACCTAAATCGGTTTACTAGATTTGGAGGTTATTCAGTACAAACAAACAAACAAAAAAATCTTTGCTCTTTATAATATTAGTATAGATACGATGATTTATCTACTGATATCAATTTTTTTTATAATTATAATATTTTTTTATAAATGTTATGATTCCTTTTATAGTGTTCATCAAAATCGGAATGTGACTCCGCGTTAGAGCAGTTTCCTCTATTACTTAGTATAGTTTGAAAATTCGCTATCCACATACCTATACTTAATAAATTCTGTAGCTTTTACTTAGGTATAATTCATTCTTTATAATTTAAAGCATTAGATACTTTCCACTGTCTCTTCTACATATTTAAAAAAAATAGTCGCAATCATTCTCAATATTTATGAAATATTTATCTCATGTAATATACTTATATTAAGTATCCATCACATACACAATAAACTATCCAAATCTTAAAGTGGGTTTAATAATCCTTGCAGCAATGAAGACAAAGTCTGAGCGTCGAGCAGCCCGCCTGGCGATCGAGGAGGAGCGCCGTCGCGTGCAAGGCGAGCGGGCGTACAGTGACTGGCTCCGCACCAGCAAGAACAAGCCTTTACCCGTTCCGTTGAACCAGGGAGAGCTTAGTCAGTATAAATATATTATTTATTATATAAGTAGTATTGTATTTATCCCTTTTCGATGTCCCACTGCTGGGCATGAGCCTCCCTTCAATTCGAGAGGCATCAGGCCGTAACCCAATACGCTAGTGAAGTACGGGTTGGTGATCTTCACCTTTCAGATATGCAGATTTCCTCATGATATTTTTATTCACTGTAAGACAGGTGATAATAATATTGAAAATGATTCGTACAGAGGTGTGAGATCCGGAGCTTGAATCCGCTTGACTTGATTGATTATCCAAGCAAAGGCGTTACCATTGTTAAGAGGTACTCAATTTGGGTGCAAGTATGTGCATGTACCTATATAATGTATATATAGATGATATCATCGCCAATTATAAACTTATTTTTATAATCCTTCTTTTAGGGATTCTATTCCTAGAAGCGGTACCTAATTACTTGATAAGTAATTTTCAAATCTAGTGTTTTTTAGTTAAAATGTAATTATTGAGCTTACAGACTTGACCACTGAAGAGGTCAACCATAAATAACTTTAAAATTTATTATTATTAATAAGTCAAGTTTATAGGACTGACAATCTATACATATAATAAAATTGTAACTAAGCCGATTCTGTACATTAGATATTTTTTGGAAAATCTTATTGAAATAAACATTATTATTGATACAGAGGCCAAATCTATAGTTTTTAGAATTTTTGTCTATCTCTCTGTCTGTCTGTCTGTCTGTCTGTCTGTCTGTTACCGCATCACAAAAAAACCACTAGAGGGATTTTGATGAAATTTGGTATGGTGATAGCTGATCCTATAGGATACTTTTTACCGCAGAAAAATACCTTATTTCTGAGAAAAAATACAAAAACTGCAATATAAGAGTATACTAATATGTAAAACCTAAGAATTTGGTATTTGATCATCCGAACGCGGGCGGAGCCGCGGGCAATGCTAGTCTCTAATAATAATTTTATAACGTTAAAAACATGGCATTAATTAGTGTTTAAATTCGGATATGCCCTTAATATATAATATTTTTTTAGGTATGCGTGGGTCGGTGTCGCAGATGTATATAAATCCCATCCCCTGGCAATCTCTCACATAGCGAAAGTTCGTGTTGAGCTTGTTTTGTACTATAATATATTTAACAACCATTTTACATGGGTTTATGATGTAACTCGGAAGAGGAAAATTAGGAAATTTTATTATATGAAATATTTTTATTGAAATTTGTTTTTAGTATGTATATCTTTTTATTGATGTTAGCGTCGTAAAGTTCATTTTATTTCATGTTTTACCTGATTATTGATATCCATTTGTAGATTGATTGGATTTCTAAGAAAATGCAATTGTGTCTACCTAATCGTGGTAAAAAATTGACATCGTGCAAGAAAATGCTTTCTATTCGGTTTCGTTATGAGCTTTACGAGGTAAAACAAAATCGATTTTAAAACCTTAATATTAAAATGGTTAAATAAATATAACTAATATTATACTTTGTGATAATTTTATTTTTAGGAAAAACATGCTAAATTGATAATAATTTACTAAGTACAATAAAGGGTCCCTACAAGTACTTCAATATGATTTTTAAATCACAAACTTATGTGTTTTAATGAAAATTGAGTATAGTGTGGATATTATCATTAAAAGATTACAAAAAGTAAAACTTTCATGCAAATATTCTTTAAAATAAACATAGAATTAAAGTAGCAACAAAATGTTATGCTATCTCTACAATATACGGGGCCAACAAAACAATGTTTTGAAATAAACTAACATACTTTGTAATATTCAAGAAATTCCGTAATAAATGCTTGTCTATCACAAAGACACAGACAGATTGTTAACGCATAGAGATAACATCAAGTGTTCGTGCGCTGTGCAACTTCTTACTTCAATCCATTTCCACTGTATTTTTCCATTACTTTCTAAACCACCTTACTTATTTATGAATGTTTTTTAAAATTATTTCCAATTTTGCTCCCAAATTTTCCCATTTTTTTTGCATGTAACTGGGCAATCATGTTTATAAAGTCTAGAAATCTTGTTCATTATTTTAAGGCACTGCGATAATAAAATATTTCAGTTTCTGTTGTTAATACGCCTCTTCCTCCTCTTTAAGACGCAATATCTCAGATTTGTTCATGAAATAGTAAGAAGGCTGGCGTCCTTTCAGGTCTTTGAGAACTCGCTTGGCGCCTGCTTTAATTAGAAGATGACTCAAGGATTCTATTTTTTCTACTCCCATCGCGTAATGTAGTGCTGTTCTTTCGAGCTGAAAAATTATAATCATAATTTAATAAAAATTGAGTTAATTATCTTTTCTGTAAAAATCACTTTTAATTGTGTAAACATGGATTTTATGGAGTTTTATAATATAGTAGAATAGCTGTACATTGTACAATGGACATACATACAATAAAAAATATCTAAGTATATTTATTATTTGTTATTTAAGTTTTTGGAGAATAAGTAAATCTCCATTGCTAATTTCATTAGGACCACTAAAATATTTTTGTATTTATAACATAAATGTAATAAACACAGAATAATAATGATTTATATAATAACAATTTTCATAAAACTTTCAATACCTACAAGATAGTTCAGCACACATTTCAGTAACAATTTTGCGAATGCCTATAACGTCCTTAGATTTTTTCACTTTATGCTAAACCGTTGTTTAATATAACACATATACTAACATTATCACCAAGTCGTAACAATTCGGGATGAGTATTTGCCAAATACTCCACAATGTCTTCGTTTTGCGCGAGCACGGCCACGTGTAAAGCGTTGCGCCCGAGACCGTTCTGAGCGCGAGCGAGAGTGCGGCCGCCTTCAGCTGACACCATTTCTTGTACAGTGGCAAGATCGCCAGCTCGTACTGCAGCGTGAAGAGACTCCCTGGACTCCTAAGAGTATATATTTTTTTAAGTATCATGCTATTTTTACGTAAAAGTATACCCTTTAGATAGATGAGAAAAGAGCGAATGAGGCTTTTCTACCTCTATGTATTACTCGTAGACATCATAGAGATTTCTATAATACGCAGGTAATACGTGCTAAGTTCTACACTTTGATTTTTATAACAATTGACAATTTTAACTTTGAAGTCTAATTAAAGTCTGTGGTTTTATAAGAGTTAGGACTACTCTCAGTCAACTTATTTAGGTAGTTATTTACACGAGAGAGGATTTAGGCCGATACAATTTTTTTAACGGGACTTTTACTGACCGATAGAAGAAGTGACGTAGGGGTTTTCATCAATATAATAGGGGTCAAGTTTGCGCCGTTATTTCGTTTAGTACCATGTTGCTACCGTATTTTATGTATAATTTACCTCAAAAGCTGCGATAGAAGCCAGTAAGTTTTTCATTTCTTCATTACCACGTTGATTGATTACTTCTAATATAAGAGTTCCTTCTTCATCGACTACGTCTAATATGTGATCATATCCTTGAAGTAGCAAGTCCATTATATCGTCAGTTCGTCCTGTAACCGAAACATACTAATTATTTTCATTTTTACTTTTTATCATTTGACTACTATTATAATACATTTTTTTACGGCTAGAAATCGGAATGATCTAAAGATTTAGTCTTAGAGAGTGGCCATTACTACACATACATATATTATACACAATACAAGTGTCAAACCTATTTTGTTAACTACCTCTAGCAGCTAAATGCAGCACCCATCTATCAATTTCAGCGGTATTTTCTAGAACGTTCGCTTGGATGGAGACATCGCGAGCTGTTCTGTACAATTCATCTCGATAACCAACACTGACATCAGATTCTTGTAAAATTTGAAATAATGCGTTATTTGTGTGAGTTCGAGCAGCTGCGAAGTGTAGCATTGACTGTCCGTGTTCATCCTTGAGAAATAAGTAATCTTATTAAAAAAATAGTATAACCGTATTAAAACAAACACTCACGCGTATTGGGGTATTAAATAAACGCCGGTTCCGGGAACCCTACTAAGTATAGCATCACTGGACATCGATTGAATATACCTTTGACTTTGTGTCTAAATTTTTAAGTGATTTTTCTATTGCTGATAAAATACCATATCCATAATTTAAAAAAATAACTAACTTTATAAGAAGGAATACTAATTATTATTTCTTATACGTGATTTTCAGTATCTTTTATAAGTCTTACCCTATTAGCACTACTAACTGCACTCTCAGGAGCATCAGGACTGGTATTGGATTGTGGTTCCACGGTTATAACATCGATCGGCTTCGGGCGTATAGCCGTTTTTGCACGGTCCTTGTCATTTTGTTCGATTTGCTCAGTTGGGAGGTTATCTATAATATCCTGATGTGGAAAATGTTCGTTTTCAAATTCAGGTGCTTCTTTTGTGACGAGTACGTTTGATTCCTAAAACATAAAATTTAGAATAATATTCTTCACCTACATAAATAAAAAATATTTTTTCTTTGTGCGTTTATATACTACCTATGTGTTAATAAACTAAACTATTCATCCCAACCATTCAACCAGAACCAAACAAGGGTGAGCCGCTAGTGTTTTAAAAAGAAATGTGCGGCATTAAAAACTATCATCAACCTTTATATTAAGTTGTTTGCGGTCAACGCTTATGTAGTACTTTTATAAATTATTCATCACTAATAGGTCTTTACAGCAGCTAGAAGAAATCATTAAATATTTTAAAGTATTCACGCGATAGAAATGTGTTTGTTTACCTTTGTTCCTGGTCGAGGCTTTTCATGTTCAGGGAAATTATGGAGGAAACTAGCAAGGAACGCTACAGGATCTTTTGGTTTATGATTAGCCACCTCGGTCAGACCTTTAATCAAAGGATCGCCGAGAGCTGCAAAAATTTCAGACTCCAATTCATTGAGAGAATTACTGTGAGCGAATTCGTGATCCATTATAAAAGCAATAAAAAGTTATATGAAAATATATGAAGCTTACACTTAGCAAGATATCTGCCTTCTTCCGTGTGGAAGATGGGAATGTCCATATGTCCGTTAGCGCCATGGTTTATACCTACAAGAATCAATTATTCACTAAGACGGCCTTCGCTATAATAACACAACTACGTATAAAAGAACACATGTTTGTACACATAAGTAGCCTAAGTGAGTAAAAAATCGAACGAACAGTAACAAATATGTAGTATAAATAAGGCTTTCTAAGAGCTCTTAGAGCTTTTATTTTATATTAAAAAGCTTGGTCACTCATCACTGAAGATGACTTGAAGGCAATTAAATTTTTAAATTATTAATATTCAAAAACATTATTAAAGCCCAATATAAATAGAAAAAATAATACAACTTAATACACTGAGCGGTAATATATGTAGCTGGAAAGACAAAGTGCTTGTGCTGAATTTAGTGCTTTAAGGCAAAAGCGTAAGTTATTTTATTATTCTACGTGTTGGAAGTGATTGCTGAGCAAACTTGTCACTCTATAGAAAATTCACACGAACACTGTCTTTTACGAACACGTAACATTTAGTACTGACCTAAAGTTTTGTTTGTGTTTATCATTATTTTTTTTTAGCTGCACTTATCCTTAAATTTTCCTCACAGCGCACGTTTGTCTTTCCAATATTTATTTTAAAATAATATATTAGGGTGCTTATGACTACATCTAGGTGTTGTAATAGAAATGAATGAAAATTATTGTTTTTCTTGAATTCTATCTATAGGATCGTGAATATCAGCTAAGCTGCTTCTTTTTCTTTTGAATATATTGGTTAGCATGGTGGCAATATGAGCAGAATCTTGCATTGATAATTCTTTCTCTAAATGCAATAAATTAGATGTTGCTGTAACAAAATCGTTAAAACAATTTGATTCTGTTGCATTTAAACATTGATAATTGCTAACTCTAGCAATATCTGCGCTCAATGTCTCTCTATATTGTAATCCTCTCATGGCACATAAGTGTTTCATGTTATCAGAATCTTTTGCTAAGCCAGGAAAGCTTACGATAAGGCTAAATCGAATGCCTGCCCCTAAAAATGTCGGTCTACAAGATAAATGACCAAGCTTATGATTCCAAACGAAATCAAGTTTTTCATGCAAGTACGTCATGATATAGGAGAGTTTACTAAAAGTTAAACCAATTTCTCCGGGTGCATCTATAGGGGTAGTAGTGAGTACTCGTAAATGATCATGGACATTAATCCAAATAGCGACAGTTTTATCGTCACTAACGAAAACACCACGTCCATAAGGCCAGTGTTTTCCGTGGAGACGACTGCTATCATCGATCTCATTACGTTCGCAAAGAGGTATTAACAGTCCAGTCGACGCCAATGTAGCAGATATTTCAGAAGGTTTTTCCAATACTTCATTCAAAGTATAATAAGTTCCACCTTTTTGGTCCGACTCGGGACTAAGTTGTTCTATAATCCTTGCAAAATCTTCTCTCATCAAAATGGTTGTTATAATTCTTTCTATATATTCTAGTTTACCGATTTTAAGATTAAGTGGGAGTTCAAATCCATCTAAGTTTCTAGAACATTCCATAGTGCCTGATAACACGTAATCGTCGTTGGGATCGATATTTATTTCAACTAAGGGTTCTGAAGGATCTGATAACGGCGTATTCTTTATAAAATCAGAAATAGGATGGTCTGGCAAATCATAACTTATATTTATGTTATGTAGATCTTTGATCAGCGGCGTTAAAAATTCTGTGAATACTTCGTAAACATAATAATCAGGTGCTGTTACTCCACCCGGAAAATCTTCTTCGACTGTTTGCAAAATATTTCTAGTATCAGGCAACTTTTTAACTGCTGGCCATATGACGTCGAACAGATTATGGTCTAATTTGGTAATTCTGTATTTAATCAATTCAAATATCTGCTTATTAAGAAATCTTCCTAGCACGTGCGGTGGAGTAGCTTTATTAGAAGAAGCAGATAAAGGTGTTCTTGTGGGTCTTGCCGATGCTAAAAGTCTATAGCATCTTTCTAATGTATCCAAAGTTTCAGGTATATCTAAAGTACGTCGGGACGAAACACGGTCATCTGGCACTGAATATACACGATTGTTTGCATTATTTAATAGATAAAAATTAAAAGGTAAATGCATAACTGTTTAAATAATATTTAATTCATCATAATTCTCTGCCATAAAGAAATTCAAAACTACGAGTAAATTGCACTATATTAATAAATAGATAAGTGAAGATGATGGAGAATTCAGCCTATAAAAGCTCAATGTATAAAACCATATAAAACACACCTTTATCAGCAAACATTATCGTCGCGGTCTCTTCACTTATTCCAAAATCTGTTAATAGTTGTCTAAATGGAAATAAGGTAGGATTTTTGTAGTAGTCCTCAGTTGAACGACCGTTCTGCAAACGTGTGTCGTGCATTATGTATTTTACGTAGATAAAATAAGTTTTATACAAATATGCGAAAAAGAAATTATTCTTACTAATTATGAAATTTCTTAATATGTGGTTTTCAAATTTGGTTATTAATTTTTAATTTGTTACACGTAGTAGTATTAATGAATTGAAATTAAAGTACATGTAAATCTTACATCATCCAAGTCTTTTGAATTGGCTCCCAATTGTTGCAAAATATTATAATAATGGCCATTATCTGGTAACACTGCAGCGTAGTGTAAAGCTGTTCTACCTTCAAAATCTACTGCTGACAAAGTTTCAGGAAATCTTCAAATATAAAAAAGGATGCATATTATAAATCAATGGACAATAAAAAAATACAATAAAATATAAAGTTTTTTAATAAATATCATATTTTTTATTACCTTCCTCCTAAATATTTCATTATATTCGTTTTTCCATATACAGTTGCAACGTGTAAAGGTGTAGCGCCGTTGGCAGAAATAGGGTCTCTCGCAATCGCAAATTTCCTGCGATCTAAAGCAGCTTGTAAATCTCTTATATTCCCTTCTCTTGCAGCTATATGAACTTTGTTAATTTTTTCCTAAAATTAAAAACAAAATGTTAATTACAATTAAAAGCGTAACTCGCACTATCCTATGATATGATTTATTAAAGATATACAAAAAAGGTACACATTACCATATAATTTGGAACATTGTTCAAAAACGCTTGTAATTCAGTATTTCTTGACTGTCGTCCAATCAACCTTGACCCTTCTCCATTTAAAACTAAAGTGGCTAGCATTTCCATATTTGCTGTATTTATCAAATCTGTTACTTCTGGATCTATTTCATTGTCCTGAATAATTACATTGTTGATTCAGTAGTTTTATTTTATTCGAAAATTACATAGTTTCAGGCTTTCGCAGACTAATTAACATATAACCTAAAAAGCTAGCAAATTAATCTAATTTGTGTGTTACGTGAGAGTAAAGTGCATCTACTCTACTCTAAAACATCACAAATTATTATTTTCTTATTTATTACCTTTAAGTCATGCCGGATTTTATATCAATCATACTTACTACGATTAATATGTCGTTGTGATAGCCATCTCTAATACTGGCGTCTTCTGTCTCAAGTTCAGCTTCACTGCTTATAATACCTTCTATGGGATTTTCGTGAACATTTCTCCCGTTGTTTCCTTAATTAGCAAAAACAATCAATATATTCTATTATTACTGTCAGGGACCCCGTGTAATGTAATGTAAAGAATAATTATATATGTGTGAGGCCAGGAGAGGTGTCACCTCTAGTGGCGCTCCCGTTTCTTTGTTTAAATGTATCACTTGTGTGTATGTCGTGTTCGTGAAGGCTTCCTTGTACTTGTACATCATCATCATCTTCACCATTATCATTATTATTACCTTCATGTGAAGTCGTTCTGTGCTCATCCACATTTTGGTCAGTTTCTTTGGTTTCACGTCTACTTTTTTTATTGCCAAGATCTTGTTTATCATCATCATCGGTATTGGTCTTCTCATCAACGCTTTCTTGTTTTCCTTCTTGTTCATTGTCTAGTTGTGAAACTATTTCTAAGCTGTCAGGTGCATCGTTGACGATCGATTCGTCTTTATTATTATCATCTCCATCTTCATTATCTTCTTCATTTTTTAAATCTTCATTTTCATCTGCATTTTGATTATTTTTATCTTCATCATTAATAATTTCTTTCGGCTCATTATTACCTTCATTCACATTTTCTGTTACATTAGCTTCTTCTTGACTATTTTTGTTATCAAGAATATCTTGATTTACTGCATTGATATTACTTTGCTTTAATTCAGTTTTTTCTTTATTATTATCTAAAGTGTCAGCTAGAATTTGCTCTGGTTCACTCTGATCCTCTTTATCAAGATCACCATTTATGTGCTCATGATTTACTTTTTCTGCATTATTTGCTTCTTCTATATTTTCAGTCTCTTTAGGGAGAATTTGTTCTGTTACAGGAATCTCATCTATTTCAGTCTCTTTTTCAGTTTGTACTTTATCAACGTCTTCATTAATATCTTCTTCATCATTATTTTTTGTGGCGTCTTCAACTTGTGTAGTATCCTAAAATAAAAAAAATATGGTTCATGCAAGTAATTGCTTTTAAAAAGCAACGCAAATTAATTGAAATGATCTTTGTGACTGTGTAACATGCGAAGCTCACCTTATTTATTGTATCGTTTTCGTTAGACATATTGTTGTCAATTACATTAGGTTTTTCATTATCATTCAAATCTGGTAAACCACTGATTAACTCATGCGTGCTACTATTTTTCATATCACCATTATTTTTTTCTACGCTGTCTGATATAGTAGTAGTATTATTTTTAGATGATATATTTTCACTTGATGCTTTCAAGTGTTTCTTTCTAGATTTTTTAAAATCTCCTATAAAGTCAGTATCTAATATTTTCCAATCCCATGAAGAAGGATAAGCACTAGAAGGGGTTCTGGGAGCTTCTGGCAATACTTTGAAGATATTTTTATCAATATCTTGGGTTCTGTTTATATAATACGCTGGGGTTTTGTTTTTCTAAAAAAGTAAAAAGTATGTGATTATAAATTTAATGGCAGCAAGAACAGTCATTGTTAATTGGTGTTTATATTTTTATTGTAATGTGCTTACATTATCGACTGCGCTTTCATCGGCCCCAGAGCTGAGAAGAGTATTGAAAGTGTGTTGTTCATCTTTAACTACTGCGGCGTAATGTAAGGGTGTTCGTCCGTCGTTATCTACGTCATTTATACCTTGGGGATATCTCTCTATGATGTACTTTAATATACTGCCGTGGCCTAGACCGGCGGCCTGAGAAAATTATCGATAATCGCGTAAATTAGCTGTTATTGGAAGGTTAAATGAGATATTTTTATTTAATAAGTACATAGTGAAAATTTAATTATTTAGTTGAATTTTAAATATTTATTTTGTTATGTGAACAAAATACATATAAGAAGAGTCATACTTTGTGCATAGCTGTCAAGTTGTTTGCATCTCTGCTTGACAAGGCTTGTGGTGGAACTGGGTCTGCTGTCAATTTCATAAGAGTTTCCAGATCGTTTTGAATGACTGCGTTGTGGATATCACGGATAGTGTTCTGAAAATATTACTTATATAGATCCAGATTAAACGTACAGGCATTTAAGCTAGATTAATGGCGAGCAATAGGTACAGTAAAATTCTAAGCTCCTAAATTATATTTTTTATTATTATTGAATATTATTTGAGATTGTAGTGTTTTCAATATTTTTGGATATTTTTATTTGTCTGCTTGTAACTAAAATACTGTACATATATCTAGAAATAATTTGCATTAAACTCTACAAATAGACTTAGTTTTACTTTACATATTTAATTACTACACTCTGCAATCAAGCTCTGTACAAATATCCAATATTACACATATTATTTAATCAACTAAAATGATTAAAATATTCATTAAGTACATTCCTGCAATAACGAAGCTATAAGTAAAAGCTATTTGTACGTAATAGGGAACCAATAAATCGAAAATGCATCCTACAAGCCAGTAATTGAGTTAGTTTGCTATATAGCCTGATACCGATATATCGCTTTCATGCTATGATAATTTATTAGATTAGTTTCTGATACGTACATACGTAGTGATTTTATTTTATTGATTTTTATATTAAAAATATCTAACGAACATTTTTTAGCTCATTATCAGAATTATGGCAATTGATATTGACAATTCAGTGCATTGCGTAGGATGTGATTTTGATCTCTGCGAAGATACGTTATTAATTCTATGGTTGATTATACCTTCGGTAAAGACGAATGACAAACGTAGTATAGCAGGTAATATCAAAGTGAAAATCGGAAAAAACCCAAACCACTGAGCAATATTGCATTACGAGTAAAATATACTTGTTTAATATTAAAGAAATATTATTAGTGTGAATCTTAAAAAGCTATTCAAAGTGTTAATTCATATTTTCTATTAATTCTAGAAATACATTATTACTGAAGGTAAAAATAATTTTTATGATTATGAATTTTTATACATAATATACAAGTTTTGAAAACGTTATTAATTGGATATTGAAGATAATTTAATATATTTTTTATTCTCATGAAGTAGGCTCGATGTAAGGTCATTTTCTCAATTATACAACAATGGTTATGGAAATTGCTCTGAACGAATCTTATATTTTAATCTCTGTGCAGTTGTTAGATGGCTCTTGACATAAATTGGTCACTTATCAATTGTTGTCCAGTTAAAGGATAATTGCAAGTCAGGTCACAACAACAGATGCATCTTTTAATATATAAAATGGCACCTTATGTAATTCAACTAAAACGTAGTTTCTTATTTAATTAAAAAAAAAATACCTTCCTTGACATAAAATCCTTCCTAGAATAATTACAATTTTATAGGCATTTGTATAAAAATATCTTACCATAATATATGGAACAGCTTCTAGAAATTTCTTGACAATAGGCTGGCTGGAGACCTCGCTGAGGAGTCTCGCTCCCTGTCCCTCCCACACTACTTTCTGTAGGCGACCCATGTCGCACTCGTGACACCATATTCGTATGTTGTGTCGTTTTATGACCAACCCTGCAGATAGAAAATCACGTGTATTCTCAAAAAAAGTTTTGTAAATATTTAACACGAACTTGAAAGAATTTGACAAAGATAAGTTGCATTCTAGAGACCAAAAAAATCCACAAAGAGCGTTTACGACAGGAGGAGGAATAAAATGTCTGCCTGCTTCTGATGTGATTCCGAGATATATCATGTAACTTACATAAAAATAATACAAGTCCTGCATAGGTAGATAAGTTGGCATTGGCTATTGCGTTTTTATAAAAACTTGCAGAATTTTAAAATCTTGGATACGTAGAGAAACTCAGGTTTGTATAGAGGTACATATTTTTTTAAATAATTAAAAAAAGGCCCACACATACGTCTCGTGAAATCAAATTTTCCAAAGCAGGCACAAACGAAATAAAAAAAAATGCCAACTTTTATACTTTGTCTGTCTGTCCTTTCTTAATTATTCAGAAATATTAACAATTTTTGTAAGACAAATAATTTAAGTGATAGATAATTAAAAATAAGAGAGTATCTCAGGATTATATTGTTGATAAAATCGTTTTATTCGGTAGAATAAATCCAAACATTTTAATAGAAAGAGAAGTTAAACTCAGTGGTTTATACATAAACACACACTTGTGCGGATCCCACGCTGTAAATAGTAAAGAAATAATGTACTATATATATGTTTGTGATTGATTTCTAGTATTATGAATCGATTTTTAAAGTTCAAGGTAAATTACCCTTTTATACGGAAACAAGCACACTGATATCAGATTAATAATATCAGATAACATTTTTCTATGACTAAACAATAACCATTCTGCTAATAATGATATAAAATGCTGCCTAATTTTAATGACTGTCATATAAACAAATTCAATATGTATATCAAATTCGATGTATGTATGTATGTTGCCTATGGACTCCAAAACGACAGCAGTGATTTTGATGAAATTTTCAGACACTCTTCAGATATGCCCAGCGGGTCATCCTGTAAATTTGGTAGCGACCGGAAGTTTGAACGTGCCACAGATAGAGACCGACTTCAAAAAGGAGAAGATTTTCAATTCGGCTGAATTTTTAAAAGCTCTACTGCTAAATAAAGTAACATTACTTAGATTCGGAAGATTAGGAAACTACATACTTAAAGACTATTTATAATAATTTAGTACGATTAGTGTAGTGGGTGCAAGTAAGAGTTAATAGAATCCTTTCTACGTTTTTGTGTTACATTTCTGTACTTTTAATACAAAAAGGTGAAAATACTCAAAAACTAAAATGCCATTTTTTTTAAATGACAATCTTTCATAGAGACAACGAGGCGATAAAGATCCTGGCAAACTTCACCTATCAGGCAAGCACCACACCACAAGCAAAATAAAAACCATCAAGCTCAACCTATAACTCTTAAAGTCCTTTCTTCTTTTATTAACCTCGCATATAATACACTAACCTCATTTGGGTGGACTCTTAAAGTCCACACGACGTTTGTTCAGATTTTCTTTTTTTCGCAAAATCTTTTGATATTTAAATTATACACGCACGAATCCATCTCAAATAAAATAACAACAAAACATAAAAATGCTCAAAAAAAGGCACGGAAGTATGTCTGTGGGTGTTAGACATACTCAAATAAAAAAAAAATACTAAAATACCTCTGGTGTAGCATCGAGCCTTCAAAAAATTGTGTTACGTGATTACGTCGTTCTTTTTAAGCCACGTATATCTTAGAGAAAACAATTAACGTACATACCTACATTGTATACATATGTTTATACAATAATATTAAAAACCTTACTATTATATAAAGTGGTAACTGGTACATCTTTATATATATAATTCTTCTGTGAGTGTGTATGTCACTGAACTTCTCTCAAACGACTGGACCGATTTTGATGAAATTTTTTGTGTGTGTTCAAGGGGATCTGGGAAAAGTTTAGATTCACAATTTGAATAATAATTTTCATCAAAAAAATTATTAAAAAAAATTTTGAAATTTTCAAATTAAAGACGTGTAGACAGGACAACGTCTGTCGGGTCCGCTAGTAGTAATATATGTATGTAGGTAATATATGTATGTAGGTACATGCGTGCCGCCGACGCCATTGATTTCCGTCAAATCGAACATCGTGATGTTTGACACATCATTAAATTGTTGATATCGGTTGTCCTTGTTTTCAAAATTAACTCAAATTTTATTTATAATTCATATGTATCTTTTTGTATATATATTTTTAAATAACAGTAAAGACTAAACTTGCTAATCCAATTCTGAAGTTTTCTTTCATTAATTTAAAAGAAGTTATTTTTACTATTTTTACGTATATAATGGATTTTTTATAAAAGACATAAAAGATAAACGTCCAAAGAAAAAATATTTTTTTTGCGTCAGAAACCTTCGCAGGCGTATAAACAATAACTCACCAGAGTCTCATCACAATCTGATCAATAGTTTAGGAACGTATAGAGAACAAACATACGAACATTCATTTTAATTTATATAGATAACAATTGTCGTAATTGCTTCGGTAAGTAGTTATGACCTATAACGGGTACTAATCTGTCGGGCTTCATGTAATCGAGTAATAAGCTTACCTTCTGATGCGTAATGCTTGCGATATAGAGCAATACCTTACACTGCAGATTACAAAATAATTTAACGAACAGGTATGCTTTGAGCTAATTTGTTAATTATTATGATGATACGTCTATTACTAATTGGTTTGGCATATAAAAGAAATAATATGAAGTATATTAACTTGAAACTTCTTATATCATGTACATAACTAGCATTGCCCGCGGCTCCGCACGCGTTCAGATGACCAAAAATCAAATTCTTAGGTTTTACATATGAGTATACTCTCACATTTCAATTTTTGTATTTTTTCTCAGAAATGAGACATTTTCCCGCGGTAAAAAGTATCCTATATGTTGACCCGGATAACCAGCTATCACCATACCAAATTTCATTAAAATCCCTCCAATGGTTTTTCTGTGATACGGTAAAAGACAGACAGATAGACAAAAATTCTAAAAACTATAGATTCGGCCTCTGCATCGATAACAATGTTTATTTCAATAAGATTTTCCAATAAATATTTAATGTACAGATTCGGCTTAGTTACAGTTTTATTCTATAACTTGTGCATGTGACTTTGTTTCATGTTTCGAAGGAAAAATAAAGGAAAAGTTAAATATGCCACATAAAATTTACATTCCATGTAGAAAATCCATCCCATCCCTTTTAGAAAATTTAAAAAAGATATCCTTATATTCTGCTATCATATTTTGGATTTATAACAAATTATTATTATGTGTGTGTAAGAGGAACAACAACGTTCGATAATGAAGAACCTTTTTATATATAATAATTGCACTTATGAAAAACCATACAGATATTGCATGTTAAATGATGTAATCAAAGGTGTACGTATCCCTAGAAGAAGATTCTTCCAGTCAACCTATGGACATGGGAGAAAGTATTATGTAGCACGTCAATGAAGTGTGAGAGATATGAAAAAATACAGATATATTGTAACATACACAAACTTTTTATTACAAATCATTTCCGCAGTCCTATCACCGAGCTTTACCGGTTCAAAATATCTTGTTAACCGACTTCCAAAAGGAAGAGGTTCTCAATTCGTCGGAATCTTTTTTTTTTATGTATATTCACCGATTACTCGAAGACGCCTGAACCGATTTGAAAATATATTTTTTTGTTTCAAAGGGGTCAGTCGGAGTCAGCCGATGCAAAGCAAATCTAATATATTTCGATACATAAAATTCATATTTACCTATTAGAAATTCATATCTTAAAATATTGTAGGCTGGCACCGACTTCGAAAATATCTGATTAGGTATCTATTCTAAATGAAAACCTCCGTTTAATTATTTTTAACATTTTAGTGCCTGGAAGTCTGTTATCGGTATCAGTCAGAAAAAAACGTTTTAATTTTTTTTATTCTCTATTATCTACAAGCATGAAGTTTAATTTTTAATCAAGCATTTTAGCATTTACATATTTTTGTCAAGTATGTATGTCGTATTGTAAAACATCAATAATAATTTGTCAAGGTCATATTCAGGTACATAGATCGGGTTCAGACAGACACGTTGTTAATGTTTAACGACGCGGCGTCGATCGATGCTACGTACCTTCCTGAGTCACTTGTACGTATTATTACCATATATCTATTGCTAATCACACTATTATTAATGTGAGACATTGTGACTGAGAACTTGTTTGTTGTGTTTGTTTGTTACATCATCTTGCTGTAACACGTAAACGGATTTCAATGAAATTCGAAAGAGGAAGGAGCGGAGCTGCGAGCAAAAACCAGAATTAAATATATCCTACTTTTAATAACAATTCGTATAAGCAAAAGTATGCGGCACAACAATGAGTTAACGAAATGACATGATTTTGTTAGTGAGCCGGAGAGTGATATAAGTAATTTAAACCGTAGTGCATAAACTTCTCGAAGGATTTTAGTATCAAATACTAAACGAGAGTGGCTAAATCGAAACGTTGGCAGTCAATAATTTTTAATCATTAACTGATTCAATAATTTTCGTAAGAGTAATTTATAATAGAAATTTGTGAATAGCATTCATTGTGTTTAAGAAAAACTTGGATGAAAAATATTTAAAAAAAAAGATCACTTTTGGGTTCAGGCTATTATTATCAATTTGTCTATTTAAGCTCATTCGCATGTTAAGTGCCTGCAAAGTACACACATATATATATATATATATATATATATATATATATATATATATATATATATATATAGATTACAATTATAAACCGGAAAGAACAGCTTACATACGAAAAACTGAAAGCTCGTAAAAATAGATCTGATATTTTTTACACATGTGTTATTAAAAAAAATTGAGTTTTTTTTATATTTCCATAAATATATTATATACGTCTTTATATTTGCTCAATGAAGCAACAAGTTCGCGTGTTCCAAAACCGAGTCGTTACTGAGATTAGCATAACAATAGCTTTTCCAAAACACTCCTAAAGTACGAAACAAATTGAATCTGCTTGTTGATTATAATCTACATTCTTTTAACTTTCAAGGCTGTTTTTATTACGGGCAATAACATTTTTAATCTGTTCATACTAAAGAGATTATTATACTTCTTATTTTTTTACATTATAACTACTAAAAGTTAATTAACACAGACGTTAGTTACTATTTTTATAAAATATTTAATATGTAAATAATTTATGAACTGGTTATTTTATAAAAGCTTTAGGTATTTGAAGTGAAAATGACAAAGGTCAATAAAATCTATAGCTCAAACAGAAAGGTTATCACGAGCTAGATATTGTGTGATAATAGGTGTGGCTTCAATTTGGTGAAAGGCCATCGTAAAATAATATTCATGACCACGCAACATCAACCCCACCTTTGAAAGCCAAGCCTTTACATGCCACTATTCAAATGTTCTAAACGGGTGCTACTTTATACAAAATAACGACTTCAGCTTCGTGTGGGTAATACTTATTCATGTAAAGAATGTTAATGTTAAATGTAATTTAACTGTGAAATATTACCTTTAATATCCCCAAGTAATATATAGGTGTCTATTTGAAGCATAAATGTACTATACTAGCGATTTACCCTCACTTCGCTCAGGTGCGTCCCTAGGAACGTAACTACATATAGCATTGCTACAGTTTAATAGATGTTTTTAGAGGAATAATTCCATTTTACGTTGTTTTCATATAGCTCTACTGGTATATACGGCGCATGCCAGAAAAGCTCCCAGTCGGCATGATTTTTTCCGACATCTTCAATAATCATCCTCATATTTTAGCCAATTTACACAAAGCAGTAATGAATTATATCAATTAATTAATGAAATTACTATTATTATAATTATTAGGAACCGCATCAGTTTGGAATACTATAGCTTGAAAAAATATATGAAAAACACTGCAGCCTACAAAATAAAAATAAAGCATTCACGACGCACATAAGTTGAGAGATATGAATGAGCGATGAATAAAGTACGTAGAGATAGAGTACAAAACGATCATAGAACAATAAATAGGAAGTACATACTAAATGTTAATAATTATAAATTAAAAATTAAAAAAAACCCCTACGCATATTTATTGTCGTTTAACGATTACACTGGAACGCGTAGTAATCATACGCCAAAATGCCTTACATCATTTTGGAAAAGAGCTGATACTCTTACACTGCTGCACCCATATTAACCAAAAATAGCTAAGAACCACCGCAAGGAAACTTGCTTTCAAATGAAAAAACCGCATCGAAATCGGTCCATCCGTTTGAGAGCTACGATGCCACACGCAGACACATACACACACAGACAGACAGACATCGACGTCAAACTTATAACACCCCTCTTTTTGCGTCGGGGGTTAAAAAATAGCAAAAGAATTAGTAAGAAAAGTAATAAAAATATGAATTAAAATATATCAACTAGCGGACCCAATAGACGTACTGCGAATGTTGGCTTTTCGTTTGGATGGTATAATTGATCAGAAAAATTATTTTAATTTTTAGACATGACAATGTCTGTTGGGTCAGCTAGTAATAAAAATAGAAAAATCCTTGAACCGGAATATAGCGCCACCTACCGGGTCCAGTTTAAAAGCTAAGCCATCCAGGTACCCAATCAAAGACAAAAAAAATTCACACCAGTTTAGGAGTTCAGTGACATACACACGTACAGACGAATTATATATTTAAAGATAATAATAGCGTTGGAAAGAACATGTGATACGCAGCAAAAATTGAAAAAATGGAGCATTATAACTTCAACAGCTAACCTAGAGATGGTAAGAGAAACGTAACATAACAAAAAAAGTTAAAATGGCTGTTGGTCCCTACTGAAAAAAAAAAAAATTGAGAAATAAATGCTTATTATTGTTAATCTTATTATAATATTATGCAGTAAAAACTATAAACATAGCTTAATTATGTTAAGTAATGTGAAAAACAACGTAGAGCTAAATAAGCTGCGTGGTTCAGGCGCAATTTAACACTGTAACGTTTACATATACATAAATATATATAACTTAAAGGAAAATGTTAGTGTAGGTTTAATACCAACACATGATGTATGTATGCGATCGTGTGCATAACATTTTAATAATGCAGGAAAGCACATGATAGCTACGGAATGATAATGATACTAGTATAATCGATGTATAAAATATTAAAGCTTTTTGCTGGAAACGTTTATTGATTTAAAAGAAAAATTTTAATAGAACAGATAATAAACATTTTGAACTTTCACAGGCAACTAGGATAATAGGTAAGTAATAGTTTCATAAGCTACTTTCTATCGCTGGAAAAGAAAAGTCTTTTCGCGGTGTACAAGTTTTATAATATTTTTGTTATTATAAAACAACTCGTCAAAATTAACGCTAGTACGTACATATATTATCCAATATTTCGTAATCGGAATAATATATATAATTTCCGCGGTATAGTGAAAATCGAAGTGAAGCGAGGGTGAGTCGCTAAGTTCTTATAAATGCGACTACTTAATTTTACAATTAAAAATAAACAAAGTTACAAACTCCTATTAAGTGTTCTTTTAGAGAATGTTAATTTAAATATTCGTTTAATTACAAAGTTAAATTAAGTTCACAAAGTTTAATAATCTATACCTATTTATTTATCTACATATATATACTGGTCTAATTAAAAAAAATCTTTTTGCGTTTTACTACCTATTTATTGAGAAAGTTTATAGACTATCTTATATTTTGTTTACACTTTTTATTTTATTTACTAGCATTGCCCGCGGCTCCGCCCGCGTTCAAATGACCAAAAACCAAATTCTTAGGTTTTACATATGTGCAGTTTTTGTATTTTTTCTCATAAATGAGAAATTTTCCCGCGGTAAAAAGTAACCTATATGTAGACCCGGATAACCAGCTATTATCTTACCAAATTTCATCAAAATCCCTCCAGTGGTTTTTCCGTGATGCAGTAACAGACAGACAGACAAAAATTCTAAAAACTATAGATTCGGCCTCTGTATCGATAATAATGTCTATTTCAATAAGATTTTAAAAAATATATTTAATGTACAGATTCGGCTTAGTTACAATTTTATGATATGTATAGATTTTAGGAAAACAAACAGTATTACAGAACATACTCGTACCAATTAAGTTTCCATAAGCAAGAAACACATCATTAGAGTAGCAAACATTAGGCTAAATAAAGCAAAAAGATTGACATAGTACACACTACATATATATGTAATACAAACATAATTTAAAGTACTTGAAAATATGAAAATTATTGGAATATTATTATTAGTTTATTTCTTGAAATTTATAACAGAACAATTCATTATATCTTTATAATTAAAAGTGAGTATTATAATCAAGACGGGACCTATGTAAGAACAGATTATAAGCTAATTTTGTTCTTGTGAAAGGTACATAGAATAGACGTTTTTTATGAGTTTGGGAACTTGGACATCTAAAATGAATATTACCAAAAAGACGTGGATAGTTATTAGACATGATAAGGTTATTAAGTAATTTGAATAAAAATAATTAATCTTTCATTTTGTGATGATTCAATAGAGACTGTATAATAGGACATCTTTGCTGGAGAGAATTATTTCTAAAATTTAATCATACTACAACCTACGAGAGCGGAGGAATTCTACAAAAAAAAAAATACCCGGGCTGGAGATGGGAGAAAATGCAAGTTAAATATATAACTATTTGCATATGTAGATTGTTTATAATTGTGTAAGAATTTAAAATATCAAGTTTAACCACAGTTTAATAAACATTGCTACTCTTACCAAATTCCTTACTTAAAAAAACTGAATTGCTTCTTCATAATGACAAACTTATTAAAATACTAGCTGACCAACAGACGTACCATAAATTTATTTGAGATGTTTGAGTTCGTACAAAAATCGCATAGAAAAAAGAAATGTCAGTTATTCCTAAATTTCCCAATCTTACCACCACTGTATTACAACTATTTAAAAAAGAAAGTAGCCAAAAGAAAGCGGCCCAGTTTAAAGTAATGCGCTTATCTACGAATAACATTTCATTTTTATTTAATTTATATATAATTACAAATATTATTAAATATTGAATCGTTTGAAATAGTTGTAAAGTTTCAATAAGGGCGGGTACTCACCTGCGGGGCGCGGCATGGTCGAGTCGGGCAATGCGAGCAGAGTGCGCGCGGAGCGGTAGTGCGCGAGTGTGCGGCCGGCCGCGTCCCGCGCGCCCCGGGCCGCCCCCGCCCGCTCCAGCACACCCACCACCAATGCCTCGTCCCGACAGGCTGCTGTGTAGTGGAGTGGCGTACGACCTTGCTGTTTGTGAGTTCATCTTTATCTTAAGGTGGCTAAGTATGTAGCTGCAATCTTGACAAGCCACGTATGATATCTATATAGTGACAGGTCTACCTAGATGCCTAAAAGTATCCTAAGTGTACCTCCAGGTTACAGTTTATCTGTGTACTTAATTTCATGCAAATCTAACAAGCTGTTTTAACGTGAACGAATAACAAACATACACACATATATACAAACGTATATCATACAAACCTTTATCCTGTTTGTTCAATCGGACTGATTGACAGGTTTTTGCATGCGACTTATAGGAGCCACAATTTTCCAAACAGGACTGGACGTGTTTACGCAGATACAAGACTAATTTATCTAACTCAAACACGTATCAATGCTCAAGTCATCATTTGCATCAAGTTGCTCAAGAAAACCGTAAGAAACACAATGTAGGCAAATCGTATAAGCTTCCACAATATGCAAGCCTGTTAAGCTATGGGCTTATACACATCATAAATGGGGGAAGAGACTTGCGATACTTTCTATTGATCAATAATCAACATCGTATTATAATGTAATTGGATGCGATTTTTGCGATTTATATAAATTTAATAAGGCCCTCTTTCCTTTACGCTCCCTTTCCGCATCCTTTATGTTATTTTTCATTTTCACGCACTTTTCTCTTCTAAATGACCAGAGAATGCCATGATTCTTTAATTCACTCGTCGATGTTAGATTTTTGGTCCCTCTAACATATTTACGCGCTACATTTACCATATGTGGAAATCGAATCATTGATACATACATAACGTATATTCTACTGAACCACGACGATCTTAACACCTTATTTAGGAATTAAAAGAATAATATTTAAAGGTTTTTTTAACAATAACATAAATAATTCTAGGAAGTAATAAATGTTACAAAGTGACACTGAGAAAACCTCTACTCATATTTATATATCTATAGTTAATAAAAAATAAATGTATATTCTATATCGAAGATAACTTACTGAATCTTTCTGATGAACAAGTTGTGGATAGTGGTTGACCAGCCATGCCACGATGTCTGTAAAATTGTAGAACACTGCTTTGTGCAACAACCCAACACCGGCTTCATCTAAGCACATTACGTACTTATGACGATTGTAGTCGCAGTTCAGCAGCTCCTATGTAAAAAATTACGTTTGATAAAATATAACAGAATATTATAAAATAAAAATACATAATATAAAATATAAAATATTTATAATTATACAAATACCCTTAGTGATCAGTTACTTGTCAAAGTAAAATGAATATTGCATGAAAATCATTTAATGATGTTCGGGGATAAAAAATGATTTTATTATGTGTTCTTTTACTTTATGTTAAAAAATATGGAAGTTAAAACGTATATTTCAAAGAAAGGAGCATAGAGCAAAGCTAACTAATCTCATATTTAATTTTTATATTCACACCTGCAGTTCTAAGAGGGACCCCTTTTCAACAGCAGCGTGCAGTGCATTGCATTTGTCTATAAGAGCAACTATGCGCCTGGCAAGTGGTAAGGCCTCTGCCTCAGCGAGGAGGCGACGGCCCTGTCCCGCGAGGACCGCGCGCTCCAGCTTACAATCCACCGCACTGAGTGCCCAATGACGAAGCTGCTCTGATGACACGCCTAACACTAAATAGATATAATTATCAGGCTATTATTATTATTGCGAGATTTTGGGTATGTGTGTGTGTGTGAGAGAGAGAGAGTTGCTTCTTCACGCTGAAACAGTTATACTGATTTTGATTAAATTTAGTAGATAAACAGATAGGCTATAAGTTGGAGAAACACATAGGCTACTATTTGACAATCAGGGTAGCAGATGTGCCAGATGTGCTGGTATTAAATAAACTATAAATATATATGTAAACTTTAATTGTATTGTTAAGAAAATTACTTAAATTCTTTATAATTAAAATAGTCTTAATTAAAATAGTTTCTTATATTTTCGGAGATACTGCCTTCCGTGACCATGATCGATGTAAAGCATTCGAAACGTCGGGAACCAAAAACCAAAATAACCCGCGAAAAAATTCAAAAATATAGTTTTATTTAAAATATCAAATATTGCGTAAATCTAAGAAACTATTATGATTTCTTATAGTTACTACTTATAATATTAAAAAGAAAACATTCCTTTGAATATATTTACGATTAAAGATTTCTTGTATAGCCAATGTTTTAATATTTCAATATAAAAATATTATAATTTACAATTATTTAAGTAAACATATAGAAGGATTTATTAAAATTATCACGAAAATGATCTTCAATAGTGAAATAAAAAGTTTTAAGTCGCTACGAGTAAGCTACGCCGTAGGCGCTACATAAAAAATATATCAGCTTTGATGAACATATTTAAAAGTAAATCATTACTATAAAGTCAAATATACTCAATTTACAAATAAAATTTCAATAGAAGGCCAGTGGAAACACACAGTTATTACCAGTCAGTAACAGAGTCAGTAGTAGAATAATCACAGATGGTCCTATACCTTACGCAGCTAGAATCTGATCGGATTGCGGTTATGTCACCCAATGATTAAATCTTAGTGCCTAAGGTGTGTTTTCTTTTACAAAATTTATTTTTTATGAATTTTATGTATACTAATATTATAAAGAGGTAAAAAGTTTGCAAGTTTGTATGTAGGGGGCATGAACGCATTAGCCACATTCGTTCATGGTAGGGGGTAATATTTGAAACTACTGATCTGCCAGGAAACATAACTTTTGAAGTTAGAAAACAATAGCAGTTGAGTTACTTTATCGGCTATTTTTAGGCACCTAGGAGCGCACCAGAACAAAGCACTATATATCATTTTATTAGAATATATCGCTGTAGATGTTCTTATATGTATATATAGAATGAGAAATGTTATGTACAAGATGATGACTATCAATGCTCTAGAATAAAAATACTAATTAAAATATTATTCCGGTATTTTAGTATATACATATTTTCAAACTATTTATTTTATACTAGCGTTTTCCTGCGACTCCGCTCGCATAGTACATTAATCACTAACATATCATATACTAAAACCTTCTCCGAAACACGCTGCATCTTATAGTATGAGTATTATTCCGATCGGTTCAGTAGTTATCGCAGTATAAGCGAACAAAAAAATCGGCTCTCCATTTATTAGTATAGATTTTCCAACTATAAGTGTTTAATTTTTATTATCTTTTACATATTTCTTTTCGTTTAAAGCTATTATTTTCAACAATAGTACAATTTTCCGTAATAAAGTCATCCTGTATTTGAAAATAAAAGTTTGACGCACGTTTTTGATGCCTGATTACAAGATTTATTTCTTAACAGCGTGTAGTGGCGTCGCGTCTGACCTTAGGCTGACATACACCTGAACTTGCATTCGCCACCCACATAATTATGTATCGTTCGTGTCAAACAACTCTAATGGCAGTTTAGCGCAGATTTTTATGCAAATTCAATAGCCGACTTGAACTCTTGTTTTTTTATTCAAATAAAATTATTTTTACCATTACACGTATGTATTTATACATATCGTTATTATGTAAGGAGCTTCGTTACTGCCAATGCTAATGATTAATGAATAACAAGTTTATTTTCTTGTTGATAATACTAAAAATGGAATGAAATATACATTTTGGGAATAAATTTAAAATAAAAAATATACTCCTATTTTTTAAGCTTTGTGTACCTATTCCAACTTCATCAAATGATGATGTTCTATTTTCTGTATCAATGTAAAAAATAAGCTATGGACTGATAGAAAAATTATAGATAGTAGGTAAGTATTTATTGTTTCAAGTGTAATTTTTAAATTTAAATAAGATAATCTTTAATGAAAGAAATATATAAATATATCAATAGCATAAATTTACTTAAATCTCAAAACTGTAGCTTAGAACTTTTTTTGGTCTTTGATAGTATTTTTATGTAAAAAAAAATAGATTGGATCATGGTATTGTTGCTAAACTTCAGACCAACTCATTACAATTTTAATAATATTACATACTACGCACGATGATCTATGGATGATTTTGACTGTACTTCCAACCAATTCTACTACATAGTTATAGACCAAATGTAACGTAAGTAAATGTAATAATACATATTCATCAACTTATTTTGGTGCGGGCTTAATTGTCGTAAAGATAGCAAACACGCGCTTGTCGTTATTAATGACGTCAGCTGTAGTTCGAAAAATGTATATTATGTATTAATATGTCCTTTCTTTCATTTATATGAGGCAAAATACAGTTATGTAGGTATAAAATATTGAATAATATGACATTTAAAAACTCGTCTAGAAAACTTCGGCCAGTCATAGAAATATGATTACCCATCGTAAAAAAATATTTATTCTTAATTAAGATTACTTACGTTGATTATAAATCCATGCATTATTTTCTGTAAACAAGTAAAATACAAAGCTTATCCTTATCTTGGTCCAGGGATCCCTTATGGTTTGGTGACGTATTTATATGTCAACTTTTATTTAAATTTACAGTTCCTGGGCTACAGTTTAGCTCGGAGTTTTTGACCTAAGGTACAATTTTCTTTTAAAAAAAAACTAAAACTTGAATAAATATTAAAAAAAAAACAAAAGTAAAAATTTGTATGTGACCGAGATTCCTGAATTGTTGATCTTGCACCTTGGCCGCTTGACCACGATTCTAACACCAGAGTATGCAAATTACCGACCATATTTTGCGTAGAATAATGCAAAAGAAAACTGCATGAAAACTCGAAAACACACGTTTTCTCACATAAGACCAATATAGATCGATTTATCGCCCTACCTACTTTTAAATACCCGATGTCTCTAAATTGTATAGTTTCATGGAATGTTACATTGTAAAGAATGGTAATTGTTATTTTATATGTATACACACAGCTGGGTAAACTGTTAGTGGTCACCGAACCCGCGTCAATTTTAACGAATGAACTTATTTATTATTCGGGTTGCTTTTAACTTTTAAACGTATATTATAACAGATTATTAGCAAGCCTTATCACTTATGGTATTAGCAATAAAATAATAAATTGGTACAAAGTGATCTAAATTCTATAAAAAATATATAACTTTCACTTGTTGAAAATGAGGACTATAATAATAAAAATACTAAATTTATTACACAATATATACACAGAAATCAAACAGCAAAATAATGTGTTTTATTTAATGTTGCCTCATATTTAGTAAAGAAGGCTTTATAGTAAAGCTAATAAAAAAAGCTAATAAATATCAAACTATTGTATACTTTCATACGTTTTTTATAACTTTATTTTATATCTTTATAATATAATTAGGAACTTGAAATAACAAATAACATCCAATTAACTTATTTAAAGAAAATTATTCAAAAACTCCGGATCTTTATTACTATATATGTATAATATGTATTTTATTTTAATAATTATTATAATTATTTGTGTCTTTAAAATATATTAATTAATATATAACTAAATTAAAAAAAAATTAAGTAACATAAAAAGTCTAAAACAAACAAACCTCTCGCAATTCCGAAACGTAGCTTACCTGCAATTTTTAAGTTTGCTTAGCCTCCTTTCTGTGATTTGGATAAACTTTTCATAAAAGCTCGTGTATTTTATGCAATACACTTATTACGATCACGCTAAGGTCGCGTTCATAAGCATTTTATAAAGAATTATGCATAATTCAAATATTAATAATGTTAGAAGACCGTGACCAAGGGGAAATAAATAATAATAAAAAGTGATGGTTAAAAAAAAATAATTTCACATTGTGATGATGATGATGTTCTCCTAGCCGATTCCGGCCACGGCGGCCAATCTCAATGAGATTAGCCAACTGCGCAGGAGATATTATAGTGCTCAAGTGTACGCGCAGACACAAGTGCACTCTCTATTCCTATCACTCTCATACTCCGGTGGGACGACCACTCGACACGACCGGTGAGAGTTAAGGCGCAGGACCGACGGCTTTACGTGCTCTCCGAGGCACGGGGGTGAAACACCGCCAACTTCCCAACTCCGGGCTGTTACTGAGACTTACTATACAGGAAGACTCAATAACTAAACTTGGCCCGACCCGGGACTCGAACCCAGGACCTCCGGGTGTGCAGCCGTACATGCTAGCCACTACACCACCGAGGCAGTTTCACATTGTATTTACGTAATAAAAATGAAAGTTTTCTATTACACTATTTACCATTGACGTCAAAAGGGTTTATGTATATATAAATGGGCAAAGGCAAAGCAATTAACGAGCTTTAGTCGTAGTAATAAAAAAAATGATTAGGTTCCTATTTTGACCACTTAGCGAAAATTAGATAAATAAAATATAATATTGTTTAAAAAATTAAATGTAAGATTGAAAATATTCTTGTATGTTAATGTTTCTATTGTTATTCCTCATCAAATATATATATTCCTAACCTCTACAGTTTGTTACCTGTTCACATTTTACTATCATTAGGTGCGGGTCATTAAGACCCCTATCGCTTGCTAGCATATTATCAGGCATGTTATGACTCAAAATATACGTACACAAGGCTCAAACTTCAATTCAATTGCTCTTATGGCTATAATAAACCACTTTCTCGCAAACATACAACGCGTTTACTATATTAATGGATTCCTTGGCGTTAGTTTTCAATCTCCTACACTCAGGTTTGTTTTGATAAAAATACAGTACCTGGGCTACCGAGCTTCGCACGGAGATTTTGGCCTTAAGTACAATTTTCTTTTTTTTTAAACTAAAAACTTGAATAAATATTAAAAAAAAACAAAAGTAAAAACTTTATTGTATGCGACCGAGATTCGAACCTGGACACCTGTGATTTTTGATCTTGCACCTTGGCCGCTTGCTAGGGTATGATTACTCGACACACAAGAAATATTTTTTGTATATTAAGACAGGGAAAAAATATTTTTATTGATTGAAATATGAAATATATTATAGTGTATTTTTATTTTATCGTTAAGTAGGTAAGTGTCTTGTGTGTATTCAATTATTTTCACATTTATTTTATGCAATATTATAGTTGTTCGAAATTTAGTTGAAATTAATAAGGCTTTAAATGACTTTATTAACACCATAAATTAATTTAAATACTAGGTATTATGATTAAGGCTTTGTCACGGCGCACGCTACCGTGCTTACACTCATGTAAGAGTCGCGTCACGCTCAGCACGCGACGTGCTTTTTGCAAAGTCCGATCTTCTAAAATTTTAATAAAAAATCTACTACATAGTTTGGAATATTCCGAAATAATCTATAAAAGTATAAAATAAAAGACGATTGCCCGAGCAATGACATTATAAACCTACTTTTTTTATATATTGTACCATTCTCCGTCTCTGCTTGCTTAGAATTACAAATTCTAGTTTCCAACTTAGCTACTATTTATATGAATTAGAAAAATAGTTAAGAAAGAATAAGATACCTATCGCTTTTTTTATTCATAAACCGTGTACCCCTCAGTTACATGGCCAGTGCCACGGTCATTATTGTTTTTGTAATTTGACTACACCATCGTGTAGCGGTGGCATTAGCGGCAAATATCAACTATTATAAGATGTAACTATTTTTTTATGTAACTATTACACAAATAGTAATAGTGTCCAAGTAAAATAACATATGGACATGACAAAATTAGAGAGATTCCGTTTTTGTTGTTTGGCTACTGAACCTAAAAACGATAAATTAAGTAATGTTTTATTTCCCCTTACATTTTGGCGGACTATAATGTACGTAGAGTCCATTCTTCTTTCCGCTGCGATCTGCTAGTCCCTTTTTTATAGCTTCCATTTCACTTGTATATTTTAATATATTTTACATTTTAATTTTTGCACTATTTTTATAAATAGAGGTTTACAAACATATTCCTGCTTGTATTGTCATTATTTATCCTTCTATTTTATGAGATAATAAAAATATGTAATATCATTTTAAATTAATAAAAATAAAATATTTAATAATACTGCTATTATTTTAATAAAAGACATACCAATAATGTCTAAATCTGTTATAAAAAAAATGCCTGCCATTTTAATAGAAACAATGTATCTTATCATTGTAACAAACTTTTCCATAAAAAATAAAAACAGAATTACTTTCAGGTTTCAAACCAATTTACGTGGCAATTAGTTGTCTATCTAACATAGAACATGGTCATTTAAAACTATGTAGGCAGGCAATCGATTTTATAGCCGGCAGGCACGAACGATCGAAAATGTGCCTTATCAAATATTTACGGGTCCGTCCTACTGACACCAGTCTATCGAATGTTCTTCGTCACAACAAAAATAAATTATGAACCCTCATGTGAACTCACTTTAAGGATTTGTGTATTCATGAAATCGTTAATTAACAGAAGCTTTAAATTTTCGTATAAATTTATTTTAATTATCTATAATTTAAAAATTTTCTACACGCAATTGATAATACTCCTAATTTTCGTTTAGAATAACTATTTCTGAATTATATTGTTTGATAAAAATCTTCTTTTATTAGTATTGATATTATTATATTTGCAAAATGTTTTATACGTATATGAGACAAAAGCAACAGCGATATACTGAATTGTGAAAACCGTAGACACGGTGCTACGTGGCGTCTTACTACGTATCCTACAATAGGTACATTCTTGCTAATAAGTTTATTGTAATTTAATTTAATTTTTTTCACAGTTTAGCTGTATCGTTAAAATATACATTTACAATAATTTCATAGGCTTTCATATATTGTAGGTATATTTTTATTGTAAAGCTTAATAACTTCAATAGCAAGATTATTATGTAGGTATGTATTTAGGTACATTTAAATATTTTTGAATTTTAGATTTTTTTAGTTGTAGTTTTCTCATAAACATTGATAAAGATTCTTAAATTTCAAGATTAATAATGCAAATGACGTAATAAAATATTCTTAAAACATAGTAGCCATAGATTAAAAGAAATTATTACGCTGTGCATTGAAATAACGGTAACAGCAAGCCCCATTATAATAATAAATAGGCTATATATATAGGGTAAACTTTTCTATCGTCCCACAAAAGTTATTAAGGTTGTATGAATTAAATGAAATATTTTAAATATTTAACTGAAATCATCCTGTAATACAGCATTCAATCTTATTTCGAAGTACCTACCAAAATTTTACACATAACTTAATGGCAGCACTGTGCATGATATGGCAATTTCCTTATAAAAAAATGTAGTGAAAAGAAGGTTGTTATTAAGGAGTTGAATTTGTAACGCCTAGGAATTAATTAAAGTCTAATTTGCCTTACGTTGTTTAAGACATATTATCTGACTTTATATGTATAATAATATGTCAGCCACTAGACCTGCCTCAGACCTAGACCAAGTGGCTAGCATCTACGGCTGTAGATCGCCTCGAGTCTCGGGATAGGACAAGTTTTGGTTATTGATTCTTTCTCTTAAGGAAGTCTCAAATACCGCCTAGTTGGGAAGTTGGCGGTGTTTCTTCTCCGTGCCGTGAAGAGAGCGTAAAGCCGCCGGTTCTGCGCTTAATCTCTCACCGATCGTGGCGAATCTGTCTGCTCTCACGCTTTTTTACTATTATATCTCCTATACAGTGGGCTAACTTCAGAAAGTCTTGCCTCCGTGGCCAAAATCGGCCAGGTCATATAAATGTGTCTCACGTCTATGAAATAAATTTTTTGTATTGAGTTATCCTTATAACGATGTGTCATGAGCCGTAATGGAAAAGGTTTTATATTTTACACAATCCATGTCTTTTTTAATAATATATTTTAGCGTTCTGCCCTCATTTCGCTCTGGCTCGTCTCTAGATAACTTTGCGCGCATGTCGCGCTTTATTTTCATTTTTAGGGTTCCGTACCTCAAAAGATAAAAAAGGAACCCTTATAAGATCACTCTCTTGTCCGTCTGTCTGTTCGTGTGTCACCACCGATTTTCTCAGGAGTGGACCTAGCAAGTTGAAATTTATACCAGATACTGAGGTCTATAGTCCCTATTAGGTGTATAAAAAGGTCCTAAGTCAAAAATTTACCTTCATTTTCGACTTTTTTATTTTTCGGAGTTTTTCTTCTACTTGTGCTGTAAGTCCTAGCTTTTAACCAAAATTGACAATTCTAGATGAACTGGATGTACCCTATAGGTCGAGGTCGAGGTCGAAAACCTACATATGTATATGGTAGTTCCCGTTGACCTAGAATCACGAAATTTGGCAAAAAGCAAGGTTACAGCACAAATAAAGGAAAAATTCCAAAAAATAAAAAAAGTTGAAAATTAAAGTTAAACAGATTTCCTACAAATTTGTACGGAACCCTCGGTGGGCGAGTCCGACTCCGATTTTTTTAAATTATAAAATAACATAATATAAAGAGCAAATTTTATCTTCATTAAGTATTTCTAAATTGTAATAATGAAATTGTATATGTAAAAAATGTGTAAGACTGTAAAAACTTAAATGAGAATAAAAACAATAGACGTTGTAATTTTATTGGCATGTATCAAAAGTTAAAATGAATGAGTATAAGACTTGATGTATTGTTGTTTGCAGTTCCTTTTAAAATAATATGTAGCATACATATTATTTTAAAATATACATACATACTATTTCATAAAATTTTCCTCACTATTTGAGAGTGTTACATTTATATTCAAGCCGACGTCTCTCCTGTTAGCAGTTGAACGTGCCTTTTCAGTTTCTACTGTATTATTACTGTCAGCTTGGGCTAAAATAAAAAAAATACCAAAATTATATTAGAACTCTTTGATCTAAAATGATCTTAGTGACTAGTCTTTATTAAACCGGTTCAAATCTTTTTTGAAACCAGTTATATTAGTATGTATAATGTGTATGCACATATATTTAGTCAATTTATATAAATATTAACAACCTAATGCCGGCCTTCGGTATATAAACTAAAAAGTTTATGAAATATATCAATTTTTGCTTACGTACCTTTATTCAATTGTACATTAAGTATCCGATGATACAATTCATTAAACTTCTTTTGACGTTTCATGTTAGATGGTGTCTTAACAACCAGAGTAGGTAATAAAATAAAATGCTCAAGATTAGGTTCTTCCTTATTATAATTTTTGCGAGAAGAGTTCTTTTTAATTACCAGACGTGGATTTCTTACACGTGCTTTGTTAGTTGTAGTACTACTTTCACTTGTTACTACTTGAGCTACTGTACCTCTTGTCGTTCCCGATTTATGTTTCGAATCTCTTATTTGGTTTGGAGGGCTTAATGTATGATAACAGCATGTGGGATCTCTATGTACTTTAGAACGATGTCTAACATAGCTTGGGCCCGGGGGACAATCTTCCTCTCTGAAGTGTCGATGGTGTCTTGATTCCGATTGTGGTAGACGATCACGACTTCTAGATTTTCTTCGAGACTTGGACTCATTTGTATTTCGACTTCCTTCTACCATTTTGATGGACCTATGATCATTCATATCATCTTTTCTACCTTCATTACTCGATCTAGTTTTGTGACTAGCGACTATTATATCTCCAGTTTTACCAACAGGTCGGCAGTTTTCGTGACGATGGTTAAGCTTAACAATTCTGTAATGACGCCGCCGCCTTCGTTCAACGTGGGCTACCCGCTCCCTTAGCAAGCTATCAATTAAACGCTGTAATTCTGATCTTGTACCATATCTTTCTGGGTGTGGTACACGACGTCCAAACCTTGTATTTGGCCAATGTGTTCGGCAAACATCCTCCCATATTATATCGCTTAATACATCTTCTCTAGATGGTGTTAATTTTATTCCATCATCCCTGGGAGCGAATTCACCTTGCGCTAAATAATGTACAGTATCCATAAGCCTATAATCTCGAACAGGGTTTAGTTGGTGTCTAATTTTATGTACTCTATCCGCAGCCATTTTTGAAGCGTCATCTCGTTTGCATGGAACTGATGCGCATTGACGTCTGCCTCTTGCTGTAATGCCATCATAAAGAGTAAAATTGCGTCCATACTGTTCAGAATTGTGTTCTTTTTGAATAGTAGTAGTTTTGCTAGGAGATAAAGGTGAGGGCTGCTGAGAATAGCGTTGAAATGCTGAGGTTTCAGGAATATGGCTGTATTCAACGTAGCTACAACCTGGTTGGCCAGTACTTGACGTTGTTGTCATTGCATGATCCCTTGATTCTTCATCAGAAGAAGACAACGAAATCTTTGGACCAACCGAACGAAATACCATTTCCTGCTTTAAAATTTTTCTTTCTAAATCCTCTATTCTTTTATTTAAAGTAATTATATTATTAGGAGAGAGCAATATATCTTCAGACGGAGTGTTGGTTATTACCAGAGTTCCAATGTCAACTTTCCTTGGTGAACATTTATTAGTGTCAAAATTTTTATCTACTTTTGGATAAGTCATAGTCAATTGCGGTTGAGTGTAAACATAACATTTTTCTGCAGATCTTTGCTTATAAACTGTGGTATCTTGTGATGTAATATCAGACCATTTTGTAATCTCTGTAGAACTTTCCAATCTACTCGTTGAAGTTTTTTCAGCTATGATTTCGCTATGAGCGCGCTTTTGATATAGATAAGACGAACACGCAAGGGAACTCACTGTATTAGTTGTCTCACCAGTTAGATCTAAAATGTATATTTAATTTTCATAAGAAATATTTAAACTATATTATATGTTAGATCTTATTATTAATTAAAAACTTACTTGTTGTGACAGTTGAATGGTCTCCTATAGCTAATCGGGAGCGTGACTTTTCAGAACTCTGGTCAAAAATAAATACAGATAAATATGTGAAACAAAAACATTAAACTGTAATTTTAAAATTATTTACCTTCTTAGTATGATAACGACTCTTTTCTGCTAAATATAAAGCCTTAATTGCTTTCGAATTTGGAGCCTTTGGTTTTATTGAAACAAGAACTTTTTGTGACGGATGTTTACTAGATTGGCTTTTTTGTAATATTTCTGGAAAGAAAATAATCACAATTTTGGTAAAAATAAATTAAAATTTTCTTACTACCATTTTCTTGGCTATTAAAATCAAATAAACTCAGATTTAGATATAAAATATCGTGATTAAATATAATTAAGTAAAGGTCTAAAAATTTATCCCCTTGCGTAATAAAGAGGACCCATAAAATTCAACTTAAAGAATACATAGGTACATACAATAATTACAAACTTACCAAGTAATATTTTTTTAGGTTGGTGTGTTGAATTTTCAGCAACAGTATGGTAATTAGCTTCTTGTATAGATATTAATTTCTTATTTGATGGAGTCTGTTTATGTTCCATCACATTTTATTTTCGTCTTTCCGAGCATACTTATGTTTTAGCTTATATAAGTCTATGTTAATTTAAGAAAACAATAATTTACATGAAAAATAAACGTCTACTATCTAAACATCTTGTTAATCATCTGAAATTATGACGTTAGTTATATTCTTTTTCATTCTGTGGGTGTATTTTCATGAAAGAAAAAGTTTCTAAGTCGTGGATTTCATTATCTTCTTTTTCATTAACTTGTTTTAAATACTAGCATTGTAGTATTGTAGATGAATATCTTACAAAAATCATAGATGCTTCTTTATGTAAATACGAATATATGAAAGCTTTAAAGCCTTATTAAAATTATATATAGTGATATATTGTATAGGTACTGAGTGATTTCGAAAATAGAAGTTATAAAAAAAAACAAGAAAGTAGATGTCAAAATTGCATAGCGTGACGTTTGAACCATTTGTAATTATAGTAAATTATTAGCAGATTTTTAGGTGTTATTAAAGTGAGTGTTGGAGGTGAATCGGACGTATGGATGTTTGATTAATTTATATAAAAATGTCGGAACAAGAAAAAAAGAGTGGTGAGAGTGCTATCAGTAGTTCCATGGTCATGGTGGAGAAGACGACTGGCAGCCGCCACAAACAGCTTTTTCGACCCAACGATCTGCAAGAAGACTCTGAAATTCACCATAAACGTCCAAAAACACCTTTAGTACCTTGTAATTGCTTTATCTCATTTTGATAAAAGGTTTTTCATTAGGCTAATTGTAGGATGACAAGTTATCTCGTTCTGTAATGCACTTACTATATTTCTCTATATTCTTACATTGTTAGCATTTGGTTACATATTTTTCCTATCATATATATAGGTAAAGGTAAAGTATAAATGTCTAAAATAATGCATAAGAAATAAAAAGGAGTATAAGAATAGGGGCATAGTATTATTGATTTTCAATTAGAGACAAAAAGATAAATACAACAATATTAAATAGTGTACTCATGGATACTGACTTAAATACATACGTGGCCTATATTTTGTAATTATTACTGTGCTTAGGTAATTAGTATTAAAAATTCTCATTTTTAAGCTGTAGAAGAAGAACTAAAAAATTTAACAGAAGATTCAACTCTTCCTGAAAATGTCACTCTTCCTGAGTATGCAGAAATTAAGGAGCGAATGGAATGTGAGAATGGTAAGCTTTTAGAACAAGATTAAAACGAAATTCTTATTTATTAACCCTAATATGTTACTTATATTTTCAGCAGTTATTGTTGATTCTGACAAACATAAACAAAGCGTTGCAAAAAAATTGTCGTCTAGGATGGAAAGGCGGGAAAATTCACCCGAGTCCATTACATTAGCTCCTATAGAAGTGGATAGTAAGGTGAATCATTAAATCACTACTGTACACAACTGTCACGCGACAGTCGTGCTTTAGCCAGTAGTAAATAAAAATATTTACTCGCACACTGACAATAGATAAAATTGTTTTGTTCTTTATATAACCATTATCCAATGTCCAGTGCCAGTGCCCAGTGATAATGCACTCGCTTGGGAAACCGAGTGAAACGGGTTCAAATCCCGGGTCTCGCACCTCTGATATTTTCATGTGCGAATATCATTTCCAACTTGTCTTACGATGAAGGAAAATATCGTGAGGAAGTTTGCATGTCTGGGACAATCTAGCAGGTTTTCGAAAGACATCTGAAGACCGACAACCCGCAATTGGCTAGCGTGGTGTACTATAACCTGATCTCTCTCGTATTGATGGAACCGTACCCAGCAAGAAGTAGGACGTTATAAAAAAATGGCTGAATATAATACACACACATATGTATACATCGTAATAAAACTTATTAGACTCCAAATCAATGTTTATTTCAACATAATATTTTTCGTTCTTATTCTAATTGACATTTGACATTTAAAAAAAACTATCTTTTCGGATTTTTTCGCGGATTTATTTTGATTTTTGGTTCCCGACGTTTTGAATGCTTTACAGCAATCATGGTCACAGGAAGGACTAAGGATTTAGATGTGGATGTCTCAAAGACATTATATAGTTGTTACAGACAGCCTACCCACATCATACCACATAAGAAAATAAATTAAAAATATTGAAAATGGTACCAAAGTACCTTACAATATTTATTAATTTTAATTTATAACATTTTTATAATTTTAATAAATGTTATAATTGAATATGTAATATTATTTATTTAATTTTAGCTGATATTGTTATGATTATTATATTTTTTTAGAAAACTTTATTAATTAGTTATTTACATTAAATTTCAGATAGGTGCAGCTATATCTTTACCACAACCATCCGAAAAAGAACCTGACGAAGACAGCGTCAATAAAGAAATTGCAGAACTACACACTCCTGAGATGGCAATAAAACACTCTGAATGGGTAAGCATTTCAACTTTCTATTATAAAAACGCTATTACTTAGAAGAACGAATTACTAACATTACGTTATTTTAAGTATGATGTAAATAGAGAGCCTATAATATTTAGACTATTAATTATATAAATATAGTTGTAATATTATAAATATATAAATATAGCTATAATATGTATTATAAATACAAATATATATAGTTGCTAGTATATATGTATATAATATAGTTGTCGCATTGTATTTACCGGCTAACATTCTCTTCCATATAAAGATTGGCAGGAAGAGATCTCTTTCAGAGATAAGTCCACCTTTGTAATCTAATTTTGTGTTTTTTATTGTGCAATAAAGGTAATCTTGGATTCTTTTTTCATTATTAAATTACTAATTATTTAAAAATACAAGGCAGCCCGCACGCTTAGATTCATTTAAAATAGTTTTTTTTTGGTATTAGTAGTAGGTACATCGACAGACTTTAAATGCAGTGTATTTTAATAATAATATTCTTGATAAAGCTAAGTGTGTATTTCCCGTGGGTTCAATATTTATTTATTGATTACTTTAATATTCAATATGTACATAAATATTAAAGTAATATTTAATATGAATATTAAAGTCCTTTTCATTGATTAACGTATATTTTTTATTTTTAAACCTGGTTGTTATACTACATTATTACGTCTTTACGAATAAACTGAAATTATATTTATCTGTCGGTTTGTATTATTAACTATAACCTCAAATATGGGTTGCTTCTTTAAAAAATTAAAAATATACACATGTAGTTTGAGAACAAAATAATTTGAAGATTGTTACTCGCTCGCAACGTTCGCAATACCGAACGTTATTTAACTTTTTTATTTTTCCGCGTTCTTTTTTATTTAAACTCCCAAACATTATTATCTACATTTTTTTCATATATATTTTTATGATGACACTACGTTATTACTGTTATAGTCTGACGATGAGGAAGCGGGCGGGCTGCCGCGTAGCGACTCGCGCTCGTCTCGCGTCTCCCGCATGGTACGGCAGTTCTTTTGTTGCGGACTCGCTTATGAAGCACCCTCTGAGGATAACGTCTCAACACATCGTGCCTATGGACAAGGCATATAAGTCCAAAATTTCATATAAGACGTACTCGCTGTGATATAACTTGTATTATTTGTAATGACTGCCCATTTTCGATTTTAATTCAAAATATATCTATCATTTCGATGTTAAAGTAATAATTTACACATTTTACAAAACGAGTACCTTATTTTATGAATATTGAATCGAATATGGTCCGCTAGATTAAAAGTCAATGAATATATTGCATGTACTTTACACTGTACATAAAATTATTAATAAAAACAGTATTGTTTTCTTCTTGACACTTGAAAATGCTATTTATTTATTCTAAATAAAATTTCAGTTTTATAGTTTACTGTCGCTAAGTGAGCCTGTTGCATTTAAAGTGTATATCTTGACCTTTCCTATATCATGTTACTATTACGTATTTAAATATAAATTGTAAATGTATTAGTAGTATTTTAATATATTATTGTAATATTATACTGATTGTTTTATTAAAAATAGGTAATTTAAAACTGCTGTAGTGATAAAAATTATAATACATAATTTGATTCGCAATAGATGCCGATTTCAGTAGTTAAAATTAAGGTTGTTAAAATTTTCTTGCAGCTTTCGTCCACGTTGAAGAAAAAGGAAATATCTTGGAATGATAAAAAATATAAGGAAAATATAGAGCCTAAAGTAAGTTTCAAATGGTATCGAACTCTATAGAATTTTGTACTCTATAGAATAATGTATATTGATTTTAATAATTCCTTAAAGAGCTTAATATATATTTGTTATTTTATAGGAGTCTACACCAAAATCCATATTAGACCGACGAGCTTCTATAACACCTTGTTTTAGACCAATGAGGCCACATGAAGGACCCTCTGGAATTTCTATAAATTTGCCGAAGGTCTTATTATCACTGTTTCCTTAAAAATTATCTAAAAATTTATCTATCTACAACACGTATATATTTCATATTATTATCATATATATTTCCAGAAATCTTCGAAGTGTGTAAATCAACCTTCAGGCATAAATATTAATATTTCAAGGGTGAGCTTTTTTCATATTTTTTTTATAGTTTATCAAAAGAATAAATTAAAAATTAAAAAAAAAACCCGACCTTCTTGGACCCATTTTCATCAAACAGTGTTCTTCACACTCCCGACTAATTCACCTTTCAACAAAAAAAACAAAATTCTGTGTCATGACACGTCAAACTTATAACACCGGGGGTTAAAAATAATTGAAATTAGTTAATTGCTTAATAATATTGTACAAACCGTTGTTATTATTATTCGATAGAAATGTATAGCAAGCAAATCAAAAATTACCAGTGACGAGCATCGAGACAACGAAACCAATGAAAGTTCATTGGAGAAAGCTGAAAAGGTATTAATATGAAAAGTTTGTAAGCATATTTACTGTATTCATAATATAGAGAATATTTATGTAATCGAAACATTACAGATCAAGTGTGACGCAGCTTTTGCAAGTTTCGTCGACAATCTTAAAGAAAAGTTTAGTAATATTCAAACTAAAATGAAAAATATTTTTCAAACTTAATATAACTTGGTTTTATAAATAAACGATTATTTTATATTTTATCCGTTGTGTATATTCATTTTAAATAATCACTAATAAATACAAAACAGAATTACAAAAGGTTTACGAATGTCATAACACAATAATTTTAAATACAATAAAAACATTACTCGTATATATTTGTCAATTTTCAATGTATGTCGTTCATTAACTAGATGTTAATAGAAACAGCATGTTATTTTAAGAATCTTTCATCTTTCCTCTCAAAGCCTGATCGATGCGGACACTTCTAGGCACATTACACACGTTACACGAAGGTCCCTTTAAAGGTATTTGATGGGTCAAGTTAGCAGCGCGAGCCGCGTTGTAGTCGGCCTCGCGAGGTCTCCAGCATAGCTCAGTACTGCTACACTTAGAGCTCATCTCGCGGCATATCTAAATAAATACATTATACTATTCATTCATAAGGTATATATGGAATGATGATTAATTTATTTTGTATGTATGTCGTATTCAGCCCTTTTTAAGGTCCCACTACTGGGCACGGGCCTCCCTTCAATACGAAGGTAATCAGGCCATAGTCCACCACGCTGGCCAAGTGCGGGTTGGCGGACTTCACATATCTTTCAAAAACTTGCTAGGTTTTCTCAGACATGCAGGTTTCCTCACGATGTTTTCCTTCACCTTCACATATAAGAGTGGTAATCATATTAGGAATGATTCGCGCATGAAAATATCAGAGGTGCGAGATCCGGGAATTGAACCCGCCTCACTCGTTTTCCCAGACGAGCGCGTTACCACTGGGCTACAACTGCCTTAATTAATTTATGTTACTTAAAATAATCTACACGTAAATTTTACGCATAGATTATTTATTACTTATTTGCACGATTCTGAAGCCTAAAACCATTTAAAACAATATCTATGTCATATTATACACGCGTATTTCCATAGACGTAGAGAATGAAAACGCGCGTCTAATACCTGTCTTTTATTCCAATTTGATTTTATAAATATTAGAATGTTAAAAAAATATAAAATAGTGTAATAGATAAAACTGGTTATATATGTCTATGTTCAAATTAATCGTATTTAAATTAATCAAGAAGGTTGCTGGCCGCACATTTGTTTTGTCTCTGTCGCGCAGAAAGGTACCAATTTTAGTTAACAGATAGCAAAGAAACACTCGGTCGACTCTCTACGTCTATTTCATTCGTTGTAAATAAGTGATAGTAAATTGGCAATATAAATGCAAAAAGCTATGTAAACATAGAATAAATAATTTGTCTCAGTTTACCTTTGTCCAATAAATTAATTTAAGATAATGTATTTAATTATTTACACTTACGGATGCGAGATATTCATCTCGACAAGAATCCGGCCAGTCGCAGGTCCAGTTAGTAGGCACAATGGGCGGCGTGAAGCAAGTGCAAGGATGAGTCACACACGTGGAACAACAACATTGTTGACACATCGAGTATACCTGATAAAATACTCGTACTTTGTTAGATTTACGCGAATATTTGACATTTTAAATAAAGCTATCTTCACGGAATTTTCGAATTTATTTTAATTTTTCATTCCCAACTTTCAACTTCAACTCAACAAATTCTCTTGGGTAGAGAGAGATTAAGGTATATCAAATAAAATTTTAAAAACGAGAAAAGTAGGAAATTTTCCTTTTTAACCCCCGACGCAAAAAGAGGGGTGATATAAGTTTGACGTCATGTCTGTCTGTGTGTGTGTGTCTGTCTGTGGCATCGTAGCTCTCAAACGGATGGACCGATTTCGATGCGGTTTTTTCATTTGAAAACTAGTTTCCTTGCGGTGGTTCTTAGCTATGTTTGGTTAATATCGGTCCAGCAGTGTAATAGTATCAGCTCTTTTTCAAAATGATGTAAGGTATTTTGGTGTATGATTACTCGATTAAGGGCTTCACGCGTGCCAGTGTAATCGTTAAATGACAATTAATTTGCGTAGGGGGTTTTTAAATTTTTAATATATAAATTATACATATACTAATTAGCCATAAATTGATTCTTACCAGCCAAATAGCACGAGCTATCTCATTTCGTACATACGGCAAGCAATTGCACATTAGACAGTTTTCAAACTTGGAAAGCTCTGGTATACCTAAATTCTTTTCTATACCAGAAGGTCCTAATATCACCTGAAAAAAAAATCTTTTAATTAGATATTTTGCTTTTTTGTTTACGTCAAAACGGATAATTTTTTTATGTATATGTTTTTTATAGACATAGATAGAGTTGGAATTCGACTTGTTTGCTGTACAACGACTTAAGTTACCTTTCATGACGAAGAAAATCGGGGGGCACGGAGTGCCCCCGCCAAGTCGAGCAAAAAAGGGCACGACAGTACCATCCTTTTCTCGAAGCGATTCAGAGCATTTTCCACCCCCCCATAACTTCGTTATGGATAAAGATAGAAGCCTGAATTTTCAGGGACTAAAAGAACATAATAAAACTAGGCATATTTCCAAATTACATTCAATTTGAACCTGTAGTTTAAGAACTGTTGCAGATCAAAATTCGTTAATATCGTCACTCACACACTCACTCACTCACTCACCGATCATCAAAATTCTAAGGTACTTCTAGCAGACATAGGAGCTTCAAATTTTGAACACAATTAGTGTTTAGCCTATAACAGAAGGAAAAACTCAAACATCACGAAATTTCAATGCTGTTTTCGAGATATACAAACTGCATAAGTAACTTTGTAATCCTATACAAATAGATATCCGATATATGGGATTACAAGGTTATTTTTGCAGTTCATACATATCATTTTTCGTCACTTAAACTAAAATATTTTAATTAAATTTACACTATTTTTTCCTTCTATTATTTAAATTAAATATTATTTTTTTAATACCCGATATCTTACTTTTATTTTTTTCACCTCATTCATATATTCTAATATAATTTATAATTAACTAGCTGTACCCGCGGCTTCGCCCGCGATCAAACTACTAAAAAAAACAAACCCTTTGTCACACCGACAGCAGCGCCACCTACTATGTACAATTGTGAATCTAAACCATTCCCAGATCCCCTTGAACACACACAAAAAATTTCATCAAAATCGGTCCAGTCGTTTGAGAGAAGTTCAGTGACATACACATTCACAGAAGAATTATATATATAAAGATAGTAAATTAATTAATTATACAATAGTTGCACTGTAAAAGGAAGATAGGTTAATGTTTTACCTGTAGGTTTGTATGTCCGATCCTATGTTCCCCCGTAATTACTAACCTAATTTCGATTCGTCTATTTATTAATGTTTATATTTGCAACTATAAGTATTAGAAAAGTATTTTTTAAATGCGAAAATAATATTTTAAGCTTTTTTAGTAGCTGTATACATTTTTATGCATATACAAATGGGTACATAAATGTAATGTGAAGCGTGTATAGTTTATACCTACTAATATTCAATTACTGTTATTTATAATGAATTGATTAAAATATATACCTAATTAAGAAACAACTAGACGATTACTTAATTTTGAAACAAAGCTCGTACATTTTCTTTTACAAAGTATGATGTTGATATGATTTAGAAAACCTTGTCAACATTGCTCGTAACTGTACCCACCTATTAGAACATGGAATATAGAGGTCATGAAATATCAATCTCTTCGAAAATTACTTTTAAAATGGAAGGAATACAACTTTCGGGATTTAACTACGATTAACGTACGATTTACGTCTTATTAAACTTATGTAAGTTGAATATCAGTATCGGGGTAGGTATTTAGTTAGGGTCAACAATTAAATTAAAATATTCGTTAAATTAACTATACATATTTATACTTAATGCATAAGATAGTAGTATTAAAGTCTAGGAATCCGCAATTTCCCAATACAATAGACTTAGATATTTTATCATCCAGACTTGTCAAAATTTGTTATATCAAAGCCTCTGAAAAAAGCTCACAGAGACAAGGAGTGGGCTTTTAAAAAATTCCTTAGCTGATACACAAGAAATAGTACAAGAAAAGAGAAAAAGAAGAAATATTTACAAAAAGAAATGAGATCCCATCAAAAACATTCTGTAAAAATATTGCAAGTCTCGCAACGCATTTCTTCTACCGCAAAAAGCTATGAGATATAATGTAAAACCAAGTCGGTTAATTTATTCATTACCTATCTATGGCAGCATCTATCCGACAACTTTGTCATAAATCGTTACCGAATTAGTTAAGTTACAACATTTTATAGTGACCGTAATAATATTAGATATATTTATTTCTTTAATTAATAGAATGACTTGGCCATCGCACATGATAATAGAACCTACAAATAACAAAATTTACCTCATACTAGCGTTCTGAGTACATTATTTATGTTAGTGCATGCATAAATTTGACCCGCTAGTGCTATGTTCAGTTCATCTCAGCCCAAACACGTCCACAGCTGGACATAGGCCTCCCCCAAAAATTTCCACGACAAACAGTCTTGTGCCATCCGCATCCAGTTGGCTCCAGCGACTTTGACCAACTCGTCCGTCCACCTTGGTCATGGTATGTTTAATTAGGACTATTTAATTAAAGTAGTAGACTCTTATGTGATTATGTTTCCGTGCGATGGCCAAGTCATTTTATTAATTAAAGAAATAAATATATCTAATATTATTACGGTCACTATAAAATGTTGTAACTTAACTAATTCGGTAACGATTTATGACAAAGTTGTCGGATAGATGCTGCCATAGATAGGTAATGAATAAATTAACCGACTTGGTTTTACATTATATCTCATAGCTTTTTGCGGTAGAAGAAATGCGTTGCGAGACTTGCAATATTTTTACAGAATGTTTTTGATGGGATATCTTATTCTCACGGGAAATCACCTCATAATAAAAGTTGTACATAGGCGATTTCAGTTGATATTATTTTATCTTATAGGTATGTTTTGTTTTTCCTTTTCAGTTAATGAAACTAATGTGTATATCTATTATAGAGACATTAGTTTCTGGTTTAACTATTAAGAAAATAATGAAGCTCGTAAAGCTTCAGGAAAAAAGATATTCAAGATATCAAATACAATTTAATTATTTATTATTTAATTTATAAGAAAGCAATTTAAAACTTACTTCACTAGCAAAAAATTGGCAACAAGGCGCGCAAGTACCCAGACTATCAACGTAAGCGCACTGCACGATATTTTTGCGTCCTTGCAAACCTTTCACCACATTGATGGTGTTTCTAGCCACTGCATAAGCGCCAGCTAAACAAGCAGTTTCTGTGCAGCAACCTTTAGCTGCACATACTGCTTCATTGCCACTCATTATAGACGATGTTACACACTCCGTCTAGTATTAGAAATATAAATCTTGTTTTTATATGTTTCGATTGTAAAAAATTAAGTCTTAGATTTAATAAATTTAAGTTAATAATCTGAAATTTTATAATCGGTGACTATTGTGGTGTAGAGTGGAATATCGAGCTCAGTGTCGTGCTACAGGAGAAGCCTATATCCAGCATTGGACGTAAGCAAGCTGATTATGAAGATCTGGCTGGTGGCTTGTATGTGTGTATATCTAGTGCAAAGGAGATGTAAAGTACAATTATCGCACCGAGGAAATAATATACTATATATATTCTAGTTACATAGTATTCAGTTCGAGAATACCGGTAGGTACTGGCAATAACTAATAACTATCCTATAAATATTTTAAAAATATTTGAAATTTGTTTATATAACACATACTCTAATAAATTATTTAATTAATTAATTATATTACTATAAAATAGTAAATATTAATTCTTTCAAATGTACCTACCTGTTCTTGAGTCAACGTACACGGATGGACAGCAGCCGAAAGCACAGGTACCATAGTTTCTGGTGTAGCACCGCCTATAACAGGCACGCGCACAGTTTCCGGAGGAACACGAAGAAAGTCAGCCAATACAGTATTAGCTCTAACACAATTTAACTCTACACAGCCTAAGAGTAGCCTCGGGTTGTACACTCCGCGTAATCTTTCTATTTCACTCACAATCGGCACCATACTCTCTATTGGCTCTGTAGCCACTATCGTAAAAGCCTGTTTAAATATAAAGAAATAATAATACTTGCTTTAGAAAATTATAAATATAAAATATCTATTAGGTATATATTCATATATACATACGTACATTATACATATAATATGACAATAATAAAATAACTTGAACAATAATTTGAGTTATTCTTTTGTTTTAACTTACATCTGGACAAGTATTACATATCTGAAGGGCAATCTCTGTTATTACTGGAGCGTTGTTCTCAAAGCTATCACATTCATTCCTTGCAATTACCACAACAACTCTTGCATCCTAAAATTTTATGTTTTTTTTTAAATAAAGAAATATTTAATTTTAATGATTATAGGTAGTTATAATCACTAAATCTGAAAACTACTACTATTAAAGTTTGTGAAAGTACATTGTTGTAGCCATATTGTTTTTAAAAATATAATAACTACTTAGTACCTTAAGAGCATCACAAAGCGTGTGACGTCCAGAAAAAGACGACACTTTACATTTAGTATCGACGTGACTGAGTTCCATGCCATACCCACACGTAGCACAAATATCGTAAAGAGCTATTTCATCCAATAATGGGCATTGTTTTAAAAGTAGGGCTAAAGGTTGACCTAAAAATATGAATTGATTAAAACCACTGTGAGATTTAAAAATAGCTTGAATAGAAGTCAAAAAAGTCGTGAAATCAATCAAATATTCCGTGTCCTTGGAAAGTAAATTAGTACTTTTTCTATTCAATTTAGCTTTAATACATTTATAAGGCAACTTTTTTGTAAGTATAAGTTTAGTTTGCTAATATCATATATTTCTTTTCTTTGCTATATGTTAGTAATTATTTTTTCCATACCATTACGTATTTGGATGCGACTCTGTAAATTTTCTAAGGAGTAATATACCACTGTTACCTGTGCGTCCGGCAGCTCCACAGATAGTGACTTTCATTCCAGCAGGACACGTGCTGTACGTGCATTTAGTGAGGCTTTTATAAAAGCTTGAATTAGTTAACTGAGCTAAAGAATATTGCGTTACAGAAGACTTGATAAACCGCAAGGACCCGCGCCCTGCTTTCCACAAACATTTAGAAAACATTTTTTTTAAATGTAACTTATGCTTAAAGTTTTTGTTTTTAATTTTTTTTCATTATTTTACACTGTTTTTATTGATTTTTAAGTAACTATTTATTATTTTTAGTAATTTTGATTTTTAAAAGTGACAGAATTAAATTATGAAAGTTAAATTACATAATATTTTTCTTCTTTCAAGATTTTTTCAAAAAAAAGGTTTTGATTTATGTTCATTCTGACAAGATGGAGAATCATTTTGCGAATATCATTCTGTGCAATTTTTAAACTGATGTAGCACAGACATAACGTGTACTTTGGAGTCAGACCATTTCTTATACCGGAAAATAAGAATGATTTTTTTTCAGTCTACTGCTTGAATTCCGATGTGTGTTTGTACTTTGTAGTTTATTAATTGCATATTTGAGAGTCACATCCGTATTAATATTATAAATGTGAAAGTTTGTGAGTATGGATGTTTGTTACACTTTCGCGCCAGAACGGCTGAACGGATCTGGATGTTTGGCACAGAGATAAATTATCGTCTGGAATAACACATAGGAAAAATGTACGGTTCCCATCGGATAGACAATATAATAAAAAAAAATTGTCTGCCTTTTGAAATACGGATAAGGCCTTAATAAAAACTATTTAATATTTTTAAATATTTCCTTTATTTCTCTACCCTCCTTTAACATACGTTTATTAGTCAAATAAGTGGATAAAATATTGAACAAAAAACTTAATAACTATAATATTATACAAAATACATCTAATAATACCTTATTTTGGAAGTCCTATTACTTTCCTACCTTTTTATAAATATAAAATCACGAAATGTCGAGTTTTAGGTATCTTTATCACAAAATTGTGGGAAAACTGTGTTGTCAGAAATTTAATTGCTATACAGTGTCTTTAGACATGGCTGAAACATGAATGTTTGATTTTATGACGATAGTTTCGTTGTTAGATAACGTAGCAATATCCTAATGTACTTGCACCGCAATTGGTTTATAGCATTTTAAGTGGCGAGGAGCTTCGACGCACATTCGTTTTTTCATAGAAATACTTCAATCGGCTTTCATCAATATTTAAAAATGTTCAACTTTTACAAGAATTTTTTTGTTTCGAAACCACAAGTCAACGAGTTAATACATATAGAAGGGATAATAAAACCCTTGTACTTAGTGACTTCTATGCTAGGATTGCTTCCATATAGTATAAAATTTGAAAAATCTAAAAATTTATATAAAGTTATGCGTAATTCAATATACATAAATTCGCTGTGTGGAATATCCATAGTTTTGATTATTCTATCATTTTTAGTTCTACACATACAAGAAGTAATAATGCATACTGAAAACGTTTCAATGATCAAAGCTATTATAACAGAAATGAACTATATCTTAGAATTGATAAATTTGGTTATTTTTTGTGTAGTGGCCTATATTTGTGCTTTTTTGAACCGTGTGAAGTACGTGAAAGTGCTAAACATGTTAATCAGCACGTGGTTCGATTTACCGAAGTGTGTAAATAGTGAGAAAATTCTCAGAGGATTACAATTTCAAGTAAAAATTGTAACCATGGTTACTCTATTTATTCTTACTCTCTTGCAAGTTTGTATCAATTTTTCCCGAAATAGCACTTTATGGAAGATGGTTCTAGTCACGATAACTTTCAACTTACCTCAAACTCTACAGCTTATTACATTAGCTCTATATTATGCTTTTGTTATGATGGTGGCAGCAATTTTGACGAATATTAACGAACATTGTTTAGAATTAGCGAAAGAAAAGAGAACCCCAGTAAGTGGATTTTTGGAGGTTAAGTCAAAATCCATAACATTGCGACAAATGGAATTAGCGTACGTTAAGGCGTTCGAAATCAAAACTTATATAAATGAAGTTTTTCAAGGGCCTATTTTGGCGTCCACTATACAATGTTTTCACTCAGCAGTGAGTGAATCTTATATAATTTATCATGGACTTGTTGCCGGAATTCTCTCAACCCACGACATTGTCAATTGCTCTATATGGATCATTTATCAATTGTTAAAAGTTTATACTTTAGCTTACGCTGGAAGCTTATTGAAACTTAAGGTGGGTTAATTTTATAAAAATTAATGAATAATATCTATGCCCATATAAACTTGGTTGTCTGTTCGTTAGTCATACATTTCTAAACCATTCATCGGATTGTGCATAATATTCCATATACTATGTTTCTACGTCAAATTGCTTCCATCTTTTTAGTTCTTATTTTAAAAAGTAGGTTTTTTTCTTTTTTTTATTAAATTTTTAGTTTTCGCCAGTTAGACAAATTGAATTTTTTGTAACAATGTGCTACCCTACATTATTTTTCGATGTAGAAATTATAAATTGTATGCAATTACTAATCGTCTCTTCAAAATCTTCATTTTTTGGCGCTTCATTCTTTTGGCGCCTACATCCCGCCGTGTTGGTTTTTATAACTATAATATAACCTATGACATTCGCATTACGTATCAAAACGAATACGACGTCGTATAATTCAAATATATATATTTAGTAATAACAAGGGAACATATTATGGTCGGACATATATATATACATAGGTATATACACGCACGCACACACACAAACACACATATGTGTATTAGATTTTTGAATATGCAAGCTTGAAGCTACCCTATAAATATGCAAAGCATTTGAAAAATACATAAACTAATAACTAAAAAAATCTTTATTATTCTTTCTGTTATTACTCGATTTAACGTTATTTCAATGGTAGATAAAGAATACGAGTGAGAGTAGTATAGACTGCTTTTTCTCGAGAAAGTGAAAACGTTCCTGCCGAAAGAAAGATTTTAATATGATTCGTGTAAAAATAAGTATGGCTGTTTTTAATAGAAAAAAAAGCAGTCATGAGGATTGCCGACAGAAGTGAAAACTTAAAACTATAAACAAACAGTGGTTATTTTTGTATATACAAATTAATTGTTTGATCTTAAATTAAAATTTGTAAATTAAAACTGTTTACATTTATCTGGTGTCACGTGACCATGTCGATAACGACTTACATGAATTTATTCCCCATCCAAACCTGCCTATAGAAGTTTACACTTAAAAAAATATGTATAATATATTTTTTTATTATAGGCTATCATAATCGGTCGGACCTTACATATGATTCCAACTGAGAAGCAGGACTTACGGTGGTTATTGGAGGTCGGTAATCATTATATACATATTATTGAGTGGTACATAGTACAGATTCACTATAATAATACATTATAGCATTTTTGATAATTTTCAGATCCAACACTTTTCCTCACTTATTTCTTACCAGAAAATTGAAATGACTGTTTATGAATATTTTCCTTTGGACGCAACCTTAATTTTCAATGTAAGGGCTAAAAATCTTATTCCTTGAACCGGTATGAAATCAAACATTTTCGAACCATTGGTAGTTCTGTGAGATTTGCCTTTTGGAATCGGTACCATAAATACAGTTATAATTTATTTATAAGTAACACTCGATGCTTAAAAGTTTTTTTTTTAATTTACAGATGCTGGCGTCCGCTATTATGTATTTAATTATTTTGGTCCAATTTGATAAAAGAGAATAAATTCGTTTACAGAAATGTTATGTATTATTGGAGATAGTTGAAAGGATGGAGAGTGGACATAAGCTACTTTTTACTGTGGAAGATTATCTCATTCCCACGGGAAAACACGTTATAATACAACCGAAAAAAATATAATTATAATGACTTGAAACTTGGTATTAATGTTCTTCAATAAAATTAAATAAATACGTGTTTTAGCATTTTTCGAAATTCATCCCATAAGGGGGTAAAATAGGGAATCAAAGATTATAATATGAAACCTATCTTTTTACAGTTTTTTTGTAGTTTTAGCGCGAGCGAAGCCGCGAGTTTAGCTAGGTATAACATAAATTCAGTAATGATTTACTTGGATAATACATGTTTACAACAGGATCCCAGGAACTTTCAAGAGGACTTTATAAGTAGGTTAAAAATATAATTGCATAACTTTTGCGTTTTTTAAAGTATGTAATAAATGATTTTTCTCCTAGATAGTACGATTACCTTTAGGTTGTTTTAATATTGTACTAAATTACCTAATTTTTTAAATAAAAATATTTTATAAAGCTTCAGCCACACTGAACTTTTTTTGAGCGTTATTCAAAGGAATTATTCGTTTTTAATAGAACTGCTGGTTGATTTTTTGACAAACGAAGTGTTTCTTTGAAATAGCAATCTCATACGAATTGAATTTTGAACTAAGCAACCAACCAAAACAGAAATAAGAAAATATTAAATATCTAGCAAACTGCCATCCATATACACACACTATAGGTGCACCCAAAGTGCTTTTTGCAATCATTTATTCATTCTGTTCTGTTTCTTTCTTTTGTTCCATTTACAAGATTTTTTATGATTTGTTATATGCCGTGTGCGGGGCCAAGTCAATCTATTTAATCTATACATACGTATAATAAAATTGTAACTAAGCCGAATTTGTACATTGAATATTTTTGCAAAATCTAATTGAAATAGACATTATTATCGACACAGAGTCCGAATCTATAGTTTTTAGAATTTTTGTCTGTCTGTTACCGCATCACGAGAAAACCACTGGACAGATTCTGATGAAATTTTGTATGAATATGGGAAAATATCTCATTACCGAGAAAAAATACAAAAACTGCATTGTAAAAGTATAGGTACTAATATGCAAAACCTAAGAATTTGGTTTTTAGTCATCTGAACGCGGGTGGAGCCGCGGGCAATGCTAGTAAAGAAATAAAATCTTTCTTATATATAAAATTTCCATGTCACAATGTTTGTTACCGTACTCCTCCGAAACGGCTTTACCGATTTTTACCAAATTTTATATGCGTATTCAGTAGGTCCGAGAATCGGCTACTATATATTTTCCATATCCCTAAGTGATAAGGATAAGGGTGGTCCTCCCAGACCCCACCCCAGGGACGAACCCGAGCGGAGCGAGGGTGAGTCGCTAGCCACATATTTTTTTGAATTCATTTTGTTAATTTGTGGGTAGGCTGTCTGTAACAACTATATAACGCTTTTGAGACATCTTAAACCTTAGTGTTTCCCGAGACCATGATTGCTGTAAAGCATTCGAAACGCCGGGAACCAAAAATCAAAATAATAATATTAATACTCTTTATTGTACATCAAACAGAAAATACATACAGACAATAATTAAAAATAAACAAAATGCACAGTAGGCGGCCTTATCGCTTAAAGCGATCTCTTCCAGGCAACCAACTACCAGGAAAAGGAGAGTGTGAGAGAAATAGTAGGCGGTGTACTTGCTAAACGATATAATTATATATACAATATAAATAGATAAACATAATACACATATACATACAAACGTACATATATACATACATACAAATATACATACATACTTAAACACACAATACAAATATATAAACATAATACACATACATACTAATTTATATACATACGTACCTACAAAAATAAATTCGCGAAAAATACGAAAAGATAGTTTGATTTAAAAAAACATAAAAGTGATGTGCGTGTACTCTCTTCCTTCTCCTTACCTCGGCTGATGAGGTATTCCTTCAATGTTTGGTTATATACAATGTACAGAGTGTTTGGGGGTCTGTTGGTAGTGGTTCATCCGTGAATGTATTCTTCGTCAGGGAGCGAGATTTTGGCTGATATATTTAAATTCTATTGTAAAACTCGTTAAAACATAAGTTACGTCTATAGAATTTTTGTATAATCTCAACAGCCCTTGACTGATGGGCGTCACGAAGGTTAGGCTATTGCAGGCATTCTTCTGAGGTCCGCAGTTACTCCGATAGTGTAGGTAGCTATTAAATGACTCACGTAATCAAAATTTTTAACGGCCTAGGTTGTTTTTAAGTACCCAGGTACGCCGTTAACACAAATTAGTTTTGGTTCTTCCCATTCTTGCCAGGATATCGCTGAGCCAGATGACTCCTGGATAGTATCAGCCATCTTAAGGATGTTCTCTTCCAGCGTAACTTCAACTATTTATTTATGGTTACTACAGGTACTGTGTTTTCGCATGATGTCCTGTATCTCTTAGAGGCCCGGTTCTTCCTTTTTTCAACTCCTCTAGCTGCACGAGAGCGTGTTTATACACTACAGAACGCCATGTGGTTTGTTGCCGCTAATGTATTCTGACGTTGTGTTCTTGATTGATTTATTCTTCTTTGAGAAGTATTTTCAGCAAACTCTCGTTTCAAAGTTCAAGGGATTGTCTGATTTTTTCGCATGTTGCAAGGTAAGTTTTTCTAGTTTCTCTTACAATCTTTATATCCTCAAGGAAGGTGTTCTGCGTGTGGTATCTGGCTTCGTCAGCTGGTGGAAGGTTTAGTGCAATGACCTGTCTCATGTCGGCCTTGTTCTAATTCACTTGCTTGTAGTTTTGGCTTTTTGCTTCAGCAAGCTCATGAAGGTGTTTAGGGCTGTTTATGGCTTCTGTCGCAGGTGTTCTGCACCACTTTTCCTGCCCATATTAGTTCACTGTTACTAATATATGCGGTAATGTTTCTGGATATATCCACAGGGCACATGCTATGCAGACTGCCCTAACCGAATGCGTTTTTCGTTCCATTTAATGCTTATTGATTTGGAATGGCAAACGTCTCAGACCTTTTCATTAAATAATCCATCAAAACAGAATTCTCGATCTAGTCAAATTGCTTGCCAGCGTTAATAATCAGAAAAGGTGTCGTAATATTAGCCTTAATATAATTATTTCTCAAGGAAGAGGACGCCAAATTTGACTTCCGCCCAGCGTGGCAGGAATACCCTTGTGTAAACTTATTTTTTTTTACACCTCAGTTACAAGCGCGTGGTGTAGTTTATTTATTTTTAACGATTTACATGAGACACGACTACCAAATTTCAGAAGCGTAGGTCTCCGAGTAAAATAACTATGACATTTAGGTAAGTAATTTCACACTTGTCTTTTTTTACTAATTGCGTAGATTTGTTAATACTAGTCATATTATGAAATGACTTTTATCATTAAGTGATCGCTCGAATTGCCGCCCCCTGGACGTGCCGCTAGCGTGCGGTGCGCGCATTGCGCGCCTGCTTCCGGTGGACCTGGAAAAAGCTGACTACGCATCCTGTGCCTATGCATTCTGGCTCGCCTGATCTTGGAATTAGATTGTCTATCTTCCGTCCATGGTAAACCAAGAGGTTTATCTCCCGGTCCACTCTACTATTAGTGAAATACCTATCAGGACCTATCAGCTTTATACATCTCCCACTCAACGAGGTCGCGCGTCCCTTGGCTACGTCTGGATTACCAACAACAACAAGGTGAACGGAATCCATGTTTGAATTTTGTCTCTCATCACCTAACTTACTATAACTAACTACGACGACGACTACGTTATACTTAATATAATAAAATATCGTCTATGTTTGTGAACATGATTTTTACTTTATTTTTAATTATATTAGGGAAACCAACAGTATTACAAAACATACAACTTCAATAAAAAAAATACACACAGTTACCAATTAAGTTTCCACAAATAAGAAACACATATAGTTAGAGAAGAAAACATTAGACTAAAATAAGCAAAAATTTACAAAAATTAAAAAAAATTAAAACGAAATTGTACAGAAATAATTAAGTGTACATTATTATGTATAAAATATACTTAACTTTATTTTAATTTTTACAGTAATAAAAAGTTAGATATTATAAAATAGTATTGTTTTGCTTTAATGTAGCCAATATAAATAAATATGAACATTTGTATTACAAGAATGATCAAGCTGGCAACTTTACATTCTATTGATGGAAATTGCCAATTGGAATTAATTTGCCGAAGTAGCGGTGTTTCATATTTCGCTTAATTCAAAGAGTTTTACTATATTTACTTTTAAAAAACTCTTAGAACAATATTTTGAACATTTTCGTTTTTACAAAGTAGCAGCTGTGGAGAGATTACACAAAATGGTAAGTTCTTAATTAGTGTACGAAAAAGTTAATGAGCCAAAAATAATGTTGCTTATTATATCATAGTACGATATTTCTATTATTACGTTGTTAAATAAAGCTCCAAAGTCTCAAATTTTATCTATAATAATGCCGGTAAAAGTGTAGCCATCTTGAGGAACTATACTCCTAATGGCCGAGCGCCATGTCATAGCTCAAATCACATGTTTTACTTTTTCTATTTCATTTATGTCTATTTAGATATTATTAGAATGCGTTTGATATTATCGGCTAATATAATTATTCTATGTATATTGAATTGAGTAATTATTTCTTATAAAATAATGTTAACCTACGATCTGTTTTAGCCGGCAAAATTTGTTATCGATTTTAATGACTAGATAACCTTAAAGTTTTAGTCCTAAGTCCTAACTAAATTTGATATCACTATATCAAATCGATTAAACACTTATTTACTATTATTTTCATCGGATCAATATTTTATTAATGAACAACTTATTTACGTAACCAAACAATAAACATTGCATTTTACAATAAAATTTGTTATCATAACAACTTTTCCATAATCTACATTTGAAATTACATTATAATTTCAAATATCATTAAAGTAGGTACTATTTATTTCTTTAAATATATAAGTTTCATTAAACATTTTTATAATTTTAAAAATCAAAATAAATCCGCGAAAAAATCCGAAAAGATAGTTGTATTTAAAATGTCAAATATACGCGTAAATCTAAGAAAGTATGATTCCTTTAATGAATAATTTTTAATTTTTTATATAGATGGATGGTGGCATAGTGCACCCTCACCCTGGTGTTGTGCATGGGGGTGTACCAGGTGTGGTGCATGGTATGCCCGTGCATGGAGCTGGGCCTGATGGAGAACATGCTCCTCATGGGCCTCGCCGCCGCTATCAGAATAGACCTAAGCCTCCAAATAATTTAGAACGCTTACCCCTAGATGAAGCTGCTAAGAGGGTATGAAATTATTTTTTTTATTAATATTTAATCTCTTTATACATAGATTGATAAATAAAATATGCTAATATATTGTCAAGAATTGTAAGTACAATTATTAGAAATATTTTATCTCCTGAGTTATGATTATTTTATTCAATTTAACAGTAAGATGAGCGTGGTTATTGGTTGAACATCTTTAAGAAAAACAAAAATAAAAGTTATATCCTCTGCTATATAATGTAATAATATTTTTAAAGAAAACTTGTTGTATATTATATATGGTAAAGCTTCTACAATATACTGTATACTTTTATTATATTCTCTATTATAAGTAGTTTTCTTATTAATAATATTATATAGGAAATGGAATCACTGCCAATGAAGACACCAGTATCAGTACTACAGGAGCTCCTGGCCAGACGTGGAACAGTCCCAAAGTATGAGCTGGTTCAGATAGAGGGGATGATTCATGAGCCTACATTCCGTTATCGTGTAACTGTCGCCGACTTGGTTGGTAAGTAGTAATAAAGATAAACATTATTATATGTCGACGAGTTGGAAAGTTAATTGAGTAATATTTGACTGAAATAATATAGGTTTTTAAGTTGGATAGAGAGTCCTTTAGTCTTAACTTTGCTTCCATTATGTATAAATATTATGATATTTCTGAGAGAATTATTTATTATGCTTAGAAGTCAGACATGAAGTAAAAATATAAATAACAATAAATAAAATTCATATTTGAAACTCAAAAGAAAAAGAATGAAAAACAAATCATTCCCTAGATATTTGATTCCAACATTACTAGTTACTACCAAAAATATATTTACTTTTAAATATGTTCTAGCAATGGGTACTGGTAGATCGAAAAAAGAGGCGAAGCATTCAGCGGCTAAAGCTCTGCTGGACAAGCTGACGGGTGCTGCTCCCGCTGACCAGTCCACTAATGGAAATGTACCAGAGACGTGAGCATTATTTGTATACATTACTATATTTTTATGCATATTAGGGGTTCATCCCTAGGTTGATTCCCCATACAAACTTTCATCCCCATTTTCACCCCTTTAAGGGATGATTTCCAGGATAAAAAGTATCCAATGTCCTTCCCAGGGTCTCGAACTATCTTCTTACCAAATTTCATTTAAATTGGTTCAGTAGATCCGGAGATTACCCCCTAGAATGTCACAAACTCACAACATTACCTCTTTATATAGTATAGTTATATTATGCAGTTTAGGTAATAATGTTTGTACTGTATTTTAGTTTATATAAAATGAAAAAAAAAATTAAATACAAAACTAGAGTTATACCAAACTATTGTTTGACAGGCTACAAAAAAGGCCTAATTTATATTTTTTGTGTGTTTTTATGTTGTTCTATGTGTTGTAATTTCCTTTTCATTTATGATTTCATGTAAATTTTATGTAATACATCACTTTAGTTTATCCCAGAATTATTGTTTACTTTTCACTTAACTAAGTGATTTTAGGTTGTCCCCTTATTTCATTTAAAATTTATTATAATTCATGTAAAATCAAATAAAGTTATACAATAAGTAACCAACAATTTCAGTGGTACTGTTGTGTCATCCTTTGAAGACAAGTTGATGGGGAATCCCGTGGGATGGCTGCAAGAGCTGTGCATGTCGCGCTTCTGGCCGCCGCCTTCCTACCACGCGGAGAATGACGATAATGTTGCTAGACGTAAGTTGGGATAAATTTGGCTTACTATTATTTAATATTACTAGCAGAACCCGCGGCTTCGCTCGCGTTCAAACTTCCGATATAAACAAAAATAAAAATAAATAGTCAATTTGCGATATAAACATCAATAATGTATGGAAGTTAAATGTGTATATTTTTATTGTAAATTAAATTGTATTTTCTGTAATTTTGTTTATTTCATTAAAATAAATAAAAATCTCGATTAATACAAATGGTACAAATTACTGCGAAGATTTATTTTTGCTTGAATTTAACAAATATTGCATCTATTGTTTAGTTTATGTACAATATAATGATCCTACCAATATTTATTTATATGTAAATATATGAAATTTTATTGATTTATAGATACTTTGTAGGTTTACCACATGAACGTCAGTTCACAATCATATGCACTCTACTGAAGCGTCGTGAGGTCGGTACGGGCAAATCTAAAAAGCTCGCCAAACGCCAGGCCGCATACAAAATGTGGCAAGCGTTGCAGGATAACCCACCGGAAACCTTCCAAACCGAGGAAGAGGTATGTACACTATACAGTTTGTGTATAGTAAAAATAAATACTACAAGTTTTTAATTATACAAGAGTCATTTTAAAGATTAGCACCAATTTTTGTAGTTCAGGTTATGTATACTGTCAACATCTTCTATTGAGTTAAAATTTAATTTGTTTTATAATACTATTTAGAGCAGTGTCCTAGTTACTGAGGCATATTCAATCCGATTTGCCTTATTTCATTTTTATATAACCATTTGCATTCACTAATAAGCTTAAGTTGAGCCTTAAGGCAGTGTAAATCTTAGCACTTCACATTTACACCACTATTTTAATTAGAATTAAGAATATGAAATATAACATTTTTATTTTTTCATCTACGAATAGATTTGACTAACTGTGACTAACAAGTTGCTGTTAGTGGCTCTCGTGTCAGTCTTCTGAAAGGTTGATAGCACTTGGCCAGGTGTTTTTACTATCTTTCAGTCGGACACTTAGTGCTGCCAGATGTTTACATTTCCATAAGATGATGGGTTTTTATATAATATTGGGAGTTTATTTTTTTTTTCAGTTGTTAAAAAGAATTTTATCTTAAAAATTAAAAATACATAAATTCGCCTTTTAATACTTATTTTTTTTTAATATTCTATCTCTTTAATTAGGCACTTCAATTTTTGTATTTGACAGATTTAAAAAAAAACAATTCTTGTATTTGACAGATTTAAAAAAAAAGTTTATAAAAATTTTGTTTGTGTATAAATGAAGTAAATCCTTTATTGATCAATACGTGGACAAATTTATTTATATTTATCTACTATCTAATATTTATATATCTTAGTATAAAATTATGCCCGCTGTATGTGAAAATATACTATACAAATGGTTACAATAAATAATAATAATATATTTATACTTGACACAATGAATCTGGCAACACTATACCACAATGACCATTGATCTGACGACGTGATTGTTCTAGGGCGGCGTAGCGGCCCGATACGCCGACCTGAAAGATAGTAAAATCTCAACACTCACAACCAGTCACAGCCACAAGGTGTCGCAGTTTCACAAACACCTCAAACAATCGGTGGGCCCCAACCTGGCCAAGTTGCAGGTACGATTTGATTTTATATGCATGGTGCTTGTCTGTGTGTCCGTCTGTGTCACCATCCTCTCCATAGATATATGTATATAATCCCTGTTATATATACCTCTTAATCATTTATAAGTTGCTCTGTAAAGATCATTGTGAAGACAATCTATCAAAAGTCTTATCTCTTAGCAAATGATTAAATTTGGGAGTTATTGTTTTATAATATGATGATATTAGAACAATATTGTCAATATAAGTGTTTCGTTATTACTGGTTTGGTCGTATTAGTATTTTTTTAGTCAAAATTTTTAAATTTTAAAGGTTACTACTATCTGGATATTTTTATTATAATTTATTAATATTATGTTATTGTTTGTATATACATTTAATTCCTTATTAATAAGTATTTTTATTACCAATTAAATTACTTAATAATTAATTTATAAGTAACTATATTAAGTTTTGTATGCTACAAGAATTTATTTATTTGAATTTTATTTTAATATTTTGATTATAATTGGCTATGATAGTAATAAGTGCATGATATCTGTATGTTTTATGTAAATAGCTTGAACGTAACATAATATAATCATAAAAAATAATAATCAAACACATTTTTTCAGGTCACTCCATTGAACAATAAGGACTTCAATTTCGTCCAGTTCTTGCAAGAGATTGCTTCGGAGCAAGCGTTTGAAGTGACTTATGTGGATATAGAAGAGAAGTCTATGACGGGTCGTTGTCAGTGTTTAGTGCAACTGTCAACACTACCGGTAGCTGTTTGCTACGGTTCGGGTCTCACAAGCAAGGACGCTCAGTCCTCTGCGGCACAAAATGCCTTAGAATACCTGAAGATAATGACCAAAAAGTGAAATTTTACAATCTCGCGACATCAACTGTAACTGCCTAGTGTCCATCTATGTGACATCGTCCACTAAACGTGATATGCCCTATACACTTTTAATATAGTTTATACATTAATACATTCATGTTACATTTAGACTGAAATAGTGATATAGATAGTGTCTAGAATACTGTGTTGGACGACTGAACTGGAACATTCATTAATTGCGTGAGCTGTTTTTCTCATAATTTGGTTCCCTCCCTCCCCCTTGGTGAGATTTTGTGAGATTTGGTTATATCATATGGAAAATTTTTATACATTTTCTTTTATCTGTATAATATAATCTTTCAAACTTGACGTGCGATTTTCAATTATGTCCCACGCAATTTAATTGCTGTAAAGCATTAAAAACGTCGGGAACCAAAAATCAAAATAAATTCGCGAAAAAATCCGAAAAGATAGTTTTATTTAAAATGTCAAGTATTCGCGTAAATCTAAGAAAGTATTAGTGTGCTGTTTGTCAATAAGAATAATCATTTGATTTAATCAATTTGATTGTGCCTGTTTAAAAGCAATCTTATTGTTTCATACACTGTCTATTTCATTGTTTTATTTATACTTTAGTGTAAACTGTCATAATAAGTAAATTTAATTTCTCATATACCATTAATTTTAGCTATTGATCACCTTTAGCTGACGATGTTAATTAAAACACAATATGGCCACTGAATTTTAATTTAATGAATTCTAAGCATAGAATGTCACAGGGTCTGCGGTTGATGTCACCGGGTCTCGTCTGTATGTTACCACTTACATTTGAATGACTCAAGTCATAAGCACTTCGGGCTATGCTGTGTATCTGGCATATTTGCAGTGTAATACTTATGTTTGCTCGCTATTATTATTTATATTATATATCGAAATCGAATCTCGTTTTTTATATGCATGATAGGTGTTTAGGATATTCATGTGTTTTGTCATTGATTATTTTGTACATTATAATTATACTTTTTAACATTCAAGATGTTTAAAAAGAAGTTACATTATCATACAAAAACTGGGCTTATTTAGTTAAAACGTGAGTTAGTTTCTGAAGAAACTTTTATTCACCTGGCTAAGACGACAGCAGTCGCATATAATATAACAAAAAAACCCGGCGAAGTGCGAGTCGGACGAAGGGTTCCGTACCATTCATTATCTATAAAAACGGCAAAAAAATCATTTCTGTTGTATGGGAGCCCCACTTAAATATTTGTTTTGTTTGAATGTTATCTTATTTTATTCTGTTTTTTAGTATTTGTTGTTATAGCGGCAATATAAATGCATCATCTGTGAAAATGTCAACTGTCTAACTATCACGGTTCATGAGATACAGCCAGTGACAGACGGACAGCGGAGTCTTAGTAATAGAGTCCCATTTTATCCTTTGGGTACAGAACCCTAATAAAACAACATTTTATACCAGAGAGTGTTCAGTGAAGATCGCTAGTCATTATAATAAAAATGGTATTAATACACAATTCACACACAGTTTGAAGTGGAATATCATTCACTGTCAGTTCGAATAAATTACTCGATACACAGCTCAAAGATCTTCTCTTACTGTTACATATATAATTGTGTTGTCTGTTGTAAATCCTGATTTTGCAACGAATTGCTCCATTTCTACATGTTATCGGGTCTAGTGTTTTTTTTTCTCTTTTTTTACTGGTCATTCTATATATAAAGTGAAGTAAAATATGCTCAAATAGCACTCCTAGGACCTTGCTGAAGGAATGAATTGAACCTGTTACCAGCAAAGTCAAACACTGGTTACCCACAGAACTCACCAGATCACAATATGTAGTACTTCTAGCATGCATTAACATAATTTTCATTAAAATTGGGGGATGGTCCCTTAATGAGATTGCTAGTGGAAGATTTGATTTTTTAGTCAAAAGGTAACCTTAAGGTTCAGATATAAATTCCCAAAAAAATTAATAATTAAATAGCTCATTAAATAGACTGAATAATTCATATATTACTTTGAATTTTCTTAATAACGCTAGTATTAAAATACTTATTCAAGCCTGAGGCTTACAATGGATTTATTTATTATTTACATGCAATCATATGTTTTAAAATGATCGTTTTTTTTATAGAAAAAAATCAATTACACATCGTTCATTCCATATTGGCTATTGCTTTCCACAGGCCTTTGGAAGGACTGTTTCATCTTTTTGAAACATGGTGGAATCTGTAACTATTGGAAAGCTTTTTATTTTCTTTAGAGTTATTTAGGTTGGAATTATTTTTTATTAATATGATCAAATATGTATGTACATGCACTATCTTACCTGTACTATAACTGCTAATATGCGAGAGTAAATAGCATAGCCCGTAAACATAAAGAATCAAAGTATGGAGTGGTCATATTATAACAAATACAAGCTATACTTTGCATAGAATTAGTGTAATTTTCCCAGCGTGGAAATTACTCAATAAATAATAATAAAAAAAATGTAAAAAAAAATAAAAAAAAGTATATGAAAAAATAAACAAAAAAAGTGTGGACTATAAATTTCCAGTTTAATATTCAGCATTATTTAGGCATGTTTTTGCATTATATTAAAAATGAATTTATTACCTTACTACTTACCCAAAATGTTAGCTTTTAATGTATTGTATTATAATGGAATCATGGTGTTTTAGTTGAACGTCACGATTATTTAACGAATCAACTTAGTTTGTCCGGTGTGTTGAGTGTAGACATGCTGAGCATTAAACGGAAAGTATTCTCAGCTGGAGATGTCTTGTTCGTTGACGAACTGCCGGCCTTTGCTCGCTCTCACGACGACGCGCGCAGTACGAGCGGCAGATGGCAGCGTTTATTTCTATTTATCAATGATCGTATAGGTTTTCTTTTTGTAACATGACGGGAAAACTTTGCAGGGAAGCTGAGAACTAGGCGTTAGAGTGAATATATCACTGGAATTAATGGTTGCGATGTTAGGATCCCTTGCCTGTGAAAATGGGCATTATTTTAATGCAAAGTATAGAGGTTGTAACAATTTCTACCGGTGCGGTCTCGGCGCGGCCTCCGACGGGCGCGGCGGGGCGACACAAGCCGAGTTTCTTTTAAATTGAATGGTGTGAGTTCCACATTGTTTCCTATACGACGTCGCACTGTTCAACTTAGAAAAGACTAATTGGAGTAAAGGAATGGAGTTCTGTTCAACCAAGACCAACTAAATAAAATTATAATGTCCGACCATCGAGACATCGAAGCTCACTTGTTATACTTTTATGTTTAGTCAGTCTTGGTTTTACTTTAATTATAATTGTAATGATAATAATTAATGTCGTAGATATAATGTCACTAGTAAAAAATTCTCCCTCGCTTTTAGCCTATTATAGTTACATAATTAAAAAGATGATATTTTTTTTTGCTACGCGTTGTTTCTGCTCTAAATACAATAAAGTTTGGTGTTGCTTATACATGTGTTTTATTTCATTTTTTTTTTTAATTGACAAATTGATTGATTGAGATTTTTTAGTCTTTTTGAAGATTTTTTTTCTGATCGCAAAATATTTAAAACATGCGATACAATATTCACCTCTATTCTAATTGATTCGTAACTACTGAGCCTAGAATTTGGTAAATAATACAATGATATTCATAGGAAAATTGTACAGAAACAATTCTTAATTCCTATGCTGCATACTGTTTCTTGACGTAAGTCTGTCCAATATCTGAAATTTTAAAATATTTTTTTTCTTATAAAAATGCATTCAAAAGGTTTTTAATCATATATACTACATAATATAAAAAGACAAAAGTTAGATCGATATTCATAATAAAACTTTTATGTATGAATTAACTACACTTTAACATCATTATCAGGTCATGTAAAAAAGCTTACATGGCATTAAAAATAAATTTATTTGGTCGTAAAATTAATTAAAACGTGCAATTTATAAGTACTAATTGTAGAATACTCGCAATTTCAGCATGACCCCATGCCTGAAGATTGGGGACCGCATACCCTGTGCTCTCAACAAAGGTACCTCTCATTTCCTCTTGAGCATTTCTAATCGCCATTTCTATATTGTATCGTTATTGATTTGTACAAGTATATTCCCCTCTTTTATTTATATATGACAATATAGATGTCCAAAAATAACGCAAGAAATAATTCTGATAACTCTTCATAAAAAAAATATATATTTTAAAATTGTACTGATAAAAGTAGCGTTACAACATTGGTCAATTTTCTTTTCTAAGGCCGTAACTCTTATGGCGTAAATATTTAGTTTCGTCATGGGGTCCACTAAAACAAACAGAAAAATTAGTTCAAATAAATGTCAATAGATGGCATTATGTGTATCGATTTGTTATTGAAGTTTGTGTGTAAAATCAAAGACCACAATACCACATAACAATACTAGTGCAGATGTCTCATCCCATACAAAGAAATTGGACAACGCTAATTCAACGCCTCGGGCTATTTTTGTTTGCTTGAATATATAATAGATGTCGTTGATTCGCAAATAGTTAAAATGTTTTATTAAACTTATAAGTATGTCCAAACTAACGTATGGTAAATATTGTAAGATTTATCTTGCATTCGAATAAAAATAATCAGTGATTTTAACAATTTTTAACCGTGTCAAACAATTCATAAAAAGTAATAGCGCCATCTGTGAATATACAGTACACATTTTCGGGATCTATTTTTTTATCTTTTGTTCATTTAATTAACACAACTTTAATAACAAATCATTATATATAACGTCATCTATTGATATTTATTTTACCTATTTTTTCTTTCTCGTAATGAGCAACTTGGTTCCTAATATCTTTCCATGGTAATGGTATTATGACACCTGTGTGTGTGTTTCGTGTAATAGGAAAGTAGCAAGCAACTTCGGTTAAATTAATGTTATACTAGCGGCTCACCCTCGCTATACAAAAACAAACCTACCCACGGGAACCGTAAATTTTTCCGGGATAAAAAGTAGCCTATAGTTATTCCAGACTATAATTTATCTCTGTGCCAAATGTCATCTAGATCAGTTCAGCCGTTCTGGCGTGGAAGAGTAACATACATCCATACATACTAATTTTTACATACAAATACATTACTTAGAAGAACCCTTTCTTTCTTTCTAGGTTGGTTAGGTTAGAACAGCGATCACAAGGCTATAATAATTATGTTTGGTTTGGCCTATGGCTTCGACATAGACATAGATAACGTGTAAAAATTGTTTTCACTCAATTGTACGGTTTTTCAAGGCAATCTAAATAAATTTGTTTAAAAATTTAATCAATCGTGAATCGGTAAAGAACGTTCTGAGGTTTTGCACAAATAAACATTGTAATTTTTTATATATAGATAGAATAGCATGGAAACTACCATTTAGAAAGTATAACATTTATTTTTCAAACTCAAGCTTATTTCCTGAACATGCTCTTACGTTTAAATTTAAATTGAGACAATTTTTCGCGACGCGAATTAAAAAAATTGTGCCTATTATTGGTTTCAGCTAGATTTTTTCGCATCACGGTGAAAGACTGGCTTTCAGTAGAACAAACAGAACTGTTCTCACGAGATGGAGACCACGTCTCTATTTCCTTTGACGGAGTTAAATCAAATTCGTTATTTTCATCAAACATAAAATCATCTTCATTTGTATCAATTTCATTTATATTTTGAGTGTTTATTAAATCACTATATTCTGTTATATCACTTATTTTATTTTCAGGTGAAGTATAAATAGGTGAATAAGTATTATCATCGCAAAATTGTGGCGGAGGTGGAATTATTTCATCATCTTCTTCACCATTATCATCATCACCATCATCATCTTTATTTATATTTTGTAACAATGCTTTAGGATCGAGCATTGCATCATTAACATCAAAATCAGTATTATAGTCTGCCAATTCCATAGCTAGGTCTGGATATAGTAGATCAGAGTCTAAATCTCCAATATCGACTTCAGGAATATTGTTATTAACTATCTCGGGTTGTGTTTCATAATGCATTTCATCTATATCCGAATCTTTCTCTTTAATTTCTCTTTGCAACTCTCGATGTTTATAATCAATATATTTAGAATCGGTTGTTTTTTGACTTTCACCAATCAATGATGGCGGTAGTTCTATTTGTATCTTATCAATGTCACTTATTCTCAATTTTCTTTTATTTCCAATTGCGATTGTGGATTTTGTGTTCTCTTCCTTTTTCTTGTTTATTTGTGTATTTACGTTCGTTTCTTCTTTGATTGGTCTATAAAAAAATGTTTATTATTTTGAAATTTGAATTCTGATGAAATGTATTTTTTTATATATTCAATGAATTTAAAATACGAAGACTTCTTATGAGCTATAAATATCATTTTTGGAGAGCAGATGCACTATCAGTTGCAGAACGAACTTTTTAATATAAATTATAAAGGCACTATTAATTAGTCTATGAATAATGCTCATTTAATAAACACTGGATACGGTTTTCAGAAGTAAGTTTTGACAATAATAATTAAGATAAATAATGATTAGTACCCGAGTCGGGTAATAATCATTATTTATGTTTTGTAAATAGGAACCAAACAAATATTTCTAAATAGACCATAACTAAAAATATAATTATAATGTAGGATTAAGTATATATTAAAGGAAGTATATAAGAAAAGAAAATAAAATCATTACCTTTTTAAATTATTGTTGTATTTCTGAAGAATATCTTTAACGCTTGCACTCTCAGTATTTTTATCGTGTTGTAAGGTACTATTCATATCAGATTTAAAATTATTTGAATACTCATTATCGTTTAACAATTTTTTAAACGGTACATTGTCTTTAGTAATATCAACAATTTCTTCGTTTTTGTCGTTATAGACATTGCCAATATTCGGGTTTGTTTTATAAGCGATAGCTTTATTTCTTTCCCCAAAATAATGACTTTTATTTATATTTGTATCATTTTCATTTCCCATATCATTACATTCAATAATGTCTGGAGGAACATCTACGTTTCGTGTATCGTTTTTGTGAACTATTTCAGTAATGTCTAAATCGACTTTTAACTTCCCAATGATTTGAACTTTATTTTTTTGATCGTTTTCTGATGTTATGTTTATTAATTTAGTTTGGCTTGCATGGTAATTTTTGATATATTCAATATTATCTCCATTTATACTAGTACATTTAATATTTGTTTCTTTATTTCCCATATCTGTACTCGTACTATGAGTGTTACTACTTAGAACATTTGTAGATTTTTTCCATTTTTCCATAGAGGGTGCAATATTTTTATTAGGATTCGATAGTTTACTTGACTTTATATTTTGCAAATATAAAGGATAAGTTGCTAATGCGAGTTTGTTTTCTGTAATAGGTTCATCAATTTGAATTTCATCACTTATTTTTAAAACATTACCATATAATTCTAAATGTTTATTGTTAATTGTTATATTATCAGTTCCTTTGTTATTTTGATTATTTGTAAAATGAAGGGAACATTCGTCAGGTTTAATTGCAATCCAGTGCGATGTATTTGTATCATTTCCGGGTCTACTTGCACAATCAGCATTGATTTCCTCACTTTTTATTTCGTCACTATTCATAGACTTTTTTTCGGTTTCAGTTAAATCTATTAATTCATAGACATCTTCATCATTATTTACTTCTTGAATTACCTTTTTATCATTTCTTTCGGTCGGTTCTATCAAATCTATGATATCAATTTTATTATTATTATAATTGTAAGCTTTTTGTAGAAATTGTTCAATTTGACCTTTAACGGTATTAGTAAAACCAGTTTCTTGGCAAATATCAGTATTAGCCCCATCGTTATTATCTTCCTTCTCTAAAAAATCTATAAAATTATAGTTGTTTTTTGTAGTCAAAGTTTTACGTTTTGCATTAATATGCACACTTTTCTTTTGATCAAAAATGTTTTTGGGACATATAGGTTTCGATGATATTTGATTGTTATTTAGCGGAATTTCATTTTTATTTTTAATTTCGTTTTCAATTTCATTTAAGATATCGCTCACTTGTTTGTCATCTACAAAGTCTTCATCGTTGAAATCCTCTGCAAAAGCGTCTACAATATTTTGATCTAAACTGTCCCCAATAACACTATCAAACTCTTTATCCATAATGGTATTATCCTGTTGTAGCACTAAATTGTCTAATATTTTATCAGACATTTCTTTCTTTTTATGATGATTTACATTAATATCTCTTGATGTTCGCCCGAAAGATTCCTTGAGTTGTTTAAATTTTTCAACTGAATTTATGTCTCGCTTCTTTTTTTCATTGCATTGTGATTTATCTGTTTCTTTTGCCTTTCTCTTCCTTTCTTTAAAAACATCTATTTCGTCATCGTGCAAATTTTCCAGTTTTTTTTCTGGCAAATAAGTTGCCACTGGTTTATACGTTGGTATAGGATTTATATCGTTAAATAAATATTTACATTGTTCATCTATACCGACTGTAAAAGAAAAGTATTTAATTTAATTTCATAATAACTGTTTTTTATATATTTGATACATAAGTATATATAGTTGGACATTCACCAAATGTTGAGCTAATGCAATGTATAAGGATTTCATGTTTAGAGTTGTGTTTTCTGGTTACTTCGAAAGTCATGCATCCGTCGTAGACGTTTATAAGATCTGAATCCCTGTAAAGTTGTATACATGAGAATTACCTGTTATAATTGTTATTAATACTATAAAAACTATTAATTTAATAGTTTTCAAGTTAAGGGTGGCCACATAAATACGTACTTAACTATCTATATATAGATAGAAAAATAATCCAATAGGGTAGAATTATTAAAATGATATAAATCATATTTATTGACTATAAAAAAATGAACTAAACGCAAAATTAAATAAATATTAATATATTTGGAATACTTACTTAAAAGACGTTAAATAAATCAAATAATTTTCACTATCCCCAACTACAACATAGCTCTTATGACTCGCGCCAGCAGTTAATTGTTCTATATTTTCAGACAAATGAGCGTTATTAAGCAATGATAGCTGAATCTTAACTGTTTTCTCGTCTATGGGGGTAGCCGTAAGGTTATATTTTGGGAGCAAACTGACTTGTCGTCTTATTACATTTCCAGCGGGTGGCCCTTTGTTCATTATCTAGAAGGTTGTTGGAAATCACTTTTCTTGCACTTCTCTTAAAGGAAGTATACTAAATTATTTATATTTTACATAGCGACTCACCTTCGCTTCGCTCGGCTTCATCCGTAGGTTACTTCCTATTGCAAACTTTCATCCCCATGTTTACCCCCTTAAGGGATGATTTCCAGGATAAAAACTATCCTTCCTATGTCCTTTCCAGGGTCTCAAACTATCTTCTTACCAAATTTCATCTAAATCGGTTCAGTAGTTTCGGAGCCTATTTAATTTAAACAAACAGACAAAAACAACAAATTTTTCCTCTTTATAATATTAGAATAGATATAATCACTGAGATGAGAATATTTTAATTATGTATAGCTATTAATAAAATAAGATTTATATAAGTACGCTATGTTTTTGATATACACTACGAACATATACCTATATAGATACCATAGTTCGGATAAAAAAATACACATTTTTAATTTAATTCTATGAAATGTTATTATTTTTAAATATTTTTTTACAAACCCTTTCCAAATCTCGTGGATGACTCTCTTCCAACAGCATAAAGTTAACTTTGCCAGCAGATGCGAGTAGTGTACTAAATATTTGACCTATACCTTTCAATTGCCGACTAACGTATGGGGAATTTTCCCACAAACGGGCGTATATACATTTAGCTAGTACCAAAGAGTTTAGAATTGTTAGATAAAATTTTGGATTTTGGGATATAAAATTTGGACGAGTCACGTAATATACTAAACCTGTGGAAGAAATTACCTATAATTTATCATTTAAACACAAATATTATTTTTTATATAAATACTTAATATATAAACATATAAAGTTAGAAACATCAAATCTTTAAAGTTTTTATTCATTACTTATGTAATTTCATTGATTGACAGTCACGGCTATAACCGGGCCAGCCCAATGGATACACAAGAGTTCGTTCGTTATATCATTGTAGGTATAACTATGGTTGAATACTACGAAAGGATTTTTAAAAATTCTAAAGGATGAATGTTTATATGACAGACTTATAGTAGGGGAGCCCACGATGCTAAATGGGGATTTACTCGAGCGTCGTAGAGACCTATTGGGATGCAAAGCTTAGATGATAAGAAGAAAAAAATGTTATATGACATATACCTTTACATCGGTGGGGGAAGCGGCTATAGATTTTTAAATATGTAAAAAAAACTGTTGCATAGACATCCTCGAGCGCGTCAGATATTGATAGCATAAATGCCCTACGTATTTTTAATAATGTACGTATGTTAATCTGATCGTTTGCATGATGCGGGTGGTTGTATTTAAGGGTTGAAAATGAAAAAAAAAAATTTAATCGAGCGCGTCAGATTTTCTAAGGGAGTGTTAAGTGCACCAAAAAAAAGCTCTCATTCACTAATCTGACGATTTCGATGGGACGCAAGCTCGCGGCCATTTTCATAATGTGCAAAAAAAAAATCGCCATTTTGAAATACTCAAGCGCGTCAGATTAAGATATATATGGTTCATCTTTATGTTCTAAACGTACTGTCTCATAATCTGACGATTATCTAGAGGGATTCGCCTGATCTGACAAAAAAAAAATTAGAAAAACGGTTCACCTTAAAGGCCATACCTGCAACTTCCCGCTAATTCCATTCCTGTGCGCTTAAAATTGTACTTATGACATTTTTGCGCTCAAAATATAATTTATATGATATTTTGAGCTCGCAGAGTTCAAAGAAATAATATTTCTATGCATTTGAGCTCTCCCAGCTCGAAAGTCTGATAGAAGTTTCATAGAACACTATTTTTGGAATTTTCAAACCGCAATAACTTTTGAATAGATCAAGCTATTTTTACGCGGTTGACGGCATTCGACGCAGTTTTATCATACTCATAAGTTATTTTCAGGTTTTAATTGATCGAACCAAAAATTTCGGAGTAATCCCAAAAAAACACTTTTTTTCGGTTTTCTTTCGTTCACGATATCTCTCGAACGGATCAACCGATTTTGACCGGATTAGCGACGATCGGCGTGGTTTTTCTAGCTTAAGGGTGGATTAGTTTTTGAAGTGAATTGATAAAGCCGATTAAAAGTTAGTCCAAAAAATACACTTTCAAAAAAATAATTTTCTTATTTTTTTTTGAGATTATTCAAAATTTCTCAAAATCTATCGGCCCGAATCGGTTCAAATTCACAGGAAATCTAATTTTGAGGGAAATCTTTAGAACGCCGTTTAGTAGATTCTGATCGGTTTAGTCGTTGAAAAGATATAAGCGAGTCACACATACACACACACATGCATACATACAGACTTAGTGACAACATCATACTTCACACAAATAATATTAAAATAGCAAAAAAAGCCAAAACGTTGGAAACACGTTGTAAACAGTATGCCACGATCGAGTCTTTATGATCAGCTGTGATGGCGTCATGGCGGCAGAAACCAGAGTGGGGACGGAGTGAGAGAGTAATAGATAGAGAAAGAGTGAGAGAGGAATAGAAACGCGGAGAAGGAAATGTAGGCATCACGCAGCTGCACGCATTTAACTTTATCGACGAATTTTTGTTATTTCGGCTTGCGGAAATCGTCAGATTATATATTTTTCATTATTCTTGCATAATTTCCTTCAAAATAAAAAAAAATTTAGCTACGCTCGAGAATGTCGAGATGACGTTTTTTTTTACAACTTTGTTGCCCTCCCCTTTTTTTACGTCACTCTCAAATTGTCAGATTAGTGGAATATACACTTTTTAGGATGTAATTAACTCACCCTACTTAATCTGACGCGCTCGAGAATTTCTGATGGTCAATTTTTTTTTACTAATCTGATCCTGTATCCTTCACGGGCGGCCTTATATATGGGCCTCATGTTTTGTGGAAGTACTTAACCGGGTACAAAGTATCCCCCTGTATATTAATCTGCCGCGCTTCAGTAAATCCCGAAATCCCCGCTTGGGCTCCCCTACTATTATGAATTATATTTATAGACGGAGTCCACCAGAGTAAATTTCAAAGCCAAAAATAGTAGCGTAATTTGCTGTTTATGCTAAGTAATTCTCGATTTTGCCATACATACATAGGTACTCGTATCGTTTACTTTCTTTAAAGAAAAAAGGGAATTTTATAAATGTATCAATTAAATTTATATACAATTTTTGAAAATAAAATAAGTATAATAAAAATAATACTACATTCTTTTGTGACATCTTAATTTTTTTAAGAAAAATAAACAAAAAATATTTTTAGCATATCACGACAAATACAATAAACAGATGATGGTATACGTTAATTCTTGATATTATATTTACAGTATTTACCTACCAATAAAATAATAAATGAATAAAAATCTCACATTTGCACACTCTATCAGCAATTCTCATAATCTTCAAAGCTTCTTGATTTAATGATGGTTCGGGAATAAATAAACAACCGAGTACTGCTTGGATCACACTATTATCATTGAAATTTAATTAGATATTAACATTTACAACTACGTATACATATATAAGTATAATATAAGTACTAACTAAAAGATCCGGACCTATATGTTACTCTGAGGAATAAGCTATGTTTTTGTAAAGTTTCATCAAATTTAGTTCAGTGGTTTTAGCATAAAAGAGTAACAAACATACACCCTAACATCCTTACAAACTTTCGAGCTTATAATATTATTCGAATATGTTGTTGAATCACAGAAAATAAATTCAGTCCATAATTTATAGATAAATAATAATGTATACGAGACATACAAAATGTAAGATATATAATAATATTGACTTTGTATAAATAAACAATAAATTTCTTTTCAATTATCTTTCTTTATCTATGATTAAAAACTCTTAGCGGGCTCTTGATCCTTTATCTTTTTTTATAAATAAAACATATTTTAATTAATTTATTGAAAATGAAAGCTTTTGCAAATTACACTTTAAGTTAACTTTTTATAAAGTGTCAAACTGTGAGCTATATTTAAGTATTAAATTTATTCATATTAAAGAAACTTGGAAAATTTGCGTTCATCAACAATAACTCTGAAGAGTAATTGATGCTTTAGTACAGGAGAATATTATCGTACCGTTTACTCAGAAAAAGGTGCCGATAAAAAAATTAACGACACGGAAGCGTTTAAATTTGAATCAACTATATTTCAAGGCGTAACGATTATTGCATGTTTTAACAAGAGATGATCATAAATAAATTGCCAAAAATGTTCTTATCAAGTTTAATAAGAGGATTCCTATATACTTATATAAGTATACACATAAAATAAATAATTACTTATTGTTGTATTACGTAACATATTTTTATAATTATCCCTATAGTTATCTTGGATCACCATCGAGAAGGTAAAAGGAATACCCGTCAAAAGGCTAAAATTGCCTAACCGTATAATATAAATATATAAATAAGAGTATGTTAGTTAGTTGGTAAATTGCCATTAATTAAAGCTAGATAAACTTTCACGATTAGGCCATTGCAAGCTTTCATTTCTGGTCCAATGAAATCAGACAAAACTATTTACTAAAAAGAAACTAAATCTAAAATGACCTATGCGATAAATTGTGCTAAAAGATGATGTCATATAGAAGTTAATTGTAAAATAATAAACTTAACGAACTCCACGCAAATTTTAAACTTTTTTATTATTTGCTCAAGAACCCAAAATTTATGATATCACAAACATTAAGCAATTAACTTTTATATGTTGCCATATTATTAGAGGTATAAACAAGATAATCTCAGATTGCTTTTAAATTTAAAACACCTGATATACCTAACTTTATTAGATAGATTTACAGATTAAGAACTTATGCAGAATTCCCATCGATATTAATATAATAATAATAGTAATTTAGCCTTTTTAACGTCCTTTTATGACCTTTTATGACCTTTTATGTCTTTCGAAAATTGTTAAAGTTCTTTCAGACATGCAAGTTTTCTTATCTTATCCTTTCACCTTTCTCACGTCATATCAAAATTTCAAACTAAATATACAAAACTTACCAACTTAACTTCATTTGCCTGCTATTAATCTTGCCCTTCATAGGAAAACGTATAGTCGCGGTCGCAGTGTTCCTGTTCAGAGAGTTAAGGCATCTGCGTTCGTCAACGCGGAGATGCATATCCGATAGTTCGTGACTTTCGCATATCAGCCATAACAGGCGCTCTAACGGCTCAGATCCTTCTAACTGTTTATGTAAATAAGTAAATAAGACGGAATAAAGTTACTATTTTAAAATATCTTAGGAATAAAGTAACTCGGTTTTTTTTTAGTTATATTCCTTTGGGTAGTTTGGAAAATAATATGAGGGTAAAATTTTTAGGATGCGCGCACATCGACAGCCAAAAAGCGACATGATGAAGTTAGCTGCATTCCTTTTACAAACAGACAGTAGTGATATAAAAGATGAAATCTTTAGCTATTTTTTTTTCTATTACGCCAAAGAAGTATAATTTCTTACGTGCGTACATAAGTACACACACACGTTTTTTATTCAGCTTATTGACTTCGCAGTAATATATAATTATTTGTTTATGTATATATAAACAGTAATTATTGTCAGTTTGGTCTGTGATGCAAACTTATGCAAAATAAGGTCAATACTAAATGGAGATGGATAGAAAGGTCACGTCTTGGTATCCTGAATCCATGAATGTTAATTCACATAATGCAAATGAAGACAAGATGGCATCGCTAACTAGGACAGTATTTAATTATCTAACGCCTAATACAGTGTGGAAAAAAAAAGTAAAATTTATATAAAGAAACACAAGTAAGGCAAGCACCTTCATAATGAGTTTCATAGTCTCTAAGTCTAGATAATATATAGACATGAGTCGACCGGCTTCTGTTGATGTAATGCAACATGCTTCATCCATCGATATTAACCCAGCACTAGCTAATTTATTCATTGCTTTTACACATAACTCTGAAATATTAAATTAAATCTATATAAATAAAAATGAATCACCGAAATGTATATACGCGCATAACTTCAGATCGACTGCACCCAATTGGATAATTCTTTTTTTGTGTTTATTATTGTTAGGAAGTTTTGTGTAGAAGAACATTAAAAAAAAGCTTTTTTTTATTAAAATAAGATTTTTTTTTAAATCTCATGATATGAAAAGTGAGTGAGTGCAATAGTTTTTATCCCGAAAATCATCCATTAAGTGGATGAGAATGTGGATGAGTTTGTACTGGGAGGCAAGCCAGGAACGAACCCGAGCGAAGCGAGTGTGATTCGCTAGTATTAAATTTTAATTATAAAAATGCCTTTTATCGGGTTACTAAGCGTAAGTAAGTAATAATAAAAAATAATGTTTGTTAGTGTTTCACGCATAAACGGCTTGTCGGATTTGGATGACATTTTGTATATAGTCTATCTGTGATCTGGAATGCATTCAGGTAAAGCGAGGGAAAGCCAATAGTTTACATTATTATTTGAATTACTAATTATCTATGTTTACACCCGTCACAGATTTGACTCTTGCTTCGGTAATTAAATATTTGTCGCGGTCTAAGAGCTCCTTATATAGAGTTTACGCTTCACGAAATTCGCGCACAGCCTAATGGGAGCCATTGAACGCGTAGCATTTTTTATTTATAATATAATTTAAAATAATGGAATAGTTAACATTTCTGCATTAATACATTGAAGAATTGACGAAACTATATTAAGGCTATAGTAATTAATTACTCATTTGCCACAAAACATATTTTTGACCTTCTACTAATTGTCAGCGAATACGACGTATTCTAGCGATTCTGTATGAGTAAAATATAAAGATGAGTAGCACATTCGTCATCGCTAGGACGTGATTTTTGCATGCATTCATTAGTTGCACGATGACATTTCCAACGTTTATAGGTAAAGGGCATGCAATAGATATATGTTATATGACCGTTATTTTAAAATAAGCATATAGCGATTTTATTGCACCTATAATAACTTTTTAAGGAAAATCTAAACACAATAATTTTAAAGATGAAATCGATAGTAGGTATTAGAAGAGGTTGAGCTATTATTTTATTAATTGGCTAAGTAAAGGCAATAAAGATAATTTTGAATATATATATTATACATAATTAAAATAAAACTATTGCATAATTACCACAGAAATATAATATTACAAACCTACCTGTTTGTTTTTCAGATAGGTAATGAGATTAAATTTCAATTCTTTTTTTATATAATAAATACATAATAATAGAAAAAAAATATATTTAATAAAAAAATGTCTAAAGTTTTTATATTACGCCTTTAAATTGCATATATCTTGTAAGGAGCTATGTGTGCTCAAGACTCATCCATCACGATCCGGAACTACCTACTTAGCGAGGCCATAAACGTCATGGTGATGTTCTTACAGGATTTTTATATTGTACATTGTAATTATTATAAGAATAAACGTTAAATTTTATTACAGCAATCTTTATGTAAATAGTGCGTAAGACGTATCAATACTAGGGCCGACTTAGATAATATTTCTTTATATTCATATCATCCATATAAGATTTTCTTTAATAAAATAAAAATAATTGAATTAAATTAATATTAAAATTTCATATACAAATACTATTTGAATTATTGTATTGAAGTTATAATTTCTTAATAAATTGTTTACTGTAATATTATGTATCTGATATCGTATATACATACATACATCTTTATATATATAATTCTTCTGTGAGTGTGTATGTCACTGAACTTCTCTCAAACGACTGAACCGATTTTGATAAAATTTTTTGTGTGTGTTCAAGGGGATCTGGGAATGGTTTATATTCACAATTTGAATAATAATTTTCATCAAAAAAATTATTAAAAAAAGTTTGAAATTTTCAAATTAAAGACGTGTAGACAGGACAACGTCTGTCGGGTCCGCTAGTATATACGTATAATACGATGCACCTCCTTAATTTACATATGTATTGTATAAATATACTGCATTCATACTTGAATATTAACTAAATATAAATATATTTAATTAAAAATATTATTTATTTTATAGTAAACTGCTGTTTATTTAAAAAAAAACTCTTGTAACTAAAATAAGCATAGATCATATTTTATTTTAAGTACCACACAGTAGTAAAAAGTTAAATATAACGATAAGTCAATAAAATGAAATGGCCAATCATTATAATTCAAAAAACGTGAAATATTGTTTGTTTATTTAACAATAAGTGAACTTTTCGGCAACATGATGGATACCTACGTAATAAAATTTATATGATAATTAAATTTTATATTTTTAAATAAAATAACATCCGTAGACCATTAATTGCCGACGTAGATTAACTTCAAGTTCATTTTATAGCTATTATTGTATAGGAAAATAGGCTCATCTGTTACATTGTTAAATAGTCTTATCTGTATACACATTCGAAACGTATATTATTAAATCTTCATCCTATTATATTGTGTGCAACAGAATATTATTCAAGTCAATAATGATTTAACTTTCTAGTGTCTATTATTTAAATGAACGTTGTATGTTTAGATAAATAAAGTCATGGAAATATAAATTAAACAAAATAAGGTATTTGGTATATAACCATTAATTATTATACGTGCCCACGATTAAATTTTTAAACAAGTAAAACTACGTTAAATTAATAAATCATTTCTAAGCATTTTCGTTCAGCTTCCAATCAATACAAACTAAAATACTGTTACAGATGTACATACCTACATACATATATAATATAGATATTGTTATAGATTATACCTTATAATAATTAAAACTTTAAAAATCTGTAATTCTGGGCTCTATATAAAATGTTGATGCCTTTAACTTAGATTATATAAAGAAAAATTTGTTAATGCTATTTTAATATTTTAAATAAACTATCTTTTTGGTTTTTTTCGCGATTTTATTTTGATTTTTGGTTCCCGAGGTTTCGAATGCTTTACAGCAATGATGGTCACGGGAGAGACTTTAATATTTAAGTTTATGTATGTAGAGTCATAGAGTAAATAGTTGTAAGCCTTATTCAATAGATAACACCTAAAAGTTGCTACTTTATAATTTATGTATCATGTATGTATATAATCAAAACAATTTTGCGGTTAATTTACGGTTATTTTCTTAAATAGCAAGTTCTCTCTAGCGTAGTAACACAAACTTACCTTCTATTTTCTTAGAAATCTGTTGTGGTGGCGCACCGTGCGGGAGACCGAGATATCTCTTAGGATCGCGCGCGGCTCGCACGCTGAGGAACGTGGAGTCAAGCCATTGCACACACTGTGCGACGTCACACACTGTACCTAAAGCTGTTTCACTGTTCAAATTCTCAGCTAAACGTTTGTGCAAATAACTTTGTAAGGGCTCGCTACCCTCTACTAAGGACTGGTATCTTGCCTGCGTGATAAAATATTTCTTTATTAGGAATTAAACTATTTAAAGGAAAAAAATATTTTTTGAATTGTCAATTTTAACTAAATACTTTTTGTGGTTGATATGTTTTGAGTACAAAATGTCATTGCAAATGTTACATTAGTAAATCAAATCTAAAATAATTTTTTACTAGTGAATTTTATGACGCGTATAATAGAAAAATATAAAATATGGGCTTAACTAAAGAAGAAAAGAAAGCGAAAAAAGAAGCTAAACGGCTAGAGAAACTAAAGGCAGAAATTGAAGAACGAAAGAAATTCAAGCGCAAAGAGCTAGAACGCGAATTAGCAGCACAAGCACGACATCGTGGTGAACTCGATAGAACATGGCGAGAAATGATGCTTAAAATACATGAACCTGTATTTAGACAAGACATCGAAATTCTGTGGCATACGTTTGAAAGAGCATATGACAAAAAAGACTATCTTATTAAATATACAATGCAGTTAATGGACATGGCGGATGACCAATTTCAGAGAACAGTAGCCAGTTTTTGCGATACAATAGACACAATGATTAATAAATTCCTTTCGGAATTAGAAGAATTGTCGAAACTGAATGATGTACGAACGTCTGAAGTTCTTAAAGCTGGTGAAGATGAAGCGTTACGAATTGTTTCAGATCATAATGCAGCTGAAACACATCTTCAACTTCTACTTTATCATGGACATACTACTGCTGATTCTTTGGCTTGGACTACACGAGGAGAAAATCTAGTTAAAGAAGACGAAGAACGCAACAAATATGCGAATGAACGTGAAAACTTGCGGTCTTTACTTGAAAATAGTTATAGTGTTATGTGGGATGATTATAAAACTGTATTGAAAGCATATATCGCTGGAACAGCTGAGAACCAAAAACAAGTGCGTAAATTGCGAAGAAAGGAAAATTTAATGGCTGATATTATAGCATCGCAAGCAAAGAAAATTGCTAACAGTGACGGTCTCCTTAAGCGCCTACGATCAGAACTAGCGGCATACGAGTCAGGTACGAAACAAGCTGAATTTCGAGATCGTCGTGATCGTCATCGAGCTGCATGTTGGCGTTTAAAAAAAAGATTAATCAATGGATGCAATATTGATTCCAAACAAATGGCTATTTTAGTAAGAGAATCGGATAATGCTTTAGAATGGCTTCAATCTGCTTATAATAAGGGTGAAAAAATACTGCGAATGGCTGCTCTCTGTCGAAAGTTTGAAACACAGCGAGAAAAGGTCATGCCATTTGGTTGTAATAAACCACACTCGCCAATACAAAGTAAAACAGGGTTGCGGCGTCAACACTCTGATGACTCTTTAGTCGTAAATGCTATTTCATCTACAAGTGGATTAACCAGGTTGTGGCAAAAAATAAGTAATGCAGAACTATCAAGAAGGGCACTAGCTCGTGAAAAAGTTTTGTTGGAGCAGGAAAATGCGATGATTGTAAAAAAAATACAAGAATATAAGGAAAATAAAATGTTTCCTGAATCTCGAAAATGTGTTTGCAGTACTAATAAAAGTGAATCTTTTAATCACCCCGTGGCAATCGATGGAGCGCTAGAAGTTAAAAAATATCAATAGCTCTACTAAAGCAACTTCGTTGAAAAAATACCAAATCTAGTAGATATCACTTGTTTTTTTTTTGCTATTTAGTATATACATACATTTACTATGACGTAATTTTATTTTCACTTTTTCCGAGAATTGTCAGAAATTTTTAATAAGTACATTTTGTCACATCACAGCAAGTAGCGTGAGTCGAATGATGCAATGACATAAGGTTTGTATATGGAGAGGCGCAAACGCTGATACTTTGACCTCACCTACTTTATAATTCAAGGCATATAGCATCACAAAGCACTTATAGTTAACAGTTTAAAATGCTTACGAATAACACAATATTGATTTTACTAAATTTATTAAAATAGTCATAATAGCGAAAGCTTAAAAAAAGCTTATTTTGTAAAAGAGCTTATTATGAACACCTTCCTTCCATAAGTATTTAAAGCGTATTTATTCGCTACAGGGAAAATCATACTAATCGTTAATTCTCACCATCCGCTAACTGGACGATTATGTTATTCGCTAATGAAATGGTTTAGGAAATCTATTATTTTTGTTATTTATAATATTTTAGTTTTTAAATTTTTTCATCTTCTACCATCCGTTAGATACTATAGCTTTATCGGATGAAGTAAATATTATTTATTAGTACATACAAAGTATTTTTTTTCCTAAAATACTTACCTTTTTGCTCGATAAGTTAAGAGTAGTAGTATTTCTTTACATTAAACATAAACTAGTACCAAATTTTGAATTGAAAAATTACGTATAATTTATGTTTTTGCGCAGTTTCTCGTGTAAAGAAGCTACAATATAAAATCTAGTTTTCATGTTATCTGGCAAAACAAAGGCCAATTTATTACAAGGATAGTTAAAACTTAAGACATATTAATAGTTTTGGGGTACCGTATAGATATTTGAAATTATATTTTTCTTTTATTTTCTCATAAAGTTATTAAAAATGTTTAGTAGAATATTTACTTTTTAAACAACTTTTATAGTTAAAATGTTAGTAAAAAAAAATATTTTTTAATATAAAGTAAGTACCTAGGGAACATTGGTAAAAACTTGTTCATTATATGGGAAATAATTAAAGAATGAACAAATCATATTTTAACTTAATATTGTTTTTTAAACCAGTTCAAATTAGCTTAATTAATTACTTTATAAAATGCAGTAGCATTGAATTTGAGACTGAAAATTTGTAAGCTTCACCTCGCGTGTTGTAATTATGCCGTCATCACGACAGTCGCACGTCAAATGAATATATTAAATCGTAAACCTTAAATTGAGCTGTTATTATGAAAATGACTAGATTATGTCGAATTCAACTTTGAACAATAAAATTACAAACAATCATCGATTGCGCATTGGCTCATCTCTAAAAGCACAACAAGAATATTAATAGGTATTGTTTATATTATATAGATTATCTAGAGTTTAGACTAACGCAACTTTTTTTCATATATTAAAAAAATAAAAAATCTTCAACACAGAAATATAAAATACAATACATATAGAAATACGATCCCTTAAAAAGATCCCTCAAAAATAATTTCCATCAAATAAGTAATTCATTTGAACGCAACTAAATAAAGCTAAGTGTTCATTACTCTTGTTATGGAATAACGTACGACAGGGTATCGTTAAGTTAATTGTCTTTTTTTGATTTGCTTCACTTTTTTGCATCGGGGGTTATTAATATGAAAAGCCTAAAATTATTATATATTATTATTAAATTATATGTTACTAGTCGACCCGGCACGCTTTGCTATGGCATACGTATGAAAATCGTCAATTTTGCAATAAAAAAAGGAAACAATCGGGATAAAAACTATCCTATCTAATTATATAAAAACGGGATAAAGCTTATTTTTAAGTTGGAACAAATCACATATTTTGAAAAAAAATAGGCTAAGATCGGATAAGTAGTTTCGGAGTTCATTTCGGACAAACGTCATGTGAATGACACGTAAATTTTATATATTAAAGATATAGGTATATCTTTCACTAACTTTTCCAGTACCAAAACATATTATTAATTATTTTATAACCTCCCAAAAACCTGCACTAGTTGGTTTAAAAGTAGTAATAAACTTGTACTATGACGTTTGTACGTACGTAGTGTATGTACAATGTATATATATGATACTTTCACATGGTGATGATGATGTTCTCCTAGCCGATTCCGGCCACGGCGGCCAATCTCAATGAGATTAGCCAACTGCGCAGGAGATATTATAGTGCTCAAGTGTACGCGCAGACACAACGTGCACTCTCTATTCCTATCACTCTCATACTCCGGTGGGACGACCACTCGACACGACCGGTGAGAGTTAAGGCGCAGGACCGACGGCTTTACGTGCTCTCCGAGGCACGGGGGTGAAACACCGCCAACTTCCCAACTCCGGGCTGTTACTAAGACTTACTATACAGAAAGACTCAATAACTAAACTTGGCCCGACCCGGGACTTGAACCCAGGACCTCCGGGTGTGCAGCCGTACATGCTAGCCACTACACCACCGAGGCAGTTACACATGTACGCTTAGCTTTACCCTAGCTGTGTAACGCTTAGCTTTTGGAGCTTGTGTAGGAGATAGCCCTGCCCTACAAGGAAGAGAGACGTCCTAGATAATACAATGAACTATATTATTGTGAATGAACTCGAATGAAAGATTAATTCTCGAGATCACTTTTAAAGGGGAGGTTTGCGTCACACGCGCGGAAAATTATTAGCTCTAGCACGACTCGCTTTATGATGAGTCTTACAATTATTCTTGATCTAGTAATTTTAACTGTAAATGCGTTGACATCGGATTATGCAAATGTCCTTTCATTATCTAATATTCTGAAATATTATATTCGAATAAGTAATACAATTATTTCAATTAATTTTAAACAGTTACTTAGAAAACATAATATAAGTGAATAGTTTGAAAAATAGCTAAGTATAATCTACACTTGAAAATCAAACTAACTTACCCGTAAGTGAAGTTCGATTACAATTATATGAACAGCTTCATTCGACTCGATTTCGGATATTACCAAAAAAATTATTGATAAAAAAGCCAATGTACGTCAATAACAATTATTGTACGATTATATAATATACCTATAGCCTTATAGGCTTAACTATAAGTTATATTATAAATGGAAGGAAAATTTTTATTATTTTTTTAAATATTTTAATGCAAAAACGATTTAATTTGTAAGCAATTAGTTAATTATTAAGTTAGTACGAATCGATGATTTTCCGACCGAGCTTGTATAGGCGCAATCGGGCCTACAAAAGTTCACGGTCATGAAATTGAATAATTACATTGATTGGTAATCAAAGATATGGATATAGAAAACATTTCGAAATGTATTTATCAACACAATAATGTCAATCACATATGGCATAGTGTGTCGAAAGCGTGTTTTGCAAAATTTTTACTCATTTGAAGCAGCCTTCACAAAGCCTTTGTAAAGTTCTTTGATAGTAGTAATTGTGTAAATAAAATAGCAGAATGTATGTAGTTGTAAATTACTTCGATTTAAGCGTTTAAATAATTATTGCAATAAATATTTACAATATTATATTATTTTTTAAATCCTATAAAATAATAAATATTAATGGGTGTTATAAAATTCTTATGTATAAATTATAAGATATCGTAATATAAATGATCATGTAATTACACATTGTTGTATGTCTGTGTTGTTTTTAGTTATTACTGCGCGTCTTTTTATTGGATTAAATAAGCTCATCAGTCATTATTTTTAAATATATGGAAAAATATGATTTCCGTTAAGTCCTCTTTATAAATGCGAATAGTTTTAAGTTTACGTGTAGCACTTACGTTGAAGAGGAAAATAGCTTCCCGTATATGTATGGAAAATGATCTATACATTTAATAAAACTCTAACTAAGCCGAATCTGTACATTAAATATTTTTTGGAAAATCTTATTGAAATAAAATTTATTATCGATACAGAGGCCGAATCTATAGTTTTTAGAATTTCTGTCTGTCTGTCTGTCTGTCTGTTACCGCATCACGGAAAAACCACTGGAGGGATTTTGTTGAAATTTGGTATGGCGATAGCTGGTTATCCGGGTCATCATATATGATACTTTTTACCGCGGGAAAATATCTCATTTCGGAGAAAAAATACAAAACTGCAATGTAAGAGTATACTAATATGTAAAACCTAAGAATTTGGTTTCTGGTCATCTGAACGCGGGCGGAGCCGCCGGAAATGCTAGTTCTGATATAATAATGAAGTACAATAACATTTACCCATATTTCATAAATCTTCCGGTTTCTCTTAATATTCGATTTTGAAATTTACCTTAACTTTTTGTTTGTTTGTCTGTTACGTTTACCCGCCTCAACCGCTGAACCAGTTTTGATGAAGTTTGGTATAGAGAGGGATAGGGACTTGAAGAAGTACATTGGATACTTTTTGTCGTAAAAATGAAAATTGATAGAGGTGAAGTAGCGGTTGAAATTTTGTATTGTGAAAAAAATAATTTCTCAAATTAAAGCCAAAAAATCCTTTATAGCCTATTTGTGGCTCACCCTTGCTTCGCTCGGGTTCGTCCCTAGTAAAAAACAAAAAGAACACTATTCCACGGAAACCGACCATTTTCGTGCATAGGATAAAATGTAGCATACATATGTGCTATTCCAGACTATAATATATCTCTGCGCCAAATTTCATCTAGATCCATTCAGGAGTTCATCCACACTTTCTCATTTTTATAGTAGTAAGATATTTTTTAGTAAAAAATAAAGAATATTTCGGCGTTTATGACTAATCAAGCTAAAATCGGGGATGATGATTTTTTTAAAGTACCTAATTACCTACTTTTCTATACCTACGTATATACATATAGTTTATCTACCCTGTACTAATCGTTAAAACATACGGGCATACCCAGGGACGAACACGAGCGAAAAGAGGGTGAGTACTAATATTATGAATGTGAAAATTACACTGTCTGTAACATATTCACACTCAAGTCGCTGAACAGATTTTGATAAAATTTGGCAAGGACATAGATTAGATCCTGGAATCGGACATAGACTACCTATAGTTCTCGCCTTGTATGTCACGCGAGTGAAGCCGCTGGCAAAAACTAGTATACATATATGTTTTAAATTAGGCGTTTAAGTATCTTTTTTACTAGTATAAATGGTCTGCGTTTTATACATATAGGATAGGGTAGAAAAGAATTCAATCATATTGATCTACTCTTCCGCCGAAATTTAAGTTTACAATTATTATGTTTGTAGTTGAAGCTATTAGAAGTAAAATTAAAAGATCAGTCAAGGGCAAGTTGGCTTCTCGTATCAAGAGTTCCAAAACTCCAAGTATGTTCACCAATGGAATAGAATATCATACTCGTACGTGCATACGTCGGGGTATCGCTAAGTTTAAATTGTCATTTTTCTGTTTGCTTCACCTCCTTGAAACACTTAAACTAATAATATTTTCGAATAAGTTTGTAAGAACGCGCGTTGAACATTCAAAATTTTCAGCTAAAATATGTAAAATTTAATAAACTCCTAATATTAGCAGAATTTAACTAACACCTTTGTTTTGGAAGAGCACAATGATAATTGCTATAATAAATGAATATCTTTATTGAGCAAAAACTTTTTAAGTAATTAAAATCTCAATCAAGTGTGAAACCAGCTTTAGAGGTACGGAGGTTCTATCACGAGGGGACATTGCGGCATCTCCGCGCCTGGGAAGTTGCGGGGTGCGTATATATATAAGCGAGGTCGGGGCGCGACATCAGTTGACTGAAGCGCTCTAAGACACGAACGTCTCAGTTTTATAGATATTATTGTGTAGTGTGTGCTTCTATACCCGAATTCGCGGTAAGATTATAGAACTTGCGGTTTCCGTATTTACGAGTACGATTGAAATATTTCATACGAATAAGAAATATTTTGTATCGAGGTCCTACAACAAAAAATAATACAATTATATATGAATTATATTATTATGAAATAACAAGAGCTGACCTTGTACTTAACTTAGATTCCCACCGAAAAACATATGTGTGGGAATAGAATTTTTTGCTTTACTACATAAATTTTATTATAAATACGGCAACAAAATTTAATTAATTTATAATTAGATTGTAACGTTAATCTTGGTAAATTATGAACTTAAAATATTTGGAACCATTCATTTAATTATATGCAATTAATCATAAAGCTTTTATTTATATCTTGTTCTTAGATTTATTACACTAATTCATTATTTAAACTTATACTTACTAATAATATCAATCGGGAATATTTTATCAAATTTTCATTTTCTGTCACTAACAAACAAACAAACAAACATAAAAAATAGTATTATATAGAATTAAATTGTAAAGTGTATGTATGTGTGTATGATATTTCCCAATATTCCGCAGATACGCGATATATATTGGGCAATATCATCCCGTTTCTAATTTCATGAAGTAAATTTGGTATCGCATTGCCATATACTCGTAGATAGCTATCTATTGCTTAAATACTGAACCGATTGTTAGTTCCTGCGGTTCTGCAAAAAGGTGTGAATGTGGGTCAATATTACGAGATCATTCGTAGAATATGTGTCATTGAAATGATAAAAACTTTGACACTGAAATTATGCCATCTATTGTTTAGTTTTAGCTTCATTTAATTACTTCCAACATTTATAGGTTTACTGTATACATATTTTTCTAGAAAATACGAGATTCGCGGATATAAAAAGATATGAATAGATTTATTAAAACTATTTATTTAAAAAAAATAGATGAGTTAATAGTAGTAATATTATTCTATTGGAATGTAAACCAAAATATCGCACAGTTCGGTGAATCATTTTTCCGTAGATCTCTATACAGAGTCAATGCACCAATTAGTCTGTTCTTAAGATTTGTTCCTGATGCTTAATATTTTATGTATATTAAATTATGTTATAACCGCTTTATTATATGCTTAATATCCGAAGTACTAACAAAGTTATAACGATGTCATAATGACATCTCAGGTATAAGTCTGCATTCTTTACTCTCTTCGTGTTAAGTTTTTTTTTTTACTTTATAGGTATTTTTATTTTGTAGCGGTTTTTGATTGTTACATAAACATATATTAATAATAACAAATATAACTATGTAAAACTTTAGCAAAGGTTATGTAAAAAAAATATTTTTTAACATTTTTTGTCAGCTCCAAGGTGGTTCTTAATTAACCTATCTGTAGTTTTCCTTACTAGAAACAGAAATCTATACGTATAATAAAATTGTAACTAAGCCGAATCTGTACATTAAATATTTTTTGGAAAATCTGATTGAAATAGATATTATTATCGATACAGAGGCCGAATCTATAGTTTTCAGCATTTTTGTCTGTCTGTCTGTCTTTTACCGTATCACGCAAAAACCACTAGTGGGATTTTGATGAAATTTGGTATGATGATAGCTGGTTATCCGGGTCAACATAAAGGATACTTTTTACCGCGGGAAAATATCTCATTTCCGAAAAAAATACAAAAACCGCAATGTAAGAGTATACTAATATGTAAAACCTAAGAATTTGGTTATTGGTCATCAGAACGCGGACGGAGCCGCGGGCAATTCTAGCTTGACATAAATCCCGAACAAATTATATTTAATTACCGATGACAGAAAAGAAAACTTGAGATGGATAGATTGAGATACGCTGTTAATGGTGTAATATTTGTAAGCAATATGTAAATGATTCGGCTATTAAATCATAATCATGTCAAGGTCAAAATAAAAATATATCAAATTTTCGTATTTTGTATTAACGTCTGTCTATACATACATTTATTTTTTAGAAGTATCAATTTTTTAAATGTAATTATTCCCACTATAAAAAGTTTTCTGAAGTGATTTGAGACGAAAATTCTGAACGTATTATGTAACATATTTTGTTTAAATATTAAAGTTATAGTTTTTTTTATTAAAAGTATATATAAATATGCCATTTTATCTTTGTATATTATGACAAGTAATGATTTTCAGTTTAACTTGTCATTTTGCCGTAAATTACCACTCACGCTTCGCTAAGCAGTAGTTGCCATGAGTACAAACAACTCTAGTATTATTTTGAAGCAGATAAAATTTTAGTGCAGGTTGTACGCGTTTGATGCTTTGGATAATATGCTTATTTTATGTTACAATTTATACCAAAGAGGTTGTTGTTCTATTAATAGAAAAAAATCTAAATGTTTCAAAAAGAAATACTTGTCTTTGTACGAATTTTTATCGTCTCTACTTTCTTGTAAAGAAACCTTTTAAAATCAGCCCTCTTATGAAATAAATAAACAAGCCAAATTGGCTTTCAGATATTCGTATATTATTTTTAAAGTTTAATTTATATTCCAGTTATTGATATCTTACATATTATTTATTTTAGAAATATACAATACAAAATTAGACTGTCCTAATGGTAACAAAAAGTAGTAGTTATTTTTAAAATTATTAAATTAAATAAAAACTCTTACAAATATCTATTGGCTCTTGGAAAAGAGCAGTTTACACAAAATTTACTTAAAGAATATTTTTCTTAAATAAAAAAATATATTTTTTAAGTTTTAATATTCAGATTTTAATATTCACGGTACTAAAGACGTCTCGTTTAGTACCGTGTTTAGTCTTTAGTACGGTGTATCTATTCGTGCGCGCGCAGTGGTACTGGTAAGATGAGAACAAACTGATGTGTTCATAGAAAACAATGTACCATGTAAACTGCAACATACCATGTTTACAAACTGTTACGGATATAATAGTTTTTGTATAATTTGTGTATATTGCCGATAAAAAGTGCCACTTAATTAGTATCGCAACGATACAATGATTGAGTCAAAGCGAATTTTCCCGCAGGAATCGATCACGCGAGGTCAAAACAAACTTAATTATTGACATACTTGATTTCTTATGCAGCTTGCGACCTCAAATACCAATCATTATTATATATTTTCTATAATAAATAATACCTCATATTGAGTGGGATTAGAAAATTAGATACTAATTTAAATTGTGATTTTTTTTATAAACCTTCTTTATTATAATATAATAGTAGGTACTAGCAATTTACCTGCACTTCGCTCGTGCGCGTCTCTAGTTACGTTTTGAATAAATATAAATAGTGTACCTTAGGAGAACGACAATAACATATATTGCAGATTTTTCTATAGGCCTTTTTAAGAACTACAATTTTCTAGTTCATTGTTTTAGTGTATATCTAAATATTTAGCTAGCGTTAGTCATATAAATATGTAAGGACGACTCGATAGAATCAGTGTATGTGTTTTCCCGTGGGGATGAAAGATTTTCCTGTAGTAAAAGATATCCTAAATGTTGACTCGAGTTATTACTCGATAACTTATTAGTTATCACTATACAAAATTTAGTTAATATCGGTTCAGTACTTTTGCGTGAAACGTGCACACATAAACAGACATACAGACAAAAATGTTCGTAACTATTGTTTTGGGATCAAGTATAGATTTCTATGCACATTAGATAGCTAGTTTATTGAGGTAGGCTGTCTGTACATCTGTCTGTACATATATTTGAGAAAACCTATAAATTGGAGTTTTTATTAACGTAATAGAATCCCATAACAATTATTTTTATAATTTTTGTCTGTTTGTCTGTGTGTTTGTGCGCACTAATCTCAGAAACGGCTTAACCGATTGAAATGTAGTTTTCACTAAAGTATTTTGATAAGCTTCACTTAACATTTAGTATTTGTTTTATTTAAATAGGTCATAAATAAAAAAGTAATTTCAATTTTAAGTATCACCTAGGGACGAAGCCGAGCGTAGCGACGTTGAGTCGCTAGTCTAAGAATAAATATCGTGATGGCATACTATAAAATAATCACGTAAACGCCCCATGGAATCAATTAAAGGAAATTATTGACATTTTTTATATGAGGAAAATTATTTAATTAATAATTAATAGGTAGCTATGACAACTCACATGCTGTGACTTGATGTTGTTTTTTTTTGTTTTCCGTTCTACCTACACCTCGTTTCTTTGTGATGATGATTTTTGATTCTCTTTGATTTTAATGTACCATATTACTCAATTAAGGCAAATTTCATAAATTTGTTCCGTAAAATTAAAAAAAATGTTTACAGGTTATAACTTGTCAAATATAATTGCCCCAATAATAAAAAAAAACTCTTTTCACCAGATGTCTGCCGTACAGTGGTTATTATGCGCTCTCGTGTTGATGTGCGTTAGCGTGAGTGTTACACCAGCGCCTGCGCCTCAAGAAGAAAATTACCCGCCAATGCCAGTGAGTATTAATTACCGTTTTGTTTATTTCTTGTAGCCACGAGGCATATACGAAATAGAATCCTTGATATTGATATCAAGGATACTATTTCATAGATTATTATTTATTTTTTTATTTCTGATTCATTCACACTTCAGATTACTTATTTTTTAAGCAAAGGCTTTATCTTGTCTACTTTTTAAGTTATCAATCAAGCAACCTCTTTTTAAGTTTACTATAATTTATTTTATTTTTTTTTAAATATACTATTCAGAAGTTTTTCAAAATTATTGCAAGTTAATTTATTTTACTGTCTGATCAATACCTGTTTTATAATTAAGTTATTCATTCGCGGTATTGGCTTTGATATCTGTTTTGTTTTTTTAACTAATATTATTTTAATCTTGCTCTTTCGTTCCTTCAGTTCTATTTTAACGAACATTGTACAAGGGAATATGATCGACTTTAATACCATTTATAATAATGCTTATGTTGCCCGCATCAAAACTCTACTGATTAAAAAACTTTTTAACAAAAAAATAAAAACCGACTTCAAAAAAACTTTAACCAATTCCCGATTTCTTCGATAATAGCGAATTTTATATACATACATATAAACATTTTAATGTTGTGTCTTTACAAAAAAGTCAATTTATTAAAGTTTATATATAGTTTATATACAAGGTTGTAATTATTATTATTGTGTAACCCATATATTAATAAAATATTAATTTTATTTATTACACATAGATCGTTTGGGTTTAGAGCGACTTCTGAAGGAATAATTAAATAACGTGCCTATTCATAGCGCACTAATTTACACCTCAGCTATCTACACCATCTTAGGAATTATGCTAACGATGTGAACTAATTAGACGCAATTGCGTCCAACAGCTTTTGTGCGCGCTCTTTGACCATTTATCTACCATTTTATCACAATCGTTACTAACATCAGACAATAAAATATAATTGAATATCATTGTCTGCTGTGACGTGTAAAATAATAATTAATCTCATTCATAATGTGTATACCAAAAATAGTTTTTTAGTTCAATGTTTTACGTGTAAATGTAAATGCTAGATAACACATTTGTTTTAATCATTATTTTATCTATACTAATATTATAAAGAGATAAAGTTTGCGAGTTTGTGACGCTGTAGGGGGTAATCTCTGGATCTAATGAACCGATTTAGATGAATTTTGGTAACAAAATAGTTTGAGAGCCTCGTAAGGACATAGGATTTTTATCCCTTAAGTCACCCCTTAAGGGGGTGAAAATGGGGATGAAAGTTTTTATGGGGAATCAACCTAGGGACGAACCCGTACGAAGCGAGGGTGAGTCGCTAGTAATACAATAAAACTGAATAATTCAAGCGTATAGTTTTACAATACTTAAGTTACTAGACGTAGTCAATATGCGCATTATTAACTAAAAGGTTCGTTAGACGACACGTTTGGCTCAGTTTGTAGTGACCCTATTTGCTGCGCCAGCGGTCGTGGGTTTGAATCCCGCTGGGGACATTCATTTGTGTGATGAGCAAGAATGTTTGTACCCCAGTCATGGGTGTTTATATTTATAATATGTATGTATCCATAACACAGCTTACCATGAAACTAGATGGTGCTGTGCGTTAATGCCCCAACATATTTATTTATTTTTAAAGATATTTTGACAAAACGTAACCAAAAAACATCAACCCTTAAACGATTCCCAATAAAAATAATTAAAATAATAATAATTTCCAACTTTGTTTTACAGTATGAATACAAATACGATGTAGAAGATCAAGAAAAATTACTCTACTTCGGAGCGAACGAAGCAGGAGATGCACAGGGCAAGGTTGTTGGGGGTTACCGCGTTCTATTACCCGATGGCCGTCTTATGACCGTTGAATACACCGTAGAAGGCGACAGTGGATTTGTACCGAAAATCAAATTTGAGGATAATGCGAATCCTTTCGGTAAAAGGAAGTAGGTTTAGCATTATTTAGATAAAGATAATAAATAGTGTGGAAACGACGAATCGATAAGTTATGTCATTAGTCATATGGGTAATAGACCAATTTAAGTTATTACTTAATAATCTCATAATTTTTGTTTAAATATAACTGACGTATAAGCATATATGTACATGCAATATATGTTTATTTTTTGTACTATTCATTTTTTTATTATTCCCTAAGAAGCTTTTTAGCCATTATTTTGTGTTCAAATTAATTAGGAGTAGCTTCATTATTTGTCAGTACCTATTCCTACAATTAGATTAATAATATATTTATTCGGTTATTTTTATACATTCTTATACTAGTTAAAAGTAGATTTCTGGCCCAAAAAATCTCTAAAAGTTAAGTTACCAACACTGTGATTGTAAGAATAGTATCAATTTTGATTGTAGAATATTGAATAAGACCTGTCTGTCTGTCGTTTTTTCTATGTACATAAATGATCGCTTATGTGATTATAGTAAGATCTTTTATACATCTTAGTTTTCATATTATTTTATACGATTCTTAAAGGAATAAATATTTTTGTATAAATATTTTTGTTTTTCTTAATATACCTATACCTACCTACAGCGGCGTAACTAGCCTTTTTGGTCCCCAATGCAAAAAAAAAAATGGAATTGCTCCCCTCTGCCAATTTTGGATACGAATATGGTCCACAGACAGAGTCAGTTTTCGAACTTCTCACTTTTTCAAACCACTTTCATGAAAGATCGGGATGAGTAAAATTTAGTAAAAAAGCTGAGCTTAGAAGACCATTCGTAGTTTTATAGAACATAGTTACGATGATATTCCTCGTGTACCTTGTGAAAAATAATATGTGGAAATTTAAGACCTTTTTTCTTAAAACCTCTATGAGGGCCGTTCTCGAAAAAAAATTTTTGAAATAAAAAAATATTAAATAACATAAAACAAAATCGGGTTTACTACAACACTTATAACTCGAGAACTGCTGGACCAATTTTTATGGTTTTTGATTAATTGGATTTGTCTCTGCCTCGAATAGCAGAATAACTATAAAAAATCGAAAAGAAATACGAAAAAAAATCTATTCCATACTAAGCGCCAAAACGTACCTAGAAACGAACCTGAGCGAAGCGAGGGTGAGTCGCTAGTATTGAATAAGTCTCAGAAAACACATTACCTTACACCAAATTACAGTGACAAATGGTGTAATAATAACATTGCTAAACAAAAAACTATCAATGAATAATACACATGTTTAAAATCAAGGAGTTTCATTGTTCAAAAATCCTAGGCATAAACGAAATATTTTCTTTTTATCAAAATCGCCCAACAAATATTAATACAAATTATAATAAAATAAGACGTTTTAAGAAGAGATTATTTTTACTTAATTCATTTCCATTTTACTTTAACTTCTAAGCCAAGGATTATAGATTTTTACAAACCCGAAACAAATATTCATTTAAGTAAACAAATGTAAAAAAAATTTAATTAAAAAGTAATTTAAGTTATCAAAAAAATATTAAAATAATTGAGTTTAATTTCTTCAAGTAGCGCAACTGCTACTCAGTTAGTAAAATTACGTGCTTAATCTTTTGATACAAACAGTACTTAAATTGAAAGCATAAAAGAAATTGTTAGGAACAAGGACAAGACTAAAAAATGCTAAGCATTAATACTTTCTTAGATAATCAAAATAAAATAAATCCACGAAAAAAAAGCGAAAAAATAGTTTTATTTTATATGCGAAGCAATATTATTTCTTATGTTCAATGAAACGTATGAGATCCAATAAGAAAAAAGCGATAGGCAGAATATCATATAATAACCGCAATAACGACGTTAAGGTATTTTATAATAGGTACAGGTAAATAGCAGCTGTGGTTTTACCCAAGTTAATTGTATTAATTTTAATAATGCAACCATTATTATGCAATAAAATCATTATCTCATTAAAAACCTCCGTAAAAATAACAATTCAATTTATTAAATAAGGTAATATTAGTAATATTATTTCATAAAATTAAATACGTTGTGATAAAGAGGGAGGATCATTAATTATTATAGAAGAAGTGCACGACAGTTAAGTAGAGATAGATTTTTTTTATTTATGTGTGAATTGTATGTATTTTTTATGTATGCATGTACATATATATGTATGTGTGTTGTATGTTAAAAAACTAAATAAATTTCCTTACTTTATCCTGTAATCTGGTCATTATTACAGCTGTGGCTTCAGTGTCATATTGGGGTCTGCCCGCACGTCCTACCATTTGTAATATCGTGCTTATACTGTATTCCTGTTAATGATTAATTGTAATTAAAAGTTTTGATAATACTACTTCAAAAAAAAATTGTACGGGTGGGTTACGTAATAGTGTACCTAAATAAAGAAATACTCTCAAGTTTTTTTCACGAGATGGGTGTGTCACTAGATAATGCTTTTATAAATACAAAAGTTTGTGTGTCTGTTTGTATTCTTGTAATACTGATTTGCGCTGAAAAAGCTGAGTAGATTTAGATGAAATTTAGACTTACAATGACTGACTTGAAGTTACAAATAAGCTACTGTTAGTATTAAAACTTGCCAAAAGGTGGCGCTGTTTGTACAAAATATTATAAAATATAGGAATAGCACATACAGCAGCCGAGCGTATCGAGGGTAAGTTGCTAGGTAAAACTATATTATTACTGCATAGGTATTAGAAATTCATTCTTACAAAGAAAAAAACAATAATAAAAAAAATTATACAAAGAAAAATAAATAAAATAGATATTTATGTACACGCTTATACCGTCTCCGTATAACGGAAATAGATTCCACATACCTTTTTCTTCTTCCGCTTGTGATGATACCTAAGTGAGTGTACAATACTGATATGGTTATAAGGAATACTAACCTGATATGCACCATTTACATATTGTTGGGTGTTCTTGATGATCACGAGATGTGCCGGAAGGTTCACGCCCATCGCTTAAGGAAAAAGGTTAGAGGCAGCTGTAAGTCACGCAGTCTTTTAGTATTAGGTTATTACTAGCATTGCCCGCGGCTCCGCCCGCGTTCAGATGACCAAAAACCAAATTCTTAGGTTTTACATATTAGTATACTCTTACATTTCAGTTATTGTATTTTTTTCTCAGAAATGAGATATTTTCCCGCGGTAAAAAGTATCCTTTATGTTGACCGGGATAACCAGCTATCACCATAGAAAATTTCATCAAAATCCCTCTAGTGGTTTTTCCGTGATGCGGTAACAGACAGACAGACAGACAAAAATTCTAAAAACTATAAATTCGGCCTCTATATCGATAATAATGTCTATTTCAATAAGATTTTCCAAAAAAAAATAATGTACAGATTCGGCTTAGTTAGAATTTTATTATATGTATAGATTATAAGTTAATTTTATATCCCCTATCTATAACAAGAAATATAAAATTTGACTCGATTACTAAATAAAATAGAAAATTCAGAAATAATATTGCGTTATGCTTGGTCGAGGCCAGTATTTGAAAATTTTAAAGAACTCCTTTGCTTATTTAAATGATCACTTAAAGCTATAAAGTAATCGTGAAAATAAATTACGATGAATACTTTAAATTATATTATTTTCATTAATTTAATAAGAAAATTGATTAAAAACAAGTTAAGCGCGATGAATGTTGAGTGGTAAGTTTGAGCATATTATTAGTATGGTCGTTTGTTCACGGTTCAGCTTCCACAATATACCATACACCTACATACGATTTATAGCGGAAACATAATATAAATTATTATTATTATTATTAATAATATAACGTATACGTATATCTATTGTTACTTTCTCATTTCAGAAGGTGAAAGGCTCTACGTGTTTGGTTTGACGAAATACGGAAGCTTATGAGTATGATAAAGAAACATGCAACATTTCCGTTTTTCGAATTTGGAGATGTCACGTCGCATTCGCTATCTCGAATCAGTGAGATCGCAGGATTAGGGTTAACACTTAAAATATCTTTAACAATTCAAATAATATCCGACTATCCATTAAAATTTAATGTTACAAAAGAAACATTTTTTAGCTCCATCTATACTAATATTATATAGAGGTAAAGTTTGTAAGTTTGTGAGGTTGCGAGTTTGTGACGTTGTAGGGGGTAATCTCTGGATCTACAGAACCGATTTACATGAAATTTGGTAAGAAGATAGTTTGAGACCTTGGAAAGGGCATAGGATACTTTTTATCCCAGAAATCATCAATTAAGGGGGTAGAAATGGGGATGAAAGTTCGTATTGGGAAGCAAACTAGGGACGAACCCGAGCGAAGTGAGGGTGAGTCGCTAGTATGTTATAAACTCAAGGAAAACAAAATCTAGAATAATTAGGACTCTCGTTTCTTCGTGTCAAAAATTTACTTAATAATCAAAACATGATGAAAATTAGTCCAGGCTCTCGAACATCTGCCACAATATCTCATGAAAACAGAATTTACCAAATTTATTATCATTTCTTTAGAACCCTACCACAATATGTTTTGTTATATTGCCGCTGCAAAATGTTTTGTATATTTATTTATTCGCGTATGAGGTCGATTACGTGAAGAAATGTTATCCTTTAATTTCATACGGTATCAACGATCTTTGGGAACGGGACTTCCATGTTGTAACGTAACCGTGATATACAAAATATAGAAATTATTATTTAAATTTGTTATACATATTTTATATAAAATTTGTTTTTTTTTTGTAAATGTGATGAAAGTTTTTGAAGTTCTTGTGTCACCGCCCGGAAAGTCACTAACATACTTAGTACTAAGAGCGATAACGTAAGATTTGATATCTATTCTGGCAAAGCAAATTGCTAGCTATCAATAAAATTACGGAATAAAATATAATCGATTTGTTATCTATATCATACTCTTTCGGCATAGAGAAATAGAGCTTTTTCTTAAGTAGAGTGATTATAAGCTTACGTCAAGGGATTTAGGACCACAATTTAATGTAAAGAAAAAATACAAAAAATCTTTGTCTATTTACTATGATCGGATTATTATGTCTAAATCAACAAAAACCAAATATAAATTTATTTAGAAAAAAATATATAATGTTAAACAACACTTACCGAGTGTAGTAGTCGTAATAAGAATAGGTAGGTCACGATTCCGAAAAGCAAGTTCGATGTTCATTCTCTCTTCAAAGAGCAGGCCGGCGTGATGACATCCGACTCCAGAAAGTATTAGGGACTAAAATAAATACTTATATTAAAATTTCTAAAGTTTATCGTCAAATCTATACCTACATATAATGAAATTCTAACTTTGTCGAATTTGTACGTTATTTTGGGAAATCTTATTGAAATAGTCATTATTATGGATACAGAGGCCGAATCTATAGTTTTTGATAATTTTTGTCTGTCTGTCTATCTGTCTGTCTGTCAGTCTGTCTGTCTGTCTGGCAACGATGTCTGGTTATCCGTGTAATATCCATTTTATTTATATATAGGATACTTTTTACTACAGGAAAATACCTCATCTCTGAGAAACCTATATTAACCGTTAAAACGTACAGTAGGGACGAACCCGAACGGAGCGAGGGTGAGTAGCTAGTTATCTATATTATTATACTTATTACAAGTGAATTTCTCTACATTAGCTTTACGCTTCCCACGGAAACAAAGCTTTATCTCAAAAACAGTAGAGTGTATGAAATATTCCTTAAGATTATCTTCATTCAGTAATTTTGAGCAAGATGTAACATATTTACAAAAAAGCGTGATCTTAACTTATGATGCATAAACTAAACTAATTGAGACCTTTGGGCCAATACGTAAAATGCCAAAACAAAGGTATATAAAAGTTTATAGCTTATTCTTCCATTGTGAGGCTTACTTACCTTTTATTAAACTTAATCGACTTAACTAGTTAATTAAAATATATTCATATACAGTCAATATTTAAATTATTTAATGGGTAGGGTAAATATGATGTTTTATTTATATCTGAGTGAAGTTTAAAAATAAAGAACAACATGAAAAACAACGATAATAATATAATAAATAAAAATAAATAAAATAAGTAAAAATTTACACATGTGGCGATTATCTTAATATCGAAATCGGGTTTTATTAAATCTATACAGATAAATAAAATTGAAGTGTCTGCCTTTAATGTAAAAATATCAGCATTTATTATAAATACATTTTTTATACTTTTTGACGGTCTGTTTGTTCCGGATGATCTCCGAAAGAGCTGAATTGATTTTGAGGAGATTTTCACTGGTAGATAGCAGACGTAATAAGAAATATTTTAGGCTAATTTTATTTTTGAAAATGAATTAGGGTTCCGCTCAAAGAATGAAAATATACCCAGGGACGCACCCGAGCCTAGCAGAGGTAAGTCGCTAGTATATGTATAAATTCCCTTGTTACTTACTAATTACAGTACAGCATTTATTTAAAAAACAAACGAATATCAATTCATTTATATACTTACTTGAATTTTTTTGTTCTTAATAGTAGATGCTAATGCCGTAAGCTTGTTCTTTTGTTCCATATTAAAACTAACGGTGATCTCTCGGGAGAGAGCTTCAGCGGTTAACGCAACACCTTTTCTTGTATTGCAGAATATCTGATTATTTTAAACAGTGAATATTTAACTAATAACTGAATTTGCAGTCATCAAATAACTTTTGTCATACATGAGATAAAATAAACAACAATTTAAATATTAGGGATGCATAAATAAAATAATTAAGCTAAAAAGTTAGAACTTGGAATCTAAGAGTGTAAATGAATTATTTCTATTACAAAATTACTGTATTTTATATTAAAAATAAAAAGGAGTCAGACGACTAGAACTTTTAACTATGCTAAAAGTCGCAAGTTTAACCTATTAAGGTATTAGGATTGTAGTCCAAAATCACTAAACATCATCTACCCTTTAATAGAGACTCATAGAACGTGGATTTGAATGTTGGATCTACTCGAGCAATTTTACTATGTATATTGTCATACTAACTTAGTTTTACAATAAAAAATTCCACTAAATGCCATGTCCTGACCTAGTTTTGCACAACATAGTGTTAAAAATGTACATCTTGGATGCAGCCCTTTTTAACGTCCCACTGCTGGGCCCGGGCCTTCCTTCAGTACGAGGGGAATCAGGCCACAGTCCACCAAGCTGGCCAAGTGGGGGCGGACTGAGCATGTCTTTCAAAAACTTTCTAGATTCTCAGACATGCGGGTTTCCTCACGATGGCTCCCTTCATCGTGAGAAAAGTGGTAATCATGTTGGAAAGTTGGCACATTAGAATATCAAAGGTGCGAGACCGGGATATGAACCCGCTTCACTTGGGTACCCAAGCACAGCGCGTTACCACTGGGCTACCAGTTACCACTGCATCCAATATACATCTACTAATAATACTAAAACTATTTTAAAAATTCTGAAATATGAATGAATGAAACGTTTCTCATTTAATTGAATTTCTTACCAATGTAGGTTTACCATTGTGATATTTTTGTATAATATTCCACAGTTTGTAATTTAGTATGATGTCGAATTTAAATATACTGGTGCCGACAGGACAAGGGTACCCTTCAACTATACGCTTTAGTTTTACCGGACGACATTCATCACCGAACCTAATATAAAACATTATAATCTTGTAATTAAGTGTTACAGAAATATATTTTTAAGATCAGTATAAAAGGTGAACTCAACCTTACTCTAAGAGAAAATGTACAAAACTTTAAAATCACTGAAAGATCATCGTACCGTAATAAATGTCCGTTTTTCCACTAGTCAAATAGTAATAATAAGAAGAATTAATAATACTAACTTATGATAAACGGCAGGTTTATTAGTAGTTCCGAGCCATTCCGCGACATCTTGCGGATTGCTGACTGTGGCAGATATCGCTACGAAACGTATTCGTATTGGGTTCATGTTATTAAGCTCTTTTATTGTACTAGTATTAGTACTACTTGTCCCGTTATATTGTGCTAATAGTTTTTCTATACGGTGTGTGCATTGTACTGATGACTATGAACGTAATAATTTCATTAAAAATTGTAATTATTTATACAAAAACATTATTAATATATCTTCATAGATATATTAATAATGTTTCATAGAGTATTTTTATTTTGTTTTTAATATTTCACGTAAAAACTTTTAACGGACTTTCGCTGGTAGTAGGTAATTTTATATGATTTGATACATTTAATACAGCCCAAAATTAGTGATTCAAATTAAAATTGAAAAACAGCTTGTTTGTGACCTAGAACCTACTTCATCTGATGCAGACTGTTTTGAGAGTTTTATCATACATCACACAATATCAATGTGATTAGAAAATCTAAAAATAGGGCTTTAATAATTTACCTATCACCTACCAAAAAATCTTTAGTAAAATTATGCATATAATAGGTATAAAGTATAAATAATATAAAGTACTTCTAAATATAATATAGTTTTAACTTACCTCAACTGTTTTCATTCTACTTACAACGGCTTCTAACACCGGACCCCGTATTTCATCATTCAGTATATGAACCTCATCTATGAGGAATAGTTTGACCACTTCTACCAAACTTTTGTGGTCTTTCCACCTTCGAGTCAACATGTCCCATTTCTCTGGCGTTGTTATTATAATTCTAATATTTCAAGCATATTTAGATATAAATTATTTATTATTAAAGAGTTTCAATACAGACTTACATTCCGTAAATTGTTGGGGTATTTATTTCTTGTTTCTGATTTAGCTCTCATTCATTTTTAAAAAATTATAATTTCCAAATATAAGTAATTTTACTAGTATATCAAATATTAAAAAAACTGAACCCCTAAAATTACAGAATAAAACGTACATAATAATTTATTTAAGATGCAACCAAGTAGTACCTGTAAGGTTTTAGTTGAGGAAATTCAACATCTGTATCGCCAGTTACTTCTATACATAAATGACCAAGCCTAGTAAACTTTGGGTACCATTCAGTTAATCTTTCCGTACATAGAGCTTTTACTGGGGCCACTAAAATTATGTATAAAGTAATACGTATTACATATTTGTACGTCTAAATAATATAGTTAATATTAAGTACCTACATTATAATATAACTATCATGTCGGTTTTTTTTATTTTATTTATATTAAGAACTTGAATGGATTTGGAAAATTCCTTACATTTTATAGCTTATTTACTGAGGAACGTATTAAGCTAAAATTAAAAATAAATTAATAATCTCGAGTCACTTTCATTAGAACGAGACAACTTTAAAAACTTAATAAACATAATTTATACTAACTATAAATAATTTTAAAATCTTCCGAATATTTTTTGTCTTCAAGTTCCATAAGTAACTGCACTATGGCCATTTCAAATATAACCGTTTTGCCAGAACCAGTCGGTGCACATACCACCATAGATTTATCTATTCCAAAAATAAAAAAAGCTTACCTCAAACTACAAGATATATTTACAAAACTTAAGATAGACGAAGCGCTTAAAAACACATAGCTGAGGCCTGATATGGTATTTTAATTTAGATGTTATTAATACCATTGCCTCGGCGCTATCTCGATTATTTCTTCAGGAAAAGAAACATTCGGAAGCTTATATCTAATTATAATTAAAATAAAATATTATATGTTATGTCATATTGCGTCGTAAAAGATCATTCGTCTTTCAAAAATCATTAGCAAATATTATAATATAAATAATATTATATTAATATATTTTTTTCTGTCATCAATAGCCTCATTTATCTATTGTTAGAAACGATTTGTCTATCTGTTTTTTTAAAGTCTTGCATCAAATACTTAATTGATTTAAATTTGTTTAAAAAACGTGATATTGTACTGTTTGATGTTTGCTAAACAATATTTAAATTTCCTTTGACTGACTCTTTTTCTGAGAAATTAAAGTTCGTAGATATTGAAAATCGAAAAAAATACCATATATAGAATAATGAGATACTATCTTAATAATAAAAAGTTAAAGATAAATACGCATAAAAATTAAAATATCAAAAATTGAACCAATGACTAATCGTAAATGTTACTACATCTACTTTAGTCATTACAAAATATAGTAACGAGTAACGACCAATCAAATAGTATTCTTTGAACTTAATTTCAGAACTTTATTTACCTATTCGAGCCCTATAGTAATTATTATAAAATTTATAATAAGTTAATAATGTACATTATCTAAAAATATTAGTATAATATAATTGAATTTACACCTTACCGGAATATAATGCATCCTCAATAACATGTGATTGGACCAAATTAAAATATGGATACGTGAATACATGTCGATATTTAGGATCTGAAATAATTTTTATGATATATTATATGATTGATGATTTCAAAAACATGATACTCAATGATGTTTACCTATTTCCTCAATACTTCGAAAATTTCCCTTTTGGCCTGTAAATTTTGGTGGCCGTTTTTGGTCAAGCGAAGTTATTTGTTCAATGTCAGAATTGTTTGAAGATGGCAATGAAATAGGTTGAGAATCATATATTTCATCCTGGCTTTGGCTATTGGAAATAATTCATTAAACAATTGAACAGTGGATAAATTATTATCTACTTTTATATTAAAAAAATCCTACCTACTTAATAATAAAATTAAATATAATATATTTTTTAATAATTTTATATTACTTACTGATTATTATCAGTCATATTGTAGTTCAAATGAACTTTATTACATGAGTAATAATAATTTATGATGGTAAACAATTTTCGCTAATGATTAGAAGTGACTATGTCGCGCCAAAATTTAAGTCTGTACTCTTGTTGTTCCTGTTCTGTGGTCTCCAGTCTCTTGTACGTGTTTTTATGTTTTTTTTTTTACTATATTTTAATCTACAGTTTATTGCCTTAGATGCGTTTGTTTTGTTTTTTAAGAACTTTGTATAGAATACATTTGATAAATATCCTATATAAATATAATTTGTTGTACATACTAAAAAAATATTTGATTAGGTATGATAACTAAATAAAAAGTAAATAAAAAAGTGTGTGTGTATTTATGTACGCACGTAAGAAGGCGTAACAGAACAAAAATAGCTGAAGATTCATCCCGTATATCACAACTATCTGCTTGTAAAAGGAATAATAAATTATTAAAAATAAATATATTTTTTTATCTACACTGATATAAAACACGAGTTTTAGATTTATAAATATTTGAGAAACTACTTTGAATATAGTTATGAGTTTTCACGGGAACTGGAGAGACAGTTATCAGCAAACTTCATCATGTCGCTTTATGACTGTGGGTGTGTGCGTGCATCGAAATTTTACTCTCATATTTTTTTCCAAACGTGCCAAAAGAAGTATAACTTCAAAAACAGTCCGCTATACTGGATTTTATGTCAGTTTGCTTATTTCGCTTATGATTCGTTCATCAAGCCCTTAACATAAGGGTCACTATGGAAATGATAAATCTCCATTTTGTAACGCCTTATTGGATTAAAAATGACGGCATTTAGGTAATCGTGGAGTCACGAGAACTAAACGTGTGCGCCAAATTTCAGTGCAATCGGACACTGAGAAGTCAGTCAAAATTAACTTGCAATATTTCATTACAGACCGAAAACGGGACAGGTGAAACTAAATAAAAGCTTGTAATTATTTTTATTTTTATCGTTAAAAAATATAATATTTATGTATATCTTAATGTGTTGTGTATATAGATTAACGCTATACTAAAGACCAAAGAGTAAAGTGAGATTTAACGACTAACTTCACACTGTAGTGTATAACTCGCGTCATCTAAAAAGAACGCTGGCTGTCAAGCTGCGCAGAAGCGATATATCGGCCAAATTGGTGGTAAGAAGCGGGGCGCGGGGCAGCTCGGGGCGGCGGGCCGCGGGGCGCGCGCCACATGCTTGCCGGCGCGCTATTAGTTCGTCAGTTCGAAATACCATCGCGCACACAAAAGTTTTTAATTACGAAATGGTTTTATATATAGAAAAGAGAAAAATTATTTTTGACGTATATTGTTTTACAAAGTATTAAACGTATTCATTTATTTTTTTGTAAGTAGATTAAACATTCTACACTGAATCAAACATATTTTAATAATGAATAGAATTCTATTTAATGATATTCTATCTAATATATTTTTTTCAATATCACTACCAATAACTAATTTTTGAAGCCGCGAGCGAAATGCTATGAAAAATAAAATAATAAGCTTAGTACTTTTGTGCGCGAGTATACCCATGCGCAAACATACCCTCTCCACTTTCTTCCAGCGTTCTTTTTAGATGACGCGAGTTATAATAACGATTAACTTCATACTGTAATCTAAATCTGTCGCATCGTAAAAAAATCACTTTCATAATATTTTTTACCCTAACGCGCTAAACTACTTCAAAAAGATCGTTTTAGTATAGGTCACTAGGTATTATTACTATTTTTCAAACTATATTTTTTCGGCTTGACTTCAAATTCAATTGAATTGAACTCCTAAACTTAATCAATTACTTTTCTTGAGATACTAACTGCAAAATGCTCACAGTTTTATATATTTTGATATGTGTGATTGTGAGTCTTATGACCTGTGCAAATTATTTAGAATGCACGTTATGTGATACGGCGAGTGAGTGGGAGTGGAAGTGTTTTATTATATAAAAATAAAAATGAGAAAAAGAATGTGAACAAAACAAATGTATATCAGTGATCACTCCACGTTTAAGAAATTCACTTTTAATGATACCCAAAACGTGTCACGTTAAGCACAAATTACTTAAACAAACTTGATCAGCACCATGGATAATCAGCAATCTTTTCGTTTTCCAATTACAGCACTAAAGCGCATTATGCGGCATAATGCTCAACTTCGAAATTTTCAACTGCAGCAACGTTCTGCACAATCAAGAACTTTGAAAACTAGTAACTAGAATGAATAGTTTAAGTAATAAACGCGAAAATTACGAGCAACCCTTCCAATATTTTCTGCTATTGAGTTCTTTTCAAAGTACTCAATTGTGCGGAGCGTTGCTGTAGTTGAAAAATCAAAGTTGAGCATTATGCCGCATAATGCGCTTTAGGAAAACAGTGCTTATTATTCGTCTATGTCACTATGATCAGCACCTCTACAGATAATGTACGACAGTCGACATAAACAAAATTTCACATGTAATGAGCTATCAAAGTCATCAGCCACAATGACAATGTCAAATGTCAATTGTCAACTTAAATATTGTTCCGTGTTATTTTGTATATATTTATAGTTTTCCTTATAGCTTTGCAATTATGATTTTAATTAATTAATTAGCTAAAAATGTTGTAATATGAAATGAGACATATAGTTACTATAGTAAAATGTACGTAAAATTGCCTTTGGTTGTAGAAAAGAAAACCTTTTAAGTTTCAAGATAAATTGTATGTACATTATTCTATTACAGGGACTTATTACCAGATTATGAAGATGCAGATACCTTAAGTATTGACACATTAGCCTTAGAAGAAGCACTACAAGAAGAAAGAGCTAAAGAAATTTCCCAACTGAACACCCTTAGCGCGAAAGTAAACTACCTTCATACGAGTTTATTATATTATAGAAATGCTAAGACGAAAACAGGTGCTACCTGCTACGAAGCATGGAAAACGTTAGTCAAGAAAGTCGGCGGTTCACCTAATACATGGAAAGATCTTGGCTATGCTTTAGAAATATCACAAGATGATTTAAATGTAAGTTTTTTTATAAGTACAATTGTTAAAGAAGAAATATTAAAACAATTATATAGTATTCAATTTATAAAACTATCAAGGCTCAATTAATTTCTGTAAATGTAAGCTATAATAATTAATCTATATTTAATTCTTCCAGTACATTACTAATTCAGTGAGAGAAGATCCAGCTGACATTATTTTAAAAGTTTTTATGCAAAATGAAACTGCCACATTAGATAAGATTGTAGATGCTTTTATAGAAATGAAAAGATATGATATTCTAAAAGCTATTGAAGAACCTTTTTGTAATTTAGCTCAATGTTTTAATAAAGATGATAGTGGTTATCACAGTGCAAGTAAAAGTACAGGCACACGAGAAATAGTAACATTCACAAAGAACTTAAAGATTGATTTACCCCCAGCTTTGAATAAAAATTATGTTATCAAAGATAGGGATCAAAGGCAAAATCCATCATTAAGGCCACCAATAATGACTATAAGTGATAAAAAAGAAAATGAGCATCCAATACTTTTCTTGACATACACAGAGGATGGTATTGATACTGCAATAAATATCCAACATTATGTAAACAACTGGGAAGAACCAGTAGAAGTTCTTACACTTAGTGGTAGAAGAGAAGAGGTATATCAGAACCCAGAGAAGTTTATTAGGGAGTACTTTGAAAAGGTATGTATAAAAAAAATGTGACCATGAAGTTCTTTTTTTTATATATCGAGGGGGAAAGGCTATTTGGTTTAAGTGACATTTGCTTAACTTTACAGAAAAGCCAATTTAATGATATTTTTTTCAAAAAAAAAATCATTAAATTGGCACTCCTGTTAAGAATTATATATCTTTTGTTACAGGCAGATTTCATAGTACCAATTATAACTACAGGGTACTTACATAGAATAAAGAATTCTTCACCACAAGTACCAAGTACAAATGACAATTTGGATTATAAATATGTGAATTTTATATATAATTTAGTTATAAACCATTATATTCATGCAACAGGCTGTCTCAATGAAAAAGTTAGAAGTGTGCTGCCATTGAACTCGAATGTGGACATACTCCAGGAGATCACAATGTATCCTGATTTATTGCCATGGACATATGAATCTAACTTTGATGATTTCTTTAAAGAATTTTTGAAAAAATCTTTATGATTAATAGAATTGTAGTCAGTATTTTCCCTCAAATTTACTGATTTGTACTATTTTAGCAATGATTTTTTTTGTATTCTAAAGTCAAGTGTACCTGTTTGTCTCTTGGCAGTTAAAATCAAAAATATAAGTATAATCAAACTCACATTATTTTATTAAAACCTTTATTAAAATATAACCTAGCATCACTTATACTATTTTTTAGTTTAGTGCATATATTATATGAAATATAATCTTTAGTAGGCAGTCCATAATATAAGAAACTTCCGATATGTTAACAATATGCATTCCAAAAATACAAGTAATCTTTTAGGGCTTTTGTACTTTTACTTTAGTAAGAAAAAAAAGATTCCGATGAATTGAGAACCTCCTCGTTTTTGAAGATGTCTGTTGAAAAGTATAAATAAAAGCTATTTGTCAAAATATATAAGAAATAATAATACTATTAACTTAAAGAAAACACATTTTTCAAATAAGAAAAGGTTTATAGAAACAGTATAGATCTAACCTAAGTGCAAAAAGAACTAAAAAATTATTCAAAATGCTTATTTCGAATTTTCGGATGAATCTGTATTATTATCATCGTCATGAGCTTCATCTGCAGTGCTCACATCATTCACATCAATTCCTGTGTCGTCTTTGCTGCTATTTGCGAGCTCCTCCTAAAATAAGATAGAATTAGTAAAACTTTACTATCTAAATTGACAAAAAATATTTTACAATTAAAGTTATTTTTAATAGAGAAGTACAATCATCTACACTTAAAAAAAGACCTTTACCTTAATAACTTCTACAAAACTATTAGCTTCATCCAACATTTGTTTAAACTGTGAGTTTTCTTCTTTTAAATCTTCAATGACTTTTCGTAATTTTTCATTCTCCTCAAGAGCTTCTTGTAGGGCAACTCTAAAAAATATTATTGTATTATGGACTCATTCATGTTGTTTACCAAAAAATATCTGCTGTTCATATATACTTCAGTATCATGTTCTCATTTATGCCACAGTGTACATTAAAAGATAACCAACTCACTTTACATCATACAAAAGGTTTACTTACTGTCTTTTCTCTGCTAAAATTTGCCAATATCTTTCAGAAGCCCCTTCAGGATTCGTCAAATCGTCAGCACTTATTTTATTCTCGAGATTCACTTGAATTTCTTTAGTAGATAAGTTTTTCCTTTTTACTTCAACATGGCTAAAATTATAAAATATTATTAAAATACGCCTCGAGAGTAGCTTATTTATTTATACAATACTTACACTGCAGGTTCTTGGATAAGTTGATGTTTTAAACTTTTTGAAGGTCTACCCACTAAATTTTCTGTATCCGTTGCTGTATGTTGTAAAGTTTTAAGAGATTTTCTGGTAGTACGGGGCATTTTCTGTAATAAGTTATATAAAAAAATTGATAGTAAAATGCAAAATAAAATTAATAACCTGTAAATCATTGTTTTATAACTTCGGTGAATGTGAAGAACTTTAAAAGTTATTGGTGAAATAACCTCATTGCTTTATAATCAAGGTCTATAAACATAGTTTCTACACGATAGATAGTAAAACAAAATAGTACTTACTAATTTTGCTAAAATATTTTAACAACAGACTTGAGCCAAGCGTTCGCCGCCAATGTTTATTTGACGTTTGTTATTTGTTCTTTGACACTTGACAAATTAAGTGCTAGATTCTCCCGCCAAAATCTTGTCAATTTTTATCTGTGGTTAAACTAAATTTTCATATTGTTTTATTATATGTATAAGTTTTAATCATTTTAGAAATACTGTTTAATCTTAGTTTACTATTTCACGATACTTTTACTTTATGTATTTACATATATATATATATTAAAATAATATATTACGAGTGCAAAAGTATGTCAATGAGATTAGTAAGTTACTTAAAAATCGATTAACGTTACATCAATTATTTTTATTTATACAGGTCATTTTTAATTTACTGAAAACCTTTTGGGAATACACTATTTACAACATAACAACAACGTCTGTAAGAAAAAAAATCATATATCTTAAATTTAACAAAAATAAAAATATTTTTATTGCACCTTCTCAACGGTAATAGTTCAGCATTAGTAAAAGTGCGTGTCCGGTGGAAGGGGAGGGGTGGAGAGGTGGAAGAAGCCACGCTAACTCATTTAAACTTTGCCAGACTTTATATTTTAGAAGGTGCAAAAAAAATTTTTTATTTTTGTATGAAAATAAAAATTTAAGAAATATATTTTTTTCTTGTTACAGATGTTGTTGTTATGATGTAAATAGTATACTCCCAAAAGGTTTTCAGTGAATTAAAAATGACCCTGTATAATTTAAGAGATATGTAATATATTATGACCTTAAATTTGTACTTACACATCTGTACTTAGACTTTACAATGACTTATGTTTAAAAGCAAATGTACCAGAAAATAACCTGGAAGTAATTGTGATGGCCTTTATGCATCCTAAAAATATAAAAGCTACCGGAGAGTGAAGAATTGCGATAGTTTCTAAAGGCAGGCGAAGTTCGAAAGGTCTTACGCTCAAAAAAGTAAGTAGTTCAGCAAGTATTTAATTCCTTGTTATATTTGTACAGGCCTTATGACATGTAGAACAAGTTTCATGAATTGTATCACGCGTAAACTCGATAATTTTCAACCCCCAAAACAGGCTAGTTATTGAAATAGATACCTAGACCATATCCATAAAGTGTATTATATTATACAAAAGAAAGAAGTGTAAAATCAGTGTTTATGCCTAGTCCTTTCGAACTAAGAGAAAGCTTTTAACTACTATTTTCTAGTGAAACCTGGTCTGTTCTGGAAATTTTAACACGGTGTTAAGTCGATTGTCGATACTTTCAGACGCTGCAGTGTATACGATGCCAAGTTTAGAATCGAAGATCGAAACCTTTTCTTCTGCTTTGAAGAGTGAGGCAGGACAAGCCTACTTGGATTCAATTTTTGATATGTTTGTTATATATAAAAGATAGGAAAAAATGAAACGAATTGAGAGTTTATAGTAAATATTTTAAATTTTCCAATTGTTCGAAAACTTATAAAAGTTTTCACTGTACATCACTAATGTTATTTGACAATTGACATTTAAATCTAGTATTGTAGTTGATATGATAGTTCAGACCATAGAGTATATTGCTACATATATAAAGTTCAGACTTCAGAGTTCTACATTGAACATTCTTGATTCTACAATCTACAGTCTACTTTTTACAGTGACGATGGTGAATGTGTTTAAATGATTGTTATCTTGTTTATCTCTTATCTTGAGTTTTGTGTAAAATCAATATTATATTGAAATATTTAGAATTACCATTCTATTAATACTCAATTTAATGACTGCGTAAGTGCTAATAAAACCATGGATACTTTGAGGTAGGTAAACATTTGTATACAAAATAATTGATAATTATAATTTATAGTCAACTTTATAAATGTGGAGTTTAATTCTCTTTAATGAAATAAATGAACATGTACATATTATCATATTTTTTAGATTTTATTTCGTGACTTGGAATGTTGCAACTAGGTCTCCAGGTCAAGACCTAAACTCATTACTGGATTTTCCATCTCAGTTTAACAAAAATAAACCCTTACCTGATTTTTATGTTATTGGGTGAGTATTAATATGTATTGATAACAATTTATAATTCATTTGTTTATAATTTTAAAAAGTGGAATTATTTAAATTAAATATTTTATGATTTTTTCATAAAAAATAATTAATGTCATATGTAGGTATTCATGTTAAATATTACCTCTGTACATTATAGATGTATGTATATATTAAACATGATATATAGTTTGCTTAGTGTGTATTTACATCAATGTATGACTTTGATTTTTATTGAAAAATAATTTATTTAATCAAAATTTGCTTTAAGATATATAATCAATTAAAACTTAATTAGTGGCTTGATTCAAGTATTGATTAATATTAAAGCATTATAAATTTATTTTAGGCTGCAAGAAGTTAAATCACAACCTCAAAACATGCTAATGGACAGTTTATTTACTGACCAATGGACTTCCATGTTCAATAAAATTCTGTGTAGGCAGGGATTCATTGTCGCCAAGAGTATAAGATTACAAGGCATCATTCTTCTTGTCTATACTCAAATGAAACATATTACACACCTTAGAGATATAGAGGCACAGTATACAAAAACTGGGCTAGGTGGTTTGTGGGTAAGTTATTTTTAGCATTTATTTATATTGTTATATTATTATAACTCCACTTTTAATAAAAATTACATTTTATGTGTATATGGTCACTTATTAACTTTTTTTAAAGAATAGGTTTATTTTATATTCTTACTTAGATAATCTAGGTTTCATTAGAAAGTGAACTGTCTGATGACTTCGTGAAAGTGAGTTTTGAATAATCAGATTTAGAGTAACTTTTTTAAATTCCCTACATGAAACATTTTCAAAAAACAGTAATTTAAATGATAATGATAGCATCTTTGTAGGGGTGTGATGCAAATAGCTGATATATTTACCTTGTTGGAATGAAAATGCTTAGTTTTATTCTTCACTAATAGCAGTGCACTAACAAAATAGAAATTGGTCCAGGTTTTTTGGTATTACATAGGATTCTAAAGTTTTTTTTGAGCTTTATTCCAATGATTATGAAAAACTAAAAAAAGATTTATTAGCTATATATAGCCTAGCCTTATTTGAAAAAAAGTCTATAATTAATAGATTTCAATTAAATCCAATATTAGATGAATGCTATGAATAAATGAATGCACTGACATTTTTAGTTTAATCAGTGATAATCAGAGCTTCTGTAAAATTTTATTGATAAAATAGTGTGTAATCATGAGATACATAAGTAAAAACATTAAAGAGTGATATGAACTTTAATCAGTTTATGTGATTTTGATTTGCAAACATTTGTAAATCAACTATAATTCCCCTAGTTTAAATATGGATACTTTGAAGTATTTTAATATTATTTTGATTAGGTAACATGAACAAACAAGAAGAATATTTTTATATGTAAATCTATACTCAGAAACATCACCATTAATTTACAAATAAACAATACTATTTCTATAGGCTCTGTGTGCATATCATGGCACCTTTTCTGAGTGTTTGTGAGTTTTATCTGGAAAAAATTGTACTAGTTGCGATCTTAATTCTTCTAAAAGTTAACCTTGTCTAAACAGCAAAAGAAATATTTTTGCTATAAAATAAAATTAGTCTTAAACTTAATACCTGGTTTTTGGTAGACTTTAAAAAGGTATATAATTACTATTTGTCCGATTTGAAAATGGATGACGTACTCTATTCGCTTGTACTTAATTTTATTGTGTATGCTACTGCGGTATCTTCGCCATTTATGATTATCCTCAAAAGTGGTCGAATTTAAATTTCAAAAGAAAAATCCACTTGTAGCGAGGAATAGCAGAGAACGAGGAGTGTTGTGACAGAGGAGAGTGGTGACATAGTCGATTTCTCGGGACCTATGACCATTAGCGGGTAGCAATAGCGTGCAATTATAGTTGGTGTTAAAATGTGTTATTCGATGCAGTACGCGCCAATGTTGCATGTGAAGCGATTGTGAGTATACAACATATGCTTAAAAAAATTTACAAAAAGTTTTTCTGCAAAATTTTTATTGTATATATACATATATCTCCACGTATTATGTTTACATTATAATGTTATTTTTCTCATATACATACTTTGGTTTTCTAGTCTCGTTACATGGTATTGTTTTTTTTGTGTTGGTATCTTGTTTAGACATTGTGAATTATTATTCCGACCGGTTCAAGATTTTTTGCAGCTGGGCGAGTTGTTTGTCACAACTCTCCTTTTTTTTGTTTATATTTCTGTGTGATGTTGCATGCTGAATGGCTAATCTTGGGTTGCAGAATGCCAAATAAACTATATGGCTAATGTCGTAAGGGTTATGAAATGGCCTATAAAGAAGTCACTCTTATAATCTCAACTACTTGTTCTTGCAACATAAAAGACAATTATTCGTGATGGCCCGGGCCGGTTCAATAGTAACAGAATATGACATCTAACAGTCCTTTTTTCTGAACAATAACGCCAAAGAGTTCGTCTACAGTCCGTAGTCCTCTTGCCACTACGTGGATTGTTTTCTCGCCAGAGACATTTAGGTCGTTGCCAAACTCCACCAAGAAAAAGAAACCGAATGTTGCGAATAGACGCAACACCAAGTGTACTGTGCTTACTGACACACCTACCAAAAATGAAATTGCTGCCATAGAAGCCAGTAAAAGGTAAAAAAGGCATGAAAAGGCAAGATGAAAAGGTGTTATAAGCGAGGAAAACCCTTAAAAAACAAAGAAAAGATTAATAGGAAAAGGAAATTTGATGACGAAAAGGGAAAGGACGACAAAAATACAGTTAAATAAAAATTGTAAAATAATTGTATTTGCTTGTATTACGTTGAGTCGTATGCGAGTAGTAAAACAAAAGAGAAGTGATGCGTCGAATACCAAGACTGGCGAGACTAGCTTTCGGGTCGAACTTCGATACATCTGTTCTTCTACTCCAAAACATTATATGCCAGATTAGATTTTAATTTGTAGACTAATTTTAATTTAATTGATATCAGAAAAACGCCATACTTTATTATTTAAGACATGGATATTTTCTACGTCGACGTAACGTGTTATTTTTGTGTGTGTAGACATGTCAAAGTATTAAAATACTTCGTTGGAAAACAAATGTGTAATTTAATTAACATAAATAAACAACGGTATTATTTATTCACCAAATTGTCAAAATACATAGGTGTCACAACTTACCTCGGTATTAGGAGAGTTGTGACACGGGGAGTAGTTTCTATTTTTGTCAGTTTTTTTGAGAAACCTTAATATTTTCATGTCGTTTGATGATTGTTTCTTAAAGAATATGAATTGGGCTACATTGAATTATAAAACTCCTATATTATATAAAATGTTTCCTTATTAAGATATCTTAGTTGAAGTCAAAATTGTCACAACCCTCCTCGGTCTCCCCTAAGTATTTTTTATGTGATTTTGAAATAATATATACCTTAATATTGTTTATGTTTTACGTGAACCATTTAAAGACACCAAAAACTTGAAGGAACAAGTTCTTTTACGAATGGAAAGCAAATATTTTGCAAGTGCTATATGTACAAAAGTACATTACATAACGAACATGTTTCGTAAGTTTGCAAGATTATAAGGACGTAGTGTTTCTATTTTACGTATAAAAATATTACTTATTATCATTACCATGCTAATATTGTTTTTACCTATAAAACTTTTATGTAAATTTATATTTTAACGTTAGATCGTTGATGGCTATAGTGATTAATTATTATATTTTAATACTATTTTTCTATATTATGTCTTGCCTATCTTTACTAGCAAGTAAAGAGTTGTAGGTAAAGGTTTAGTTGACAAAATATCTACTTGCATTTAGTAGGTACTAGAGTACTCGGTAGTCGTCTTGTCCCAGTTTTAATAGAGTTATGTGATATTTGAGGTTATACAAAAATGATATAGGAAAAAGGATTTACACTTACTAAAAACCTCTTTTGAGCTATTACGAACATTTTGAATAACAAAATTGGCTAAATCGATCCAGACGTTTTCAAGTAATAAATACTCTTATCAACAAACAACACTTTTTTTTTACAGATCTTATAGATTATCACGAGAATAATTATAACATCATGGTGTTTTTTTTTTTAATTAAAAATATATTAAAATTTTATTCACACTGAAAAGTACCTACTTAATAGGTACTAGGGAAAAATTAAATCAGTAGGTATTTACTTATACTAAAAGTATCTTACTGAAACCTGCTATACAGCCATTCCATTTTGATTAACTTGAAGCGAAAGTCGATTTATTTGATGAAGTGACCGAAATAAAAAATCTGCAATTAACACATTGTATTTATTATGTAACAATGATCGTAAAACATGCCACTTTGTCATTAGAACTTAGTGGCATGCTTCCAGCTACTGGCTTTGAAGCATCAAAGACCCCGACTTAGATCTTCACATAGGTCATTTGTTGTTGGACTAAGTAGATATTTATTTAATCTGGTTAATAAATAGCGGCTTAAAGTATTTAGTATTTACCAACATGAACTATTCTCGGCCATATGTTAATACGATAATTTCTTTTTACCGTAAAGAGCTATTTAAATAGAAAAGGTTAAGGTCGAATCGGACTTATAGAATATCCGAATCTTTGGAAACAATCCCCCAGAAATTACGAATGTAAGTGGAATGGGAATCGAACTTGCACTTTAAAATTAAAATGAAGTTATTTTTGTAGGGTAACAAAGGAGCTGTGAGCGTCAGATTCAACATTTACGGTTGTTCGGTGTGCCTTGTGAACTGTCATTTGACCGCCCATGAGCATTTACTCGCGGATCGCATCAACGACTACAACACAATAATTAAGGACCACTCGTATCATACCGGCGAGACCTCCAATATACTTTATCATGAGTGAGTATACACTTTCTATGTCGTTATAAAAAAAAATGTAGAGTAATCTTGAGTACTATTATAATGCGAAAGTTTTTATGTTTATTACTTCTTCCCGTTAAAACGGCTGGACGGATTTAGATGAAATTTTTGTACATAGATAGTATATGAACTGGATCAATACATAGGTTTCTGTTAGGCACTACTACACTGTACTACTCGTTAGTACTCAATAGATACATTTCGTTCCCTACCTAGTATACTTCCCATTCGCACAAAGCGCAAAACCTTGCTCGCATCAAAAAAGCCGCAGCCATATTGCTGGTATATGTAAATAATCTAAATAAGATAACATATTTCATAGAACACTTGAAGTAGATATCGTAAACTACTCTATATATTTATGATTCTATTGGATGTATCGGTTCACATTTAGTTGACAAAAAACATAAAAGCCAGATAATTTTCTATAGATTGATAGCTCAGGCACACCTTTATGCCCACAATATGTTCTTTAAACTGTTGGTTTGTTCATAAAAATCATAAAAATATAGAATTCTACATATTATGATATAATTTACTTTCAACAAAAATGTTCATCATTACATAACTTCGTTCTTAGAGCATAACGGATTTTAAAATAAATACTTTAAAAACTTACATAAAGTATATTGCGATAGTAATACTTGTGTACACACTTCATATTTACGATATAAGTGGAAGGGGCATTTATCTTTCAGTATCAGTTGATATCTAAAGTTTAGTATCCTTGAATCTATGAGTAAGCGACCATGAAGTTAATATGTATAGTGTGTACATTTCTAAGTCTTCAATCACACGCAATGTAAATAAAAACATTCAAGGGTTAAAAATTAGATGTCATTGTGTTGAATGTTCTGTTACAGTTCACGACGATCTTGACTTAGCTTTAAATCTCTTTAATTCTGACAAATAGTTGTGTGAAATCCCAAGCATGATTCAGCTGTTTTTGAGTATTTTCTATAGAATTATAAATGTATGTCATCCCCATTTAGATGTCATTTTCCTTCGACACTGTTGATGCAAATTTTTAACTTAACTAAATTAAAGTTTTGTTCAAGAAGGACATATAAACGTTGTTTGGCCTTAGAGTTAGTATATCGTAAAAGCATTAAATACAATGAACGCTAACCATTTAACTACAAGAATTAATATATAATTATAAATAATTACGAAAATATGTAGCCTTATAAATAATCTACTATATAACGGGAATAATAGCAAATGTTTGTCTATTAAAATGCAATATAAATACAGGAAAACTGAAAATATAAAATGAGTAGTCATCGATTGGCTTTTCATGTATTGTTTGTGTCAACAAAAGATCATTTTTGTGTTGTTATATGCACTCTATAATTTTCCATAATATATTTTTATGAACATCATTAGTTTGACTACTGCATTATTTCGTTTTTGTTTATTATTATCTATCTATTTATTTATTATCGTTATTAAAATATTTTTTAGTCTTAATTCTCTTTCTGGGTACAGAAAGCAGGTTTTATTATTATTAGGTGTTTTAAGTGGTATAGGGGTATATAAAAAGTATTGATTTAAAAATATATGTACGGTGGACCCTTTGCTGGTCACCAAAATAAATAGTTTCCGTCGTATTGAAAGCATAAAAAACAAACTGATAGAAAAAAAAAGATAATTTAATATAACAACATATAATATAATAAACATAATAAAAACATATAATGTAATATAACATATAAAGAACTTAAAATAGTAATAAGGGTTGTGATAACCTATTGGCGTTTCGAAATTTAGTTGACGGATACTCGAGTCTCATCGCACTCATAATATTTACCTCCGCTCCAAGACCATATAGATAGCGGTAAATTTTGTTTTTAGACTGTACCGATACGAGTTAATAAATAAAAAAAAAACTAGTCTGATTAGTATTAAACCTTCAACCACAAAACAAAAACCTGTATTTAAAAAAAATATATATTTTAAAGAAATATATAGATTACTCGTTAATGGGTATAAAATAACTGTACGAATATGTAATGAAGAACGTCATTATAAAACAACGTCACAAGTTTGTTGTAAGTGTTGTTCTCGTAGTTTTTTTTACAATAATTTATTTAAGAGTTTTACTAATTATATAAAGCTTTGTAAATGTGGTTGCCATTATAAGAAAAGATGAACATATTTGAATCTACTGTTCATAGTTTTTTTTAGGGCTTAAAATTATTGACCCATCCAACAGTACATGGCCGTACTAAAGATAGTTTGAAGAATTTCCATAATGTTCATATCACACGACTACATACGTATGAGAGATGGAACTTTAATAACCTATATTATCGTAATAAACGTATTTTATATTTATTCTACTGGACTAGGTACAATGCTCGTACCTATAACCTTCTCAATAATTATTATAGGTCCCATCCAAGGACTTTTATTAACTAGATCTAGGATTAGTACTTTTCTGCAATAATTTCTCTATAAGTTAGTTTATTTTCTCATAATGCTAGCTAACGTGATCATAATATTTTACCTACAATACGTCCGTCCAAAACGCTTCTTGTATACATTAAGCAGGCAGTAGTAGCCCAGTGGCAACGAGCTGGTTTGGGAATCTGAGTGACCCTGGTTCAAATCCCGGATATCGCACCTGTGATATTTTCATGTGCCTGAGAGTAATTTCCAACATGATTACAATTTGTCTTACGCTAAAGGAAAACATCGCGAGGAAACCTAAGTATCTGAGAGAACCTAGCAAGTTTTCGAAAGACATATGAACTTGGCCAGCGGAGTGGTCTGATCCTTTTCGTACTGAACCCACTGTTGGGCACGGGCCTCCCAACAGTGGGTCGTTGAAAAAAGGCTGAATACATACATTAAGCATCTTTAATTTATAGACGACAAATTTTTAAATTGTACCCAACACTTTTATTTCCAGCTACGTATTCTGGATCGGTGATCTCAATTTTCGAACCGACCACCCGGCGGGTAGCAGTCCTACCTCAGAAGAAATTGTAGCGACTTTACAGAAAGTGGAAAAAGACAAATATACAGCTCTTCTGAAACATGACCAGTTATTAGCTGTGATGGACAGTGGGGAAGCGTTCTCGGAATTTATGGAGCCAGAAATAAGATTTCCACCCACATACAAGTTTTTGATGGGCACAGATGATTATGATCTAAAGTAAGTATTATGATTTGTTTCTGCTTTATATATGGTTAATAATAATTTTGTTATTAATTCCTGTGATGTATCAAACACAATGAAATTTTATGGGCTTGATCAGAACGATTGAAAATATTCTAATCTTTTTCTGAACGTCAATTTTAATTAACAACTTAACTAATTTTAGAATGATATTGTTTTTTTTTAAATATTAACTAATTGTGACTGTAAAATAAGTAAAAATGTTTTTTTTAATATAACACTTTTGTTTATTTGAAATACGCAGAATGAGTTCAACACATCGCTAAGTATATATCCATTAAGTCATTTGTTTCATAAATGAGATAATTTAATTTCTAGACGGAAACCATCGTGGACAGACAGAGTATTGTACAAAGTGATAGCTAATAATTATGAAAATATCACACTGAGGGCGGACCTCATATCATATAATCATATGGCTCACTACATGGTCAGTGACCATAAACCGGTGGTCGCACAATTTAATATAAAGGTGAGTCTTTATCTAAGCAATAAAGATAGTAAATGTTTAATATTAATATTAAATTGTCATTGCTTATCAAATCAATGAATGAAATAGCGTATATGAAGCAAATCTTTTTGCTGGTAGAGTAAAAATATAAAATATGTAAGTAGGTATGTATGTATATATGTATGTATATATGTATGTATATATGCTGCACTTAGACTAAGGAATAACATAAAACTATATCATAAAAATGAAGCCAAACAATAATATTATTTAAAATAATATTTTAATTAACGACAATTTGTGTACTGAACGATAAGTAAATAAATTTTAATAAATAGAGTTGACTGATTTTATTATAATATAGAAAATAAATAAATGGGCTAATTAAAGAGAACTGATGTTTAAAAATACAAAAGAATATAATATAATTATATTCTTTTGTAATATTATTTTGTAATATTTGTATAATATTATTCATATTTCATTTAAAAAAAATTGGAAATTTATTTAACTGGTACATATTTACGTATGTAATTTTATAATTAACCTTATTTTTAAAAACCAAGTAAAAGAGTGATTTACTATCACGTTACTGTTTTTGACTTTGACATTAATTATGGCGGACTCCGTATATATATAATTAATTATTTAATTTACTTTTTTTATTCTCTGAGATGCTACATTAGCCGATATTTTAGAGTATAAAAAATCTTTTTGTTAATTTTTATGATCATGTTTTTAAGTTAAAAAGTTAATAAATGTTATGTTATAATTGGTAGTCATAAAATTATAACTGTTGACATAAAATTCACACAATATTCAATTTTAGAAGACCTTTGTAATGTACCATATTATAGTTTGACGAAGTAGTTTCTTTTAATACTTTCTTAGATTTATGCGAATATTGGACATCTCGAGGGAGATACCTTCCGTGACCATAAATGCTGTAATGTGTAAAGCATTCGAAACGTCATGAATCAAAGTAAATCCGCGAAAATTTACGAATTTTTATTAAAAAAAACATATTAAATGATAGTTTCATTTAATATGTTGTTTCTTACCAACACTTTTTGACATAATGATATTTTCGTTCTTATAGTACAATGTATGAAATATGAAAAAAATCAGTTTACAAATAATCATTTTTTTAAATTGTGTTCTAAAATTACTTGTTCTTTCGTATTTTTTTTATGTTCTAGCGTAGTTATACAATCAAGAGTGTGTTTCAATGCCCGAAATACATACAATAAAACTTTATGACGTCACTCTAAATGATTAATCGTGTAAAGCTTCAACTGCTTACGTCTTAATTTTTTTTACGTCAAAAAATATTATTTACTAAATACATCAACGTCATAACTTTAATAGCGAATTCCGTGTTTTTTTACAACAATTAATTTTTTTTTAAATAAATTAAAATATTATGTATTATTTTAAAATTGGCTTCATGTTTAGTTCTATGACACTCTATCTATGTATCTATATTATTCCTAAGTCTGAGATTTTATTATAAATTATATATTTATATTACAAAACTTTAACAGGACAAGATTTTTACTTTTATGACTAATTATTGCTAAAAAACTAAAGGATTTACAAATATTTATGTTATTGGTAGAACCTTATTATAAGCAATTTAGTATGCTAATTTGTTGTTTTATTAATGCTTTTTATTATATACATAAATCCGTACATGGTGTGAGTAAATAAAACGTTATAACTTTTAAAATTTTCGCGTTCCATAATTATATAATAATTACACTACGGCACTTAAACGCGTTAATTGTTGGCTAGTGCAACCCAATCGAAACTTCGGGAATAAGGCCTATAGCCTCTAACGAATTATGTTACGTTTTTATTTTTATAAAGAAATGTAATTTGAATCGTCTTTTGATTGAAAATTCCAATCAAATGAAATAAATTATTTGTAAATTAAAAAAAAACATTTAAAGTAGGCCATATAGGTCTATATGTAGACAATACATAGTACATAATACATATACTTAATTTAATTACATATACATAATTTACTCAGGCCATGTTCTAAAATAATCTATTGTAGTTATGTCATTACAGCTTTTTTTTAATTTTACGCCTTTGCTTAAACGTTTGGCTAATGCCTGCATATCGTTCTTAATTATTTTGTCAAACAATTCAAACTCAAAACCAATTTATAATTTAAGTTAATATGTAGCTTAAATTAAAGCTTAATACATATCATTCATGATGTTTTAAACAATAAATAACACTTTTGCATTCATTATCTATCTATATCCAATTTACACAAACGCTTATTCACTCTATTTTATGGCTATTTCAAGACATTAAGGGCTGATTTTTCAATTATCAAATAAAATCCATCAAAATAATTAATCACAACTTGCCTAAATATGAAAATTGTAGAGTTTTGGAAAAAGATAGATCTTCTTTTCATACAATCGTTATTTTGAATATGTTTTTATTCATTCATTCATTCATTCACTCATTCGCTTGGAATAATTGAAAAATTTGCCCTAATTGTATCCAATTTCCATCTAACGCACGCTAGATACGTCAAAGTCCACCGATAGAACCGCCTAAAATCAAGAAATCACAGATACGCATGCGCTCAGCGATAATCCAACCAGAGGAGCCTGAGCCTATTATGGCGAGCACGTCCATAGTAACTAATGTAGATACAAATGAGAATGAAGAGGTATGCTTATTTTAAGTTTTTGGTTTGATTTATTTCGTAGATTTTGCAATGTACGTACTAGTGGTATTTTTAAGATTGGTAGCTCTATAAATTAAAACATTATGTCTCATATAAAATTACTAATTATAGTAATAATTAACTGCTTAAGTAGAGAATTTTAATTGTGTAATATGATTGACGCATAGCGGAAAACAGTTGACTCTAAAGTCTAGAAGCATAGAATTTTAGAAGTGTTTCTAAAAGTGTTGCTTATATAACAAAATTAGGTATATGTATAATTAGACGTTTAATAGGGGAAGAAAGATTGTATGGAAGTTGGCATTTTTGAAGTTTAAAATATATAACTGATTGTTTCTTGTAATATCGCCATTCGAAAATTCTATAGGATTCAGTGCTTGCAGTAAATCATATAATTGAGAGCGTTTTGTACATTGCAAAATATACAAATAGTAGATTTAGAACATATTTTAATGCTTCAAGATTTATTTTATTCTTTATTTACTAATGTTTTTAGCATGATTGCTTAATGTTGTATATATTTTATTCTAATCTAATACTAAAATTCACATAACAAAAAGTGTGGTTTGTATCTATGCAAGATACAAAATAACAAGGCTTTTTATAACTCAAAGAGACATAATATATAATGGCTATAGATTTCATGTCTCTGATGAGATGGAATAAATGTAAGAATACTTAGTAACGCTAGTAATCTTTGCCTACGTTGAAATGCTATTATATAGCTTAAACGTCGTTAAAATTTATAGAAACGTAAAGTGTTTATACCGACATATTGCGTGAAAACAAAATTTTTTTATGGTAGTCGATAATGGGTAAAAGCTCATAGTCTTCTTATGGTGATCATAATTATAATATACTAGGTACTACTCCCCAGTGTATGTTTTAAAGGTTAATATAAATTACTCAGAAATGAGACATTTTTCTGAGTAATTTATATTAACCTGTCTGTCCAGTGGTGTTCTCGTGATGCGTTCCCAGACAGACAGACAAAAATTCTAAAAACTATAGTAATTACTACATATTTCAATAAAATTTTCCAAAAAATATTTAATGTACAAAATCGATTCAGTTTTCTAACCGCTTTATATTATAATGTATAGATTTATAAGTATAATGCCAATATATTTTTTGATAATAATAATCAAAAACTTAATATACACTAAAACTTGTTTTGAAAATCCTTATGATATTATTTATTAAGTCAATTATTTATCCAATATTTTTCTCAGTAAAATATATAAATATATCTCTATTTGCAGGCATTTGCTAATTATACAGTGAAGACAGTGGAATTTGCGCCAATATCACGCATATGGTACATCGGCGATGCGGACTTTAGGACACAATGCACACTTTCACCAGATGTTGAAGTAAATCCAAACGATTGGATTGGGATTTATGATGTAAGTATATTTTAAATTTTTAGAAATGCCTCGTTGGTCTATTGGTTAGATTGTAAGGCTGTACATTTCCTGAGTTCCTGGGTTTGAGTCCTGGGTCTGGCCAAGTTTAATTATTAATTAAGAAAGAAAGTCTCAGTCCCAGAGTTGGAAAGTTAGCGGTATTTCAAACTCCGTATCTCGGAGAGCGGCTATACGTCCGTCGGTCGTGTCTCGTGTCGTCGATATTATTGTATAGACATGTGCGTATATACATTAATATTTATACTCCTTATTTGTACAACACCTAGAAACGTTTTTTTTCAAAACGCAGAGAGTGAATAGTCGTACTATGAGTTTACCATACTTTCGGGGAATATGATAGAGATAGGGTTTAACATCACTTGAAACATTCTTACATCGCACTATAAGACTTTCTTGGCAAAAAACCTTGACGAGACTCGAACCCCGAATTTCATAATCTGCACTGAACAAACTAAACTACGACTAAAGAGAGTTAATCTATATGAAAAAAAGATGTAAAATTTGGCGCAGAATGCTCACTCTACTCATATATATAAACCCTTACTCCCAACGCAATAAGGTGCAAACTTGCACAGCGCTAAATACCTATATTGTATTCACCTGTAAGGTTTCTATCCTATTACTCTTTTCTCTTCTGATAAGCTTTTGGAAACCATTTATTTACCCATCGTTCGTAAAGTTCACGTGATTTTCATGAATTGAACGTCTTAAAAGTGGTGCGAATTCGCAAACCTATGGCGACCTGTTGGCTTTTAGTGGACATTACGAGTCCGTCTGGCGAGTCCCATATAACAATCTGCATCGTTATAGGAAGAGGTGCCAAAATATGCCGCAAAATAAGCCGTGTTGCGATTTATAAAAGTAAATTAGAATCTATACTAATATTATAAATGTGAAAGTTTGTAAGAATGGATGTTTGTTACTTTTTCACGCCAGAACGGCTGAACGGATCTGGATGAAATTTGGCACAGAGATAGATTATAGTCTGGAATAACATATAGGCTACTTTTTATTCCGGAAAAATGTACGGTTCCCGAGGGATAGACTTGTTTTTGTTTTTAATTATAAATAAAGATATATAATATTAAATATAAACGATTATTACTTTTTTCCAGGCAAACTTCCACAATCTAGACGACTATATAGCATACGAGTATCTTGCCAAAGTGAGTCTACAACCGGCAGTGGGTCCGGGCCAGCCTCGAACTATAACTTTAAGTTTTCCAGTGGGCAGCGGTGTGAGGAATCCGGGTTTTTACCGGTTTATATACTTCAGTCAGCCGAATACTGACGTCAGAAGTGTTTTGGGTGAGCTAAATTGTCGAATTGAGAAATTGTTTATAGATGAAAGTTATGCGATTTGATCGTTATTAGTATGTGCGTGCTAATTTAGTTGTGCTCGCTTGTGTAGCGGATTCCGTGGTTTTTTATATGAAAAAATAAAAATCCGCTACACAAGCTATATACTACCTTTAAGAGTAGTCGATAATTCGATGTGTATTAACATCATGAAAAAAGGCAAATGATTCTATTTCGAAACTTATTGTAATACGCACCAATAACATACACATAATATGTGGTACAATATGTAGCAAACACTTTCTAATAAAACATATTTAAATAATAATAGTAATCTTTGACAACAAAGAATAAAAAATAAAGTTTATATGTATATTTAAATTGAATACCTTAAATAATTTGACCAATATTCCGATATGTTTCGAATACATTACCTCTTTATGAGTATTCGGAAAGCAATTTTTTTAATGTGAGAATTAATATTTATTATAAATAATTTATTCATCTTTTTGAAATCAAAATAGCTGATTTTAAAGAATACCAAACAGAATATACCTAGAATATATTGTATAATTAAATAAAAACCCTCTCAACAGGTATATCAGAACCGTTCGAAGTAAGCAGCAAAGAGGACAGGTTAGTATCAATCGACCCTTGTATGGAAGCGTCTACCAGCGCGTCCCCCGGTAGGTCCAAACCAACAACTACGACAGACATATTTACAGATTTCACCGGCCTCGATGTGGCTAAACTGTCCCGCCATTTCTCTAACGATTTGAGTATTGACTGACTAAAAGGGTACCTGCCTGGGTCACCGGCAATGCGACGTAAAGATGGCGATTAAATAACTATAGGCACCATTTTAGGAAAAGTATTTTAAATTCAGGACCAGGTTATTTATTTTTCTATAAGATTCATTCATTTATTTCTAAGAAATGAATGTGGTTTTGTTATTAAAGGTTTTTTTTTCACATTATTAGTTACTTCAGGTAAAATCGACAACGATCACGACAGATAAATTTTCAGATTTCACTGGCCTGTATGTGATTAAACTGTCCCGCCATTTTTTTAACGATATGAGTATTGACTGACTAAAAGGTTATATGCCTGGGTCACCGACAATGTAACATACAAATGACGTCTAACTATAATATAGGCATTGTAGGCAAAGTACTATAAATTCTGGACCAGTTTATGTTTTTTTATAATATTCATTCATTCATTCAATCCTAAGAAATAAATATAGTGTAGTTATTAAGGGTTTCGTTTCACATTATTAGTTATACTTCAGTTAAAATAAGTGCCTTTGTTTTTTTCAGTTTTGAAATTTCAAGTATAATATTAATATTTTTCCGGCAAAAGTACTTTAACTTCAAGATATATATAAAAAAAGTTTTTAAATATCAATAATACAACTTTTTTTTATTTATCAACTCATAAACAAATTTGTCATTTCATTGAATGAGCTTATTATATTGTATGTTAATGTTAATAATTTTTAATCCCAAGTCTAAATGCGGCTACTCACATCCCTGTCGCATTGACAATCTAGAAAATTGCGCCGGCTTGACTATACACATTATAATTTAGGTGGCAATTAAGGTTCATCCCCACTTTTACATCCTAGATTTTCCCTGCGGCAGGGATGTGAGTAGCGGCTCTAAAGTGTGTAGTTTTAGGTTGTTATTGCAATGTATGCCACAGATACTTAGCTTTTTGGGATCGATGGGATAACAAATGTTCTCATATTAAGTTTAAACTTAAAATTGTCTTGCTCAATCCAAATTATGATGTTAAAGCTCGAAGTTATTACGTAAAAGTCTAATATTAAAAAAACAAAACACTGTAAAATTACACAAATCACGTCAACACATTATATCATAAATTTATCACTTTTTGGCACCATTTTGTAACGATATTACGAATTTTGTTATATATGGACGTAATTGATTTAGAAATGTCTTTTATGTTTCTGGCCAATTGGCAAATAGCTTATTTTTCATATAAATAATGCAAAGAGTATTCAAAAGTTGTCACAAATTTCTATTGTGTGATGTTAGATATTATATATAAAATTTTATGTAATAAAAAAATATTTCTCGGCTCCTAAGTAAATAAACATATCTATAAAATACACATTTTCCGGGGAACTTATTGAAAGTACAATTATTCATAAAAAATAGATTTACTTGTTTTAAAAAATATATATTTATAATTATTTTAATTACCGTAAGGTTATTTTGAACAATATAATAAAAATAAAGTAAGTACTTATATATATGGGTATTTTCTTAGGAACTGTGAAAGTGTTAATTAGAACTTAGTATTGAGATATTTTTGGCTAATTGTACACTTTTGGACTGTCATATTAATATTCTGGAATAAATCAGTATTAGAACAAATGACTGAAGACTGAAACGGTCGAAGTCAAGCACGTGAGATTTTTCGATGTGATTTATCATTCCGATATTTATATTTGGTATATCAAAGGATTATGGACTGTATTTCTGTAGTGTAAAGCATATTTTTGAATGCCATTCAAGTGGTCGATAGAATAAGTGATTAGGCAAATAAAGCTTTATTGCGAGCAACACCCCATGGCTTAGACAATAAAGGTAATGTTTCATTGCCTTTTATATACAATTTAGCTGAAATATTGTTATTAATACGAGGTTGTTTAAAGATGATATTAGTCTTCCTAAACAAAACCTAAGATTATAACTTAAATATTTTTTAGAGATTAATGCAATATAACTTATTAGAAAAAACTAGTAATAAACAAGAGAGGCGTTAAGAAAATATTTATTAAATAGTTTTAATAGGTTATTTATAATGGAAATTGTCTTTAGAACAACCTTGTATATAGGTAATTTTTGTGATTTTGTTAGTACAATTTATGTATAGTATTAGTCATAGTGCAGTAGATAGATAAATTAGATATAATATTGGTATTTGAATTGTTTTATTGTTATTAAAGGTATAACGTTACATCTGCAAACGTATGTTGAAATATCGCTAAAAGCCATTCCTCTTCTTGCATAAAATATACGTATAAGTATAAAGCGTATTATATATTTGTACATACATAGCGCCAAGTGGATAAAACCATTGATATCAAAGAGCAAAATGAGATTGCATTAATAATATCGCTGTCACAAAATCTTATCGCTCACTATTTGTTCGGTTATAATTAAGTATCGTCAATGTTTATACAGAGAGAATAAGTTGAGGGATTTGTTGGATGAAACAAAAATGTGAAGCCAAATTGGTTATATCAACCATAGTAACTGTATTCTTAGCATAAAATACCCTTTTATGCCTTCAATCATTATTAATCATTGTTCTTAGTGCTCCATTTATTATTATTTTTTTAAACTTAGTATGAATTATTTAACACGTTGTAGATACTCGGTTTGCAAGATGTTACAAGTCTGTATAAAAGAAAAGCCAAATCACGAGTTCAAATAACACTGATACTAAATAGTAGTAAAGGTAAAGGACGAGCCATCTTTTGTTATTACATTTCTTGTGCCTCACCGTATGTATATAAAGCACGGTAAGTTCCAGCGGTCGATACTCACAAAACGAACGAGGTAAATACTGTAGCTTGGTAATGGATCGCGTTCAAATGTTTGAAGTTATCTCGAAATTATATTGCTAAGATCATGAAAAAAACTTATTTAATAGATATTTAACAAAATCCATTTCTAAACACTCTGACCTGTACCTGACCTGTGTCTTGTACGCCCTTTGTCTTTTATATTTCTTTACAAATAAATTTAATCAAACAAAGAATGATCTAGATATTTTATAATGAATATTAGCTGGTGTTCACTTAATTAAAGTTTGAATTGCTTGTTGGGCTTCTACACCAATCAAAAATCCTTTCATGAATTAAATTAAATTGCGATTTGCGATAAAATCACTTTAAAACGGTCGCCGGCCGTTCATAATTAATATATATTCTTAAATTTTTTAAATAATTACCTATCCCCTTTTATTCTTTGATGCAAACATACATATTTTAAAAGAGAAATCAGCGTATTAACAATAATTGCGAAATTAACGATTGAAATATTTTTTATTCATTTACTCTCAGATTGAAATTTGGATAGCTTGGTGTATGTAATTTAAAGAATCGTGTTGTATTTTCACTACAGACATAATTATTTGTCAGCATAAGCTGGCAAATTTTACCCATTCATTGATAATGAATATGATGACACATATATGTACTTAACATTCAAATTTCATTATTTTTACGTATATAGGTACGTTTTGAAAATCTCTTCATGAGAACTCATATGACGCGGGCGCATAAAGCTGCAGGTAATAGGGTAAAGTTCCTTATGTCTGTCCCACACCGGTTTCACCCCCGGTGGCACCTCCACATCGGTGTCACCCCATCATCGGCCTCACCCCATACTGCTGTTTGTTTACATAACTAGACTGCATAGAGTAATTATTGTTATTTAGACATTAAATATAATAATTATTATATGTAAATAAAAAGTGATGAATTATTAAATGTGCTAATGGAAATTTATTGTTTATGATATAAGCAATACTGACTCGAGAAGACTTCATACATTAGCATTTGATCCTGTGTAGATACTAGAGCTTAGACCGTAGAGTGATAGAAGCGGATGCTAAGCAAGTCCACTTTATATGTGTGTTTATTTAAACCGCTTCGTCGGCTTGGGTTAACATTTTTTTTATACATATTTATATTTTATAGTACATAGTTGCACATAAATATTTATGCTTTTAAAATTTTAAAAACTATTTTTTATATTTTTTTAAAGATAGATATTGCATGACTCATTATATATTTATTGTTTTTTTTCCATTCGACATTCGTCTAAGGACGTCCCCATTGCTTCCTTAAGCAATTGCATTTATTAGCCAATTATGCAATTTTCATGCAAATCTTTAAATATTGTGTTATCTTCTGTTTATGAATTGGCATAATAAATATTGAAATTTAAATAAAACGAGCATTATCATCATCATCATCAGACCTCTACTCTAGCACGCCACAGATCACTTCAGCTTTACGCATCCAATCGCTGCCAGCTTCTCTGATTTTAGATTAAAAATGCAACATTTCCTTACAGATTACAAATAGGTATTTCATTAACGATCACGAGTAATTGTCATTAATTTTATACAATTTAATGAAAAGTAAATATCATACTAAACATTTAATTATATTTTAAAATTCTTATAGAAACATGCATAAATGTATTTGTTACGTGTTAATTCGTTAAAGTTAGTTCCAACTTTTGTTTGATCAACACTAATTGATTTGATTTGTTTGCGCTAGTAGAGGCGGTAATAACTTCTCTAGCAATATTTCTGACATAATTCAGTTAGATTTATTTTAGTGATGATACACTGCCCTATTCTGGACATTTTTTTGGAGTATTTTATTTTCTATGAATTATTTTTGCATTAAATTACTATTTATGTTTCTTTAAAAAAAAAATTCTTTTAATAACAATATTTTTGTAAGATATTATTTTAAGTATTTTATGTATATAGTATATTCAATATTATATTTATAATTATGCAAAATGTACTATGTTATTTAGAAAACCAACACTGAATGCTTGATCGAAGTTAACTATAGAAACTCTTCTAAATGACACACGAAATAATCAAAATAATACAAAAAAACATGGTTTTTATGGCACTTAGTGGCATTAACTGATATTGTCTTTTCGTTAATGGCCGCGTTTTATCTTTGGACATTAATTGAATTACTTAGGACCGACATAATTATAACGGCGACCGTATAACCGTATATATGAACGATAATATGACGAAATTTCTTACGACGCGACGTTCTCTTATAACCTTGGTAATGTAAATCGATAACTTTTTTTATACAATAAAACTTTCGAACAAGGTTTTTAAAAGGTCACGACAACTGTTCCTTTATTATACTGGCTATTGCGATGTAATTATTTTTTTCACAAATACTCGCGGGAAATCTAATGTTTTTGTATCGAGTTAAATAAAACGAAAAAAACCTACCTACCTATAAATAAATGGCGCATCTATTCCGTAACTGTTACTCGCCCTCGGCTTCGTTTAAATTACCTACTTCTCTCTAGGGAGCTACTTTGTTGACTGAAATAAAATACCCTACACATGTACAATGTTAATTGTACTTATTAAATTAGAACTACATCGGTGGTTTTGTCGCCAGTTAGTACGGCCGCAGATCCGGCCCCGAGTTCGAGTCCCGGTTCGGGCTAAGTTTATACGTTATAAGCTTAGTATAATTTTATCTGAGATGAAATATTTTCCCGCAGTATAAAGTATCCTATATGTTAACCCGGATAACCAGATATCATCATACCAAATTTTATCAAAATCTGTCCAGTGGTTTTCTCGTGATGCGTTCCTAGACAGACAGACAGACAGATGGAATTCTTAAAACTATAGTTTCGGCCTCTGTGTCGATAATAATAACTATTTAAAAAAAATAATGTACAGATTCGACTCAGATTTTATTATATGTATAGATTGTCCTATCTGAGTATGAGAGTGAGAAGACTTTATTATTGCTTATTAAATCACTAGATGTTATGTACTAAGTATGTTGTTTCATAAATGCTTTCTGTATAAACACAAACGGCTTACAGTATTTAAAAAATAAGTATGTACTTAACTAAGGAAACTTTTGATCGCGTTTCAATAGGGAATATGCGTGTGATTTAAATACGGTATTTTGAGAAAGTTAACCACTTTTTTAGATCTTTTTATGTATTTAACCAACGTAAAAAAAGAGGTTCTTAATGTGACACGTACATTTTTTATGTTTGACCACACATATTTTTTACAGTGTAGTCCGATTTCCATGATTCATTTTCAATTGGGTAGATATCTGTACATAGGTTATACCCCAAAGTTGATCCCATTTAAATTAAAAAAAAACCAAGTAGGTACCTCTAAGTGTAGAAATTAGCGGTCATTGATTTTTCACCTACTGAACACTTTCTTCTTGCTTTGCTACTATTATGTCTACACTAAAAATGAAAAAATAAAAACTTAAAAATAAAGCAAAAACCGACTTCAAAAAAATTAACACTAAAAAGTAAAAAATAATTGATTGGTAGTTGGTTAGTTGGTTGTGGGTGCCAAACGATACAAATCAAAGCACGCCCGTAATCAGATATTTTTTCCTGTTAAGTGTTTTTTTAGAGTCGGTTTTTTATTATTTATTTTTTTATTTATACGAGAGCTTCAGTGACGAGTATTCATTAATATGAACTGCAATGAACGTTAAACAAATTTCATCTAGATAACTTTAATCGCAAATGAATACAATATAAAGACACAAACAAAAAGGTTTCGTTACAAACAGAACAATAGTGAATGGCTTTTACGATTTATATCTTAAGTTTACACAATTGTGGTTATCGTTTTTTAAAGTCGTAAATTGTAGGAATTTTTGGTTTGGCTCTCAAAATTTAAGCTCATTGCTGACAATAACGTTAATTAGACAACAAGTTTTTTTACTTAAATATTTTTTGACACCTCTTTTTTGTATATCTTATATTTTCTGTAAACTATATTTATTTTTAAATAACAATAAAATGCAATTAGCCGATTTATTTTTTATACTATATTATTATACATTAACAATATGAAAGTAGTAATTTATTTTGTTATTGTTTATACAAATATTGTGTTGTCCAAAACGTTATATTTTTTCATCGTATTTATTGTGTAATCAGGTCTTAAGTAAAAGCTCACCTTTATTGTAAGTGGTATCTTACAAAGGCTTGTTTATAGCCTCTCAAACCGAGGTTAGCCAATCACGTCTTTAATTAGAGTAAGTATCTGATAGCATGTAAACAGCGCCTTGAAAACTTTGTTTGTTTGTGGGTGGCGGAGTTCAGTGTATTTTATACCTATACGGAAAGCTAATGTAAACATGCTTCTGACTTTGAAAGTGTCTTGGGTACGGGATATTTAGAATATATGGAAATTTAGGTGAATTTAACAATTATTATATATTTTTTGTAAAATGTGAATGCTAAATAGGTAATTTAATCTTAATTTATTCTCTTCAAATAAGAATTTTGAAGAAATATATTGTTTCTTTTGATATACACATATTACTTTTATTTATGCTGTCGTGTAACATATATACGTCATAGCCATTTTGTTGTTCATTAATCAAAGTTGTTTACTTTGGAAAATATACTCTGAATTTTTCAATAGCAAGACTAAGCAACTTTTAGTTTTTTATTTAGTTCAAAGTAGGTACCTCAGAGTTTTCTTTAACTAAAAAACAATAAGTACCTACGAGTAGTTCTGTAAAGTTTGTAATTATTTACTTTTGAGGCTTCTTGCTCGTTTCGTAGTTACTATTGGATGTTTTTCTTTAAAGTTGAATATAGGGCAACCGCCAAAGTTTTGTTATACTGTCTGGGTACCTACGATTTTTCACGGGATTGGTAAGAGGTTTGAAAGAATTTGCTATGTCTATATTCTAATTATTATAATAATAAATAAAAATGACACTTTTTTATCTTGCAAATTGCATTATTTAATTGAATTACATATGCACATTTGTCAATAGCCGTATTTTATTACGAAATTAATGGTTTATTCACTGCTGTATATTAAATTTTGTAGCTATTTCACTTTCAACTCTAGTTTCATATGCATTTATTTTATAAAACTAAACAAAATAGCTTGTGGCTTTCACGATATTTTAATAAAACCAACTTAACGTACTTATCTATTTCCATCGTATGAATATAATATATATACATATATTACATACATATAATTGTCTAATATTAAGCTAGTGTTGCGTAATGCATATTGAGTAGACTCGACCGCATTTCTTTATTTATTTGTTGTCAATGATTTTAACTAATTTCATAACGTAGTACACTTCGAAATTTTTGAAGCCATTTTCATTTCAAGTCACAAGAAAATTTCATTGAATGAAGTGAATGCTCCAAATTAGTTACAATAAATTATTGACGACAAAAACAAATGACAATACGAAAGTAATGTCACGGTTTTTGATACTACTCGTAGATATAGTGACATTAATTTCATCACGCGTAAAACTAATTTTGTAAATTCGGCTCTATTTATTTATAATGAATGTTGTCTCGTATGTCTTATATAAATATTATATAACAAAGTATATACATATATATATATATATATATGTATATGTGATAGGATTTTACAAAACTTTATAAACACTTTACATGGTGTTGGCTTATTTTTGTATTTTTATTATAATATAATATAAATTTAATATTTTATAGGGTTTCGGTGTGAAATTATCTTTACATACCGTAAGTTGATCGCTTTAATGTAATTTAATCGTTCACTTAATCTAATTAATATAGCGATTGTGTTTCGGGGCGTGAAACATGCAAGAATAGGGATAGAGCGATTTTTACTTACAACGGTTACCATTAACTATCTATGTTTGCTTTTCTTCACTCGCGATAGGCATTTGATGCAATTTTTTGAAAAATTCGGATATATATGTAGATATGTTATTGGGATTCGCCGTTGTTAATAACTAATGAAAATACCACCGATACATTTGAGCATTGTTATATCGGCATTACAATATCTAATGATTAATTTAATGTTACTCTAGTTTAGTAATAATGGTTTGTGAAGTTATGGTCGTTAGATAGATTTATTATAGAAATAATTTATTTTGTTCTATGTCCCTATGTTACCTTATATATTTTTAAATATAATGCTTGCCATGGCTTTGTTAAATTTGTTTGTTGGAACGTTTCGTTCAAGTAAAAGAGATGTATGTGCATATTGCTTCAAATAAGATATTGGACTTATGTATGATGATAATAATGTAAACTGCTTAGATTAGATAAATGTCGGGAAATTGTATAGATATCGGGTTATAATGCAATAGTTGTAATGGTTTAGTTCTCGCTCAGAAGAGTTTGTAGCTATTTAGTACAAAGCAATTGTTTTAGTCACAATTTTTCGCTGCAATAAATTGATTTCAACGATCGAATGTGTTTTATTTAATCATCTTAAACTAAATAGCCACGTGCCTCGTAGGCTGATAGGAGCAGTGTTTTTATCAAGCAAATCGTATCGCGATAAGCGGCATTACCGCCGATGTTTATCTCGGCTGAGTGGACTGGCGTTGATGTCGAATAGTACGTAGCTCGTAGCGGTGTTATCGGGAAAGCGCGGGAAAAGCCGCTATCACAGTCCGCTTACTTGCCTCAGTAGGCTCGCGTCCGCCGCTAGAGATGGACGGGTCGTTACGCGCGGTGTTCCTCGCATTCGCGACTATCGCGATCGCGGTCGCGCGTTCTCACATGTCGCCTCCCTCACATGATAACATACTACGAATACAACTATGGGACGCCGAAGGGCTGAGTCGGGAAGCTATCAATGAAACGCCAACAACAGTTAAAAATCACAAGCTAAAAGTTAATTTGGAAACTTTGTATGATGCGATGATGGGAGATGAGTATCATGGTGCGGAAAGGTTTGCGAGGCACAAAGTCAGGCACAAAAGAAGAAGACCTAGGCAAAGTGGGACTGACCTCCCATGGAGGTTCCACTCGGGCACAGGGTTGAGGAACGTCGAGGTGTATAACTACGATGTGCCATGGGACGTGATAGAGGATAATTATTCAAGCGTGTATACAAGTGCTGTGAGTGATGCCAGTGCCCCAGTGAATGTTGAGAGGGAAGTGTCTCCTCCGATGACGCTGCGACAGGATGATGAGGTAAACTAGGATAATAAATTAATTTCAGTCACTGTCGTTTTAACAGCTATTCATTGAACCCGCTATAAGCGCACTGTCGAATTTTTCTCGTCGATTCTCACCTTTTAGTCTTAATCGTGTGTAGATAATAGTGATTAGATTCAAGTCTTGGCCTTGTTTTCGAAATGTACTCGTTAAATATTGACAATATCGCGTTTGGACCGAGTTTAAGTAGAATATTTTCAAGTGGATAGTTTCTTATCTAAAGATATTATTAGTGGTTATTACTATTGCTTTTCTTGTGAATTATAATGTTACTTAATTTTTTTTATTATATTATAGATGATGTAATGTATTTCTGAGAATTTTATCTCCATAATCTTGATAGACTGATAACGTTAATGAGTAAGTTTTAATATTGTTATTGAGATTGATAAACCTATTATTATGAGATATGATTAGTTTAAGCTACTATAGTAATATTTTTTATTTTAAAATTACATGTAAGAAAAAAATATAGATATGAATTTAACATAATTGTCATAATAACATCATAACAACAATAATTGCTACATTAAAACGGTGAATAACTTAATCACTGGTGCGCTGACTCTATCATGTCTACCGATCAAACAGTAGTTCGAACTGATACTAGCTTTACAAAATGATCACGTTTCAATCGGCGATTAACGAACCGGCAAAGTATTAACGAAAATTATATTTAATCAAGTATCAAATTAGTATCGTTATATATTTTCCGCGTAATATTTATACATAATTTGGACGACTCTACTTCGTCCAGCATAATATTATATATATAAATTGTTTAATGATTTATTTTATCTTTCATTGTTTTTTTTTTAAATAGAAATATATTTTGTATTTATCTCAGTATATAATTTATTATTAATTCTTTTAAAAAACGTTTAGAAATTCTTATTTTAGCTATTTTTACTTAATTATTATAATCCTGCAATAAAATGTATAGTAGGATAATAGGATAAGCTGGAGATTTGGATTTCGAACGTTCTATCTATTTCAGCATTACTATGTTTTTTTGTGGCGTTACAAAGCGTCGAGCTTAGCTTAAAACTATAAATGTTCTTTGTTAATTTTACGGAGGATAAAGTTTATAATTATAAAGTTATTTATAAAATAAAATTATAATACATATAATATACACAATAGCTAGATATAGCAATGTGTAAATGTAGATTGTTCAGAAAGTCATCTTGTAACTTCAAATAGGTTAGGCACTAGGTATCTAGGCATGAGCCGGAATTCCAAAAACTTTGCTAAAGTTAGACAATACTGAATAGAAACTTCTTTAAAGGCAACGTTTAATTTTCCCTATACACATTACAATTTTTTATTCTTTTATTTGATCGACGATTAACAAAAGAATTGAATTGAATTAAAATGGTTACTAACATTATATACTTATTAATATGAAGAATAAGTATATAATGAATTGAAGCTTTTTATTTTTCTTTCCGACTTCAATTAAACTTATATTATGATTTAAAAAATAATTATTAATTTAAACATTTTAAAAAACCCCCACGCAAATTAATTGTCATTTAACGATTACACTGGCACGCGTGAAGCACTTATCGAGTAATCATACGCCAAAATGCCTTACATCATTTTGGAAAAGAGCTGATACTCTTACACTGCTGGAATGATATTAACCAAACATAGTTAAGAACTACCGCAAGGAAACTGGCTTTGAAATGGAAAAAAAACCCCATCGAAATCGGTCCATCCGTTTGAGAGCTACGATGCCACAAACAGACACACACACCCCAACAGACATCGACGTCATACTTATAACACCCCTCTTTTTGCATCGGAGGTCAAAAACATATACCACTTGGTGGTAATGTAGCTTCTATTAGTGAAATAATTTTGAGAATCAGATCAGTAGTTTCAGACATTACCTACATACATACGAACATACAAACTTTACCTCTTTATAATATTTATGTAAATTAGATGTAGTCTTCACTGTTAATTTATTTAACGAAAGTTTTTGAGAAATAATAAATTGTAAGTTTAAATTTTTGTTATTAATTCCGTAATTATAATTGAACTTATAAAAAAATCAATAAAAAAATATTGATGATTCAAGATTCGTATATTTTCATTTTAAATACGTTTCAGGATTCTCTTATCGGTGCATGGTTCTCAGGTTTTATTATTTATTCAATGTAGCCAGCACCGTATTTTTCCGGACGTGTTGCGGACCCCCTACAATTTTTGACATTCGACCTTTACGCAAATTGTTAATCCAATTGATACAAGGGTTACGCATCCCGAATAAATAATGCTACCCATTTTTATTAACTTTAGTGTGACTGAAATCATAAATGTATTATCGTGATGACACGTTCTTTTTAACGTGCAAGAAGTAAATTAAACTCGTTTCAAATTATTGGGCTGATTTATGACTATAAGTTATCCAGATGGCAAAATAATCTATGATGGATTTAAGAAATTGAGAATGGAAGGCTTTAAAAAGCGTTTTGACGGTCAGTAGGGCAAAAACGTGTTTTTTTTTTAAATTGAACTTTTACTTTTAAATTAGCAGCAGATCATGACTGTATGAACTAAGTTAGACTCTCAGTTGGGCTAAAGCAAATAATGATATTTTCAGTCGAGAAGTTGTATTTCGCATTCGAAGTTAGGAACTTGGTGGTGTTATGTCATTGTGCCTTGGGGCAATAATCTTGCATCTAATACCATTGCATCTCATGTATCTGTTTGTGTTTGAGCGCCGACCCATATGAAGGTTGGGGAAAAATTAGTGCCCCTGTGTACAGTGCACATATTAATATTACAGAACTCGTCTTCTCCTCAAATTGCCTTGTAAATTGTCGTTGAATCTTTATCTTATTATTGAACTCACCTTTATTTACTGATCTTGTATTTGGTACGCGCTTTGCGCGGTAGCTGTTTTAAACCACTAGAGTGATTTGCTTATTATTATTCGTGCTAACATCTATTGACTATTAATGCCGAAGTCCACTGAGCAAACTCTCTAAAAATCATTCATTATAATTTAAAAGGCGTCGATAAAATTTTAAAATTGTAATAAATAATTATCCGTTGGAACAATTCGCCCTTGGCATTCAAAGGGTATCGAGAAACGAGAGAGAGCGGGCATCCATTAACTTATGAAAGTAAAGTTGAAGAAGGAACTTGATTGATCGTGATAAATAGCGCGTTCGGGGCTACCATAATCACATTTATATTGCTAAGCTCTGCTATTCCTGTGCAGATGAAATCAGTACAGAAAACATTGTTACGCCTCGTTGCTTTCATATCGGATGGGAATCGTCATTTATACTTCAAAGACGAAAGGAAAAAAATACAAAAAGTCTTCGAGTCACTGAGCACGATATGATCGGGCTGATTGGCAATCGCTATCCAATATGTATGGAGACGTCTGGTGTAATAACTGGTCGGTCCTGACCGCGTCCACGCCCGCCGCCCGCCGTGGACGATCAGCCGGAAATTAGGCACAAATCAATAATTTCCTCACTACGCTCGCTGCACGTGCCGCGAACTAATAACGTCTGATTGACTCGCTCACCTGTTATGTCCACCTAATGTAACGAACTTGGTTTCAATTTTGCCAAAATCAAATACGCCAGTTGCAGATTTATCTAAAATGCAATTGGGTTCATACAAGGGTTATGATTGGGTTATTGTGAATTTTTATTACGCAGTCTGTCGTTAAGGTTGGAGATTATCAGGCCGCGTTATTGCCTCATATGTTTGTCAATAGAGACGGTTTAGCGTACCAAAAAGCTTAGTAAGTATGCTCAATTACTATACCATTTATGAGGTTATATGACTACATGGTTTATAGAAATTTCAAGACGAACTACAAGTATTTTACTATTCCCACTACAATACAAATAACGTACCTACAATCTAAAAAAAACTCAGTCGCACGAACATTCTCTCTTGAATATAAAGAAATTATTTTTCAGATTTGACTACATCTGCTGTTGAAATGAAAGAGTAATTTTATTATGGTAGTAGGTTAAGTTCAAACATAACTCCGTCCCTCCGCTTCCGTAGTATTATGAATATTCAAGCACCGTAAGTCTCTAAACTGCCACAATGGAACTGCTAGCAAAGTTAGCGCGTTCTGGAATATTCTTTCAGTTTGCGAAATGGATTTTTAAGTCGCTTAGAAAACACGATTTCTTTTCCAATATCGAAAAAAGTATCTAAAGAAAAGTATGCAAGACGCAGTGGGCCTATATTATTATATGTGTATCTTAAACAATATTATGGTTGGATACGAATTAATATTTATACTACAGTAAAAAAGCAGTCATGAGAACTGCCGACAGAAGTGAAAACTTAAAACTATAAGCAAACAGTTGTTATAATACTTCCTTAGATTTACGCGAATATTTGATATTTTAAATAAAACTATCTTTTCGGATTTTATCGAGGATTTATTTGGATTTTTGGTTTCTAAATTCAAATAAATCCGCGAAAATTTTTTTTATTCAAATTAATATTGTTTGATATTAAATTAAAATTTTTAAATTAAAACTGCTTACATTTTTCTGGTTATGACATCTATCGGCGCTCTGAGTGTTAGCGTTAACACGTCACGTGACCATGTCGATGACGATTTACATGAATTTACTCCCCATCCAAACCTGCCTATAGAAGTTTACACTTCAATAATCATGAAAAAATGAAAATGGTATGACTTTTATTACTTTAAAAATTAATTAATATTTTCGTACCTTAAAAGTTCTTTCGGTTTTTCATTGAATTTGACAGTGGTACATTTCATGCAATAAATATTGCTGCCTTCCATTCATTTCAATTCCACGAAAACGTAAATAAAATTATAAAAGGTCAATGCAATGGGAAAATATTTTTGTTTATTTAGCTTAAAAATACCTTAAAGGTACGCGATATGATTTGACTAAATAAAGAGTAGTATAAAAATATAATTTTATATGTATACTAGCGACTCGCCCTCGCTTCGCTCG